ATAGAGACTTTTTAGTGTTGTGTCGTTCACCCGCAGTCTCGGGGTTTTTTCAACCATGATCTAAGTCGTTCCTTTCTCTATCTCGTAAGCGCAAGTGACGAAGCCGTTGGTTGCACAGACTCATACGATGAAGTAGCTAAGGCCTCCCTATCCCCCCCTTTTTTTTTTATGTTCTTTGGGTCCAAACGTCGAAAGGCTGGCGAAGGTTTCTGTCCTTTTTCCAATGCGATGAAAAACTTCCGACGCTCCTGTCTGATGTCTCGCTGCTGAAAACTAAAACCTCTTAGTTCTCGATTCACTCGTCCAGCAGAGCTCGTCTAGCGACCCTTCGATGCATCGGCAGGTCGTTGACCCAGACCGGTAGCGCAGTCGCAGCCGGGAGCGTGTGGAGCGCGAAAGCTCGCATACTGCAAAACTCACTCGGCCACTGGAATATAACTGCAAACCCGGCTGCACTGACTGAATCACTGCTGCCGTTCGGTATATTGAACGAGTATTGCCAGATCGCAGGGGACACATCTCGCCTAGTAAACTCCTAATCGACGTTCACGACAAAACCGATTTCAAGTGGTGTCTCCACTCGCACGTACGATATTAATCGTCAAGCTATGACAATGGCGCTCAAGTAACGCGATAACTTGATGACTATTTTGCGTTGACTCAGCTCCTAATTCTCAGAGGTAAGATTTATTATTTTTTTTAAGAAACCCAGAAAATAAGCCCGAGAAAAGAATACGGTCGGCGACGTGGCGAGCCTTTGGGTAATCGCACTGCTCCACACCGGAACCCAAGTCCTTCAGAAATGTCCCAGATTAATTCCATTTCCTCTTCATATTTACCTTCCGTAGACGATATTCCCCGCAGTCGTCAACAAATATAATACGAAAAAATAAACAAATAAATAAATAAACGAGTAGCGAACGCTGAAAAAGAACCCAGAGAAGGTACTCTTCAGAGAGAGAGAGAGAGAGAAGTATTATGAGGAGAGAGAGGAGTCGGCGAGTTTTGGCGGGAGTTTTTCTCCCCATTTCTTTTCCCCTTTGGGGAGGGAGAAAGCCGGAAGTGGATGCGCCCGAAAACGCCGCGGGCTGGCCTCCTTCTCTCCGGGAAGCGAGCGACGGGGAAAGACGGCAGCTTTTGCAGGATCGATCGCAAGAACTGTCTCGACCACGTCTGTCTCGCGGGCCGCGCCTTCCTCGCTAACCCTAACGGCCGTGCGCAGCAGGTGAACGCCCTCTAGAACCGGCATGCGACGCACACTCTCTTCCCAGCCCCTAACGCGGCCGTCACAAAGCTTCCCTTTGTCCTTTAGTGGCAGCAGAACCTTTCAGCAGGGACCTAGGGGGCCTTCATACACGTAGGGCAGCCCGACTTAGCGTACCACGAGTAACGACGCAACGCATGCGCACTAGCGATTAATTTGACCAGGAGGCGTTCATCATTGAACTGCAAACGCACTCCATGGTACGAGTCGCTCCTTCTCCTAAATCTAGGCTCTTTAGCAGCACGGACATGCAGCGCCAAGCCGCCGCGCGCGTCTGTGGTCCATCGTCTGCAACTGCGCCGACTGCGCAGTATCGGGCGTCGAAGCGGAAGAGGACGGGTTAGGGGGCGTGCGCTGGCTAGAGCTCGATGGGCGACTGGCGAATGTATTGGATGTCTTGTTTTCATCCCGCTAGGCCGGCGCGCGGGGAAAACTCTGTTCGCGGTAACTGCGCAGTACTGCGATCGCGCCGTTGCGGCATGTCCTCTTGAACGGAAAACGTCCAGCTCGCACAACGTTAGATCGGCGTGTGTGATTGTGCACTTCAAGTGCAAGCGCAGCAGGCTGCATAAGTCACAAGCTCGAGCTGAAGGCTTTCAGCATTCCGTGCTGGCTGCATGCTCGTGCTCGTAAATTCAACCGGCTTCGCTAGCTCGCACATAAATTAGAACAGGCAGCGCCGGTTCACTTCGCTATTTGTGCATCACGACTAGGGAGCTTGCACACGGAAGTCCCGTATGTAGGTTCCCTAATGACGAGTGTTGACACAAAATGGAGACGTGTGAATGCAATATGCGGAGCTTGTGGAGAAGGGGGTGGTGGCATCTGGCCGCAGCCATGTCTCTGCACATTCTTGTGCACGCTGCACGTGCTTGCACGCATGGGGCGCCAGTGAGGTGCCATCAACGTTGGGTGCCATGCCTAGCTTGTAGTAACCTGGAGGCGAAGCTGTGAGCAAACGGTGTAAAATATAAAGCAGAGAAAACCCGATTTTCGGCTAGATAGAATTAACTCGTTTTTTGTTGCAAGAGATTGCTTGTAACGAAAATCTGGGCGTTATCTAGCAGAGGTAATCTCTGACTGGTAGCTTTTCTTTCTGACAAGGAAAGCAGAAGCTTCGAGTGTGGGTCCTCCGTTGCAACTCAAGAAGCTAGGGCGAGGGTAAGACGGGCAGGGGAGGAGGAAGCAGACAGGACGCTAAAGAGAGGAGGTTTCCCCCTCTCTTCTACTGCTTTCCATGGTTCCATCTGCTTCCTCCTCCACGGCCCAACTTACCCTCACCCTACCTTCTTGAGTTGTCCTTTTAAACTTAGATAAAAAAAAAAAAAATTAAAGAAAAGCTTAACGTTTATATTGCGAAATAAATCTTGGCTGTAAAAGGTACACCTCGGCTACGTGGCGCAAGCTGCCACCCAAATAACATGGGTTGATGGATGGACAGATGATAATGGCTATACCCTTTATAACGGGCGGCAGCTTGCGCCACCTAGCCTAACATTTCATCATTCCTTCTATCTTTTTTTTTTTTTTTTTTTTTTTTTTTTAGAGCGCAGCTTTGGGCGCTTGTTTCCGGCTTGAGCGGCGTGGCCGTCGGCGTAACAGCGCGGTGCATTATGGGAAATGCCCCATCATGCAGCGCGCGGGGAGGGGGTGGAGGGGTATACCCTCCCCTCAGTACCCTTCCCTTCTCTTCCTCAAGAGCTGCGCTCCAATTCGGCGTTACAGGGTGTTGTAAACGTCCAATTTTTTTTTTTAAAATTTGTATATAAATTTATATAAAATATAAATTTGCATGATAGTTTTCAATGACGAGAAGGGGGAATCCCTGGAGATACAGGACATAGTGATAGAACACATAGAAAAAGTACAAATATCTGGGAGTATGGTTAAGTGAGGGAAGACGGTGTCTAAAAAAAACATGAAGATACTGTATAAAGGGGAACAAGATTCAGCTATTATGAAACACAGGACACTCTGGAAGTACAGTAGATGCGAAGTCATTAGAGGTGTATGAAAGGGAGCCATGGTGCCAGGACTGTCATTTGGGAATGTGGTATTGTGCATGAGGTCAGAAATGCAGGCAGGTTTAAAGATACAACAAAGGACAGTGGGTAGGTTGGCGTGGGGGGTCACATGGGAATACACCAAATGAGGGAGTACAGAGGGATATGGGTTGGGCATCTTTCAAGGAGAGAAGCGATCAGTAAAGTAATACCTGAACAAAGACTAGCTGAAATTGAGGATACACGGTGGGCAGCGAAAGGGTGTACAAGTATCTGTATATGAAGAGTCTGAACACTAAAGGATAAACCAAGCTCGCAAGCTGAGATCTAAATACATTCAACGAGATGGAGCCGATCAGAGCATATTAGTAAAAAAAAGGGAGTAAAAGGAAACAGGGAGGAAAATGTGGGAAGAGGGAATGCAGGGGAAATTAGCTTTAACAATATACAGGGTACAAAAAAAAAAAGGGAACAGTTGTATGATGATTCATTGGGGAGCTCATTGTTGTTTGAAGCTAGAACGGGGGTGCTAAGAACGAAAACATATAGGACTAAATACCAATCTATATGCGACATATGAAACAGTGAAAGGCAAACTATGCGGAGAGCAAGTCGTCTGCTTCTTACGCAGGAGTTGCGGTGATGTCAGAATGACGCCAAGCTCATATTGGCCGACAAAAATATAATAGTGGGTAGATCTCAATGCTAGACTCTTTGAGGTCTACCCACTAGTTTTTTCAATCAGCCAATAAGAGGTAGGCGTAGTTCGGATGTCACCGCAACTCCCGCGTAAGAAGCAGACGACTTGCTCTCCGTATAGAAAATGTAATTTTAAGGTGCACGGGGCTTCATCGTCGGATGACTACGGATTTGTAGGGGGCACTGGGATTTGCAGATGCGGATGGACGAGAGGAGATTGGAAGATTGGTGGAAAAGATCTAGGGAGCGGTAAAAATACAGATAAAAATAAGCAACGGAAATACTTTAAAAGGGGGGGGGGGGGGAGAGTTGTGTTAGAACAAAATTTATACAAATTTTAAAATAGAAGGAATGACGAAATGTTAGGCTAGGCTACGCAAGCTGCCGCCTGTTACAAAGGTAGCCATTCCCACCCATCCACCCATCTGAGTTTGACTTTTTCGAACTTTCAACGTGAAGTTCGACAAAGGTTCCACCGGTTCCACTGAAGTTCGACCTTCGTGCGCATGCATGAAAATTAAAAAGAACAGTTGACTCTACGTGGTGGAAGAAAAGTGCAATATTTGTTGTGTGTATTGGCACCACTGGTTCACATTACTAACGAAAGCATTAAAAGTGCACATTTTCACTTTTATATGGTGTAAAAATTGATAACCCCCATTTTATAAAATAAAATACTTTCTAAATTATTTGTTTCCCAAAATTTAAAATACTTGTGTAGAATGTTTGACAAAAGTTCTTTACAGCCCTAATCACAGTGGAATCACAGTTGGCAGTAAGCGATGTTCCCAACTGATTGCAAGACGTTTGATAGTGGGGAAAAAACGCTTGGTAGCCGATTCACTGAGAAGCACGCAAAAAAACACAAAAAGGCGGAAATTTGAATGCTGGTTTTGGCATCATCTTCATTTGCGGTTTTGAGAAAATAGATGGCATACCGTGAAGACTAAAGTCTGGTTAGTCAGGAAATGCAATTTTTTGGGTAGCTATAAAAAAATAAAACGGCCGAAGTGCCCACCCTTTAACGTATCGCGCTAGGATTTCCTAGCGTAAATCCTAGCGCCTGAAGTTGGTGGAAGCGTTCGCTAAAATTGTGGAAAGATTGGCTGTACAAAAGGTTGGCTTTTAGTGTACTTTACATGTACACTAAAAAAATATGTATTACTGGGACGCTTATTTGGGCCAAACAAAGTAAAGAATAGGTGAGCCAATTCTCTTATCTCTCCATTTCACAAATTTCTAAATCGCAGTAAACGCCAGAATAGCCCACGATTTTCTGACGGTATTGAGATAAAAGGCGTAGCGATAATTTTTTCATAGACAAAACCAGTCTTTATTTTCTTTCTTTTGACTCCAGAGGTTTCATGTATTCATGCTCTCAAATAATGAATGCACCAGCTTTGAGCACCTCTGTAGTAAATCCCAGCACGATAAGTTAAGAAACCGATTGATGCGGTCCCTTCAAACAGCCATCGATCCGTTTGACCCCCGTTTGCGGTATATAGTGCCATTAGCGACGAGATGTTTTAGTGGCGTCACCTCGCGGGTGCCCCCCTGTGACGGAGCTGGTAGGATGCGAGCAGACAACGCACTATGTCAAAGCACGGAGTGGCTATGTTAGTTTGCATCTACGCCGGTTCAATACGGATTATTTATTAAAGAAACATGTAAGTATTTGAATGATCCTTCTAACGAATAACAGCGCCTTGAAGTTGCCTTTTATATTAAAAAGCTTTAAAACATTCAAAAACAAGCCCGAAGCTTCACATTACAGCTTGCGCGGCATGCATCAGGGCTATTCACAGACTTTTTGATTCTTGTTTCTTTGGAACTGTGGAGGCTGCTGTGGAAAAGGCCACGCATTCACCAAAATAAATGACGTGCAGTCTTCTTAGCTGCGCATGCATGCACAGTTGTGTTGCGAAGCGCCGCGCACTTGTTTTAGCTACGTCGAGCGTGCTGATACCGACGCTCCTATCAAGTGCGACTCAACAGTTGCTGACAAGCCAATGCTCGTCAGCAACCGACGCTTAGCTTCTCCTGCATCGGATACGTGGCAAAGAAGTTTATCACATTGCGACTTCTGCTCGAAAGAATTTAAGTATAAATTCTTAAATTGTCGGACATGGCCCGGCAAATTCAGGCGATTGAGTAATTTGTTCTATCCAATTTTTACTAAGAATTGTTAAAAAATTTAAAATCGCTCGCTGAGAAGTGCATCACGCATTATGCACTTTGGGTTCACAAAATTAAACATTCAAACGGTACTAATTCATAGCAGGTGTATATCTAATTTTTTGGAATGCTGAATTGTTACCGACTACTAGATTTAAGATATCGATCGCAAGAAGGTCTCGGACATTTCACGTCAACTGGGTGAATAAGCAGGGATTTAATTGAAACGACTCCGGAAGCCAGCATCATCCCATCATGATCGTCCATCAACATGATTAATTTGTACAATACTATTTCATCATCATTAGAAGCGAATGCCGCAGGCCTTTGAGGTATGGGCAATTTGCCTTTCTGCGGTGCTGCGACTCTTCCGAGCTGAAATGGATATATCATATCGTACCATGTCAACCATTGCTTCTTCCTGCGAGTTATTTTGAGAAAATGTTTGTTTACTGGTTTGCAAAATTAAGAAAAGGAATCACTTTAGTACTAATAAGAAACCAGTACTCATAAAACACATTGGAACTAACAGGATACACGGAGGCGCTTTCACTGAAGTGTTTAGTAGACACGCGAGAGGTTTTCGAATTTCAATTTCCAACTTTCAGTTTGATGAGACATTCCTTTCTCAATTTTAGTTTATCCGAATGATGATAAAAAACACATCCTATTTTTCGTGATAGATGTTGTAGTGGGGTAAAGCACTGGATATACTATTTTCATCATCCAGCTTTTTGTACTGGTGAAGAGAACAGCATATCACCATCCCAGCACTTCGACACCTCAGCGCCAAAAGTGCTTGTTGGCATGACTATGCGTGCCTCGGGTTCAAGCTTTGTTAAAATGTCCTACTGCAAATATCACTCCACTAAATAAACACAATGCGTGAAACAGGATTTAATGCATGCTACCTGAACCGCGCATGAAGCGAGCCGACGAGATAAGGGATCCAAGATCTGCGCGGTCTGTCCTACCTGTGACGTCACAAACAATGATGATGGCTAGAGAAGCGCTCCCTGTAGTTCGTGCATGCTGCCAATAGCGCGACAGATTGCAAACATGCAATCGCAATTAGGTTTTTTAACGTTAGTACGGTGGCTAGCTACAAGCGTGATGGGAAACACTCGATTGGGAGGTTAACCCTAGAGGTACATTAAGATTATAGTCACCGCAACTATTCTTTCGAAGTAAAATGCGATCCCTCTCCCTCTCGGGCAATGTGCTTTTATTGTTTTGCCACACCTTTACTACCCAGACCAGCAAACAGCTTTTCTAAAAATAAAAACGACAAAAAAAAAAAAAAAAAGAATAAAAAAAATAAAAATAAAATTAAAGCTTTATTTTACAGGAAACTGGAGTTGCCAGACAAAAAGAGGTTAAAAAACAGCTTGACTATATCTGGGATCCCTTTAGAAAGTTTCAATTTCCAGAAGAAAATAATTTTCAACTGAACTTTCATAAAAGTAAATCTGCAGCGCAAATACTGGGTAAAATCAAGTTCTATTGAAAAAGAAAATGCACCGTTGCAACATTCCAAAAGATTCAGCCTATTGTCCGTTGCAACCTAAGAACGAAGGGCGAGGGTAAGACGGGCCGGGGAGGAGGAAGCAGACTGAACGCTAAAGAGAGAAGGAGGTTTCCCCCTCTCTTCTCCAGCGTTCTGTCTGCTTCCCCCTCCCAGGCCAGCCTTACCCTCGCCCTTCATTTTTAGGTTGCAACGGACTATTGATAGCTCACCCGATTTTTTTCCCTACTTTATGTCCATGAAATAACACTGAAACATGGCCCACCACCCAGCGACCCGAGTTCAGACGATCCATTAAAACTCCAGCAGCTATTTCAGGTTACCATAGCTGATGGGAGGTTAAGAATTAAGTAGCTGCTCTGCCTCCGTCGCAAGCTTTCTGCCTTCGACAGTACTTCACTTCCCGTGCAGCCAAGGCCTGGCAGAAAGCAGCGAGCTCGCACTGTAGGCGGGGGCGTCTACAGAATTCTTAACCTAAATGTTTTCCAAACTAGATCTTTGGCATCTGCCTTATTATACAAACCAACCGAGCCGTTCAGGGAAATACATAAACCAAATTCCCAAGTAAATAACAGACACTTATACTTGAAATATTTTAATGAAGGGTAGATGCAGGGGCAGATTTAAGGAAAGAGATTTAAGGGGTAATGGAGGAGGGGGGCACCACCTCTTTCCATTAACCGAGGGCACTTTTTTTATAAAAATAAAAACATCATATACCAGCTTTTTTTCAGGAAGAAATGTTTAGTAATTGGTGACATGGCAAATATCAGGGTAACGAAATAGACATGGGCAACATTTCATCCGTAACGTCAGATCTCTTTGCAGAACCCCCACCCCACACCACCTGAACCGTAAAACTGCCCCTAAGTATACAGTGTCCCATGATTTACCAAGATCACTGTGGGCACAGCTCCATTCTCTATACATTACTTTCTGTAGATGGCCAGCAGCACTCCCACGAACACCGGACAATGTCCCCTCTGCTGGGGAGTCAACCGGGAGGTTCTTTGCGAGTCCTGCGGTGGGAGGGGCTAGGGCGGCAGCTCTGCCAGGGCGTCCTGAAGCTTCTTCCTGGCCTGGTGCACCTGCTCCTCCTGCTTGCGGATGTCCTCGTCCGTCACGCTCAGCGCCTGAAACGTGCCCGCCAGGAGGGGTCTAGAGTAACTGAATGGCGGAACCAGAGCAGTAAGTTCCTTTCCCTTTTGCCGCCAACTCCTCACTGGTGAAAAGGGGGCCATATGCGCAAAATGACCCAAAGGTGCGTGCATGGTTCTGAGAAAAAGGGTCAACGCCGGCGCACCGCAGTGTCGGCGTTGACCGAGGTCGCGTGCAGCTGTCGCTCCTGCAAGAGCAACGGCCACTTCCCCACAGTACTTGGACGAGCAAAATGGGAGACCATTGCTACACTCTGCTCTGCAAGCGGCGCATGTATGGTTACTCTCGAGGGAAAAGGCCCTTTTCAGTCACCTTGCCGTAAACCAAAAAAATTTGGCAGGAACATTTTCCGCTAAATTTGGTGGGTTGAGAGGGCCATGACGTCGCAGCCACGTGCGTCGTCATACGTGGCTGTGCGTGTTGCATTATGGGATTGTTTAGTTTGCCGACGCCGGTTTTTCCGCGACCACAACCTCCTAAACACTACCGCGCTAAAACGTACACGCCAAATTTGGAGTCCAAGTCCAGAGTGATCAATACATAAAAAGCAACAAGACTAAATGTAGCACCACAAAAAGGTCAAGGACATCAATTCAACATTAAGTGCTACAAGTTGGTGCAGAAGAAATAGTGTTTTGGTAGTTTTCTTTTTGTTCCCTCGTTGCTGGGTTTTCCCAGTATAATCATCCATTAGTTTGCCTCAGTATCAAATCTTATATCGACTGCACCAGGGGGACTTTAAAATTTACAATAAATGATCCAACATTCACACTATCGACAATGCTCTTTTGTAATTAATCTTCTTCAGTTAATGTCTCCTGCAGAGACGAAAATTAATATCTGTTATTACACACATAGAAGTCCTTTTGAAGGAACCACGAAACAAATTTTTTACTTTGACTAACCGGTGTTCAGAATAAACACACGTTCGAGCCAAAACGCAGTCGAGATTATGACTCGTGACTCATGTACCCAATACAGTTGCTTTGGAATGATTGACTCCACATAAGGAACGCAAATTGCTCCGAAGCAAGAGAAGGCTAATCTGGCTCGCCACCACCATTTTTTTCACGGTTCATTTAACCCGCCCGTCGTCGGACGAGTATTCTAACAAGGGTTAATATAACTATAATTAACAAGGGTTAATATCTCTGCGACTGCCAGAGTCACAGACGGTGTCTGCGCCACGGGGTTAATATAATAATACAGAGGAAAAGGTCCTAAGGATTTTGGCCGCTTTGGAACCAACTATGGCCGTCACACTTGGTTTTCATTTAACCATACTGCTTGCGACGCTTTGATGTACACGAAGAAGCTGAAAAGCATCACTCGCAAGGTCTGCACGTAGTGTATTTTTCTTTTCTTTTGCTCAAAAATGCCGGCCTTGCACAATGTATAAAAATAAATAAAGTCGAAAAGCACTCGAACAACTTCAACTTGTTGCCGCCTAACATTTTCGTCCGCTTTCTTTCCGCTCTTCCGCCGATCTCTTTCTTGTTCTTTCTCTCGGGACGATTTGCCGCATTCCACTCCTGTCTCTACCCTTGGTCCGCGCGGAGCGAGAGAGTTGCCCACCTGCACGAGGGGCTGGTCCGGGTTGATGTAGATGCCGGGGTGCTTCTCGAGCACCGAGCGGGAGCCCGTCTGGCCCGTGATGGGCTGGGCGCTCATGTGCAGCGCCGTGGCGATGCTGCGCAGCAGAGTCTCCTGGCTCACGTCCGGACCCACGCCTGCGCATCCACGTCCAAGTGGTCAGAACGGGCGGAAGCAAGACAGTTCACGTGAGATGGAATCCAAACCAAACAGCCACACCTAAAGCCACTGACAGGATAAAGACCTGCTCACACGTGCACCACGGCACAAAGTCGGCGCTGACGGTAGCAACGACCTAGCTTTATCTCAGCTCTGTGCTGCGCATGTCAAGCCTCAAGGTCAATGGGAAGGTCTTCTAGTGGTCCCACCTTCGGCGTGAGCTGTCTTACCTTCAATAACACTTTGGCTTCTTGTAGGCTTTGAGCGTGCATGCACGGTCAAAGCATGACCGAAGAAAACAAACACATGCCGCAGAGACTGGACATTAAAAAAAAGATGCCCTGCGCTTCTTGTCCTGTCGGCTGCTATAGCCTTAAAGCGTGTCTGGGCGTGACGCAAACGGTTACTCCTGCCCAGCTGAAGATGCCTGTCTCCCGACACCCGACAGACAGTCAGACCAGACAGTTTGGCCCCATGAACAAGTTTAGAACTGGATAGGTGGATGGATGGCATTGGCTAAGGTCAATGACAGGTTAAGAGTAAAGTGGAAGGTTCCCTCGCCTCTTCCCACTTTGGCAGGGCGAATGTTGGAGAGGAGGTCGCCACCTCTCCAGCGTTTGCTCTGCTAAAGTGGGAAGAGGTTGGAGGAGCTTATAAAGTTCTCTTAACGTGTCACCGACTGTATACGTTTTGTATTGGGCAGTAGCTTGTGCCACCACTTTCAACCACCGTGACCAACTGGTGTGAAACTGTGTGGCCGGAGGCTTAAATGTCTCGGTTCGTTAGGACGAGCTTCGCAAAGACGCACCTCTCATGCTCTTGGGCAGCTCAAAGCTCTGCAGCGCCTCTTCGTCCCGGTCGCAGGCCTGCAGTCCCTGCAGCCTCTTCTCCCAGAACAGCTGCAGCAGAAACACTGGCGTTACTGCAGTCAAACCCCCAATCTTCATAAAGGCAGAATACTGAAGGAGGATGCCACATGGAAAGGAAACTGGGCAGCTTAGCTTTCCCCCATTGTGCTGCCTTTAATGACCATTCTAAGGGGAATGATAACGGTTATGCTCAGCCTTTCACAGCCTTGTTGGGTAAAGTGAACATCTTGGGAAGGTACAGCGGCAAAATTTTTTGACAAGGGTAAAGAAACCCACACGACAGGAAGGCGCTGAACTAACGACTGGTTTTTTAATACACAAAAAAAGGAAGGAAGGAAAACAAGAAGCATCTAATTCTTCCTTCTTTTGTGTATTAAAAAACCAGCTCTTAGTTCGGTGCCATCCTGTCATGTGTGTTACTTTACCCTTGTCCAAGTTTTCTTTGGCACTGTTCCTTCCCAAGAAGGTCACTTCAAACCAACTAGCCTCATACATCAGATTATTGTTAGATAAAGTTTACCCGATGGCACTATAAGCTGTCAAAATGCGTTCACCCCAAAAAAAAAGATGTGAGGCACTTTGCTCACAGCTGTTAAAATTGTCAACATATAGAATACGTACGATGGTCATGTGGTTGGTGACACTATGCGTGATGTGGTTGTGTGGTTGGTGCAACAATGGGTAATGTGGTAATGTAGTTTGTGAAACTGGGTAACTTGGTCACACAGATGTTGACAATGGGTCATATGGTCAGTGCCATTTAGCCACTGTGCTAATCTAATCGATGAACAAACATTTTGTGCCACACTTTCACGGGCAGGGTGCCAGCCCAGAAACATATTCTATGCTAAAAAGAGAGGCAGAAATTACAAAAGCCAGATCGAGTCAGTGCCAGGCCCATTCCACCGAACACTAGGGCCTCACCTGCTTGGGCTTGTCGGGGGGCCCGTGCTTGAAGTCCGAGCGCACCTTGCCCTCCTGGGAGCGCACCACGGTCACGGGCTGCTTGAAGATGGAGGCCGTCTGGCGGATGGGCGGCACCAGGGAGGCGTCGTTGCGGATGCCCCGGCTGTAGTCGAACTGGGTGCCCCGCTGCCGGCGGCTCTTGCGCAGCAGCAGTGAGTTGATCTTGCCCGTGCGGAAGTCGAACGTGCTCAGGTCGATAGCGTCCCCCAGGAAGCGGGCCAGCTGAGGCTTGCTGCGGAACTTCTTGCCGCCAGGGCTGCGCAGCAAAGAACAGCATTGCTTGTGCGTATGCTCAGAGGTCTAGCCGGCAGCCCATCGGGCCAATCGCCACTTTTGTGCTTTTGGTAGCAGCGAGGCAGCTGGATGATGATCGCATTCAGCTAGTATGTGCAGAATTTTCCGGCGTCAGTGCACTCGCGCCACGAACAGAATGTTTTCATAAGCGGCGGCAAGGATCTGCCAAAGAATCGGTGGCAGATTTTACAAGGACTGTCCCGTCAGCAAAGCAAGCTTCACTATGTGGTCTAAGGCGTATAGGTAACCGCAATCCCACAATTATTTGACGAGCGACCCTAGGAGCTCCGATTGAAAGTTCTTCCAAGTTGTGACATTCCTCCAGAGGGCGCCGTGGGTCGATTCTTCTCGCTTTGGCTAGGTGGTGCAAGCCGTTGCCCGATTTATACTGTTCAGCCGTATCCATCCACCCTTGTCCCCCACATTGCATTTATGTGTGGCAGAGCCCTATATATAGAGTTTGGCCATTCATTGGGAAGTATAGGAGACAAATGAGGAGGTGCCACTGGCCGAAAGTGGGCTGGGCGTGTTCGAGGGCGTAGTAACTAGTTCGAATGTGGCCAACCAGGAAACAAGATAATACCCTAGCGGTGGTCACGAGAAACAAAATTAATCAGTGCGTCGGAGTAACCCTCGGTGACTGAAAATATGGTGCACGTGATGTTTCTATCACGGTCATCCAAGATCATGTTTGGAAGAGTGCAACTAGTGGAACGATCAACATAATCCGTATGCCAAGCGCCGAGAATCTGCCGTCCAAGTGGTCACACTCTGGCCCAAGCCCCTCCTGCTTGGGCTGGCCTGCAGTATTGGCCTGCAGTATTGTAAAATAAATAAATAAATAAACACCCTCACCGAGCAAAACAGTTAGAGCGGCACATTTGTTTCTAACGTCTTTCTGCATGACCATAGTCCAAACATCACATGCATCGTTTTTTCAACCAAAAAGTGTTACTACATTTAACTCTTACGGGCTTATTAAACATACCTATGATTAAAACTGTTTCTCGCTACCACCGCTGGGGGATTCTTTTAGGCTTCTGGTTGGCCAAGAGAGCATGTGAAGTCCACTTTCTGCATCTGGTGCACGCCCTGGCTCTGCCCGCACCTCTCAGTGACCAAACTTTCTCTATAGACCTTTCCAAAAAGAGCGTTCTGGCCGCCGCCATTTTGCAAATCGAGCGACCCCTATCAGCCAAAAATATCTGGCACCCACCTGAGCTGTGGAAACCCGGTCAGCGTGACTCCCCACCTGCATTGTGCATTCGGAGTTCGTCGGCTTTTCTTGGAAGCTTTTACTTTATTTGCCTGTTTAGGATGCTTAGCCTTTGTGCGTTATCTTCCACTGTGAGAACCAGGGAAAGGCAGGGCTCGTAGCCTGCTCGGCCTTCGCAGGAAACGAATGAAGAGAGAGAACGTCAAGCAGCCCGCGACGCAGGCAGTTCGACGTTCTTGGAGGATTATTTCCGTTTAGATAATCTCCAAAAAGCCTTCCCGGCTATGGTCCGGGTCTTCGCGAAAAAATAGCTGATAGGGTCGGGTCCGGGGTGGGGGAATGAAATAGACACATTCGTTCATTTGCTTTGAAGCTGTGCAAAAAAGCAGCTCTCTTCTAGATGTTACCCAAAACGCACCGGATTCCGTCCGATTGTCGTGAGGTGACTATCGTCGTTCAGACCTTTCTCAAGTCCTGTTCGGATAACGCGGCACCGTGGGGTACGTACAATATATGTTGTTCGATTGATGATACTCGTTGAATTTCATGTTGTGGGCGGGGAATATCCATGCAGTTCAGATATCCTGTGTGGTCAAATATTTTTGACGGCCAAGACCTTTGTAAATTGACACGGCTGAGTGTACGGTGCCGTAAAAAGATCAACACAAAATGAAACAAATTTTCCAGCTGCGTTTGTTCTGTCGCGCACGGACTCACCAAAACAGCTTTTATTTCTTTGTTTTTGTTCCCAAAAAATAGTACAATGCAAACTAAAAACCCCGAGAAATTCTATTCGCCATAGAACATGAAATAAAAAATAGAATGCGGCAACTTAGCCTCCATTAGCGCCCGGAATTGCGCCTAAGCAGGCTACCAGAGCCCACTGACTAGAAAACCCACAGCTCAGTGCAGTAGGGCAACACTGACATACCCTCTCAAAACCAGCGACGTCCGCTGTAAATCGCTTCGTTCGAGAGTGCCGCTGGAAAGGTCTATACAATGCTCTGACGTGTGGCGAATTTCTCTATTAAAAACAATTGATTATCTTTGAACTACATATGGCACAAACCAAAGGGCACCTGGGCCACGGAGCCCTTCGGTATCCGCAATCGTCCAAAGGTAATACTTTGTTTTTCAAATAAAAAAATCGGCAATGTTTTTTGTTTTGTTTTGTAATGCTTAGGTTTATATATTGAGTTGAGTAAAGCTATACGCACTACGGAGTGCATTTCGGACGAAATGGCTATACGCACTCCGCGCAGAGCTCATGTTGCTCGAGCCACCCTTTTCAAACGGCACGTGTATCACTGGGGAGCTCGTTAACACAGCCCCCTGCCTGCGTTCACGCCGCTTCGCGGCGACAGTATCAGCTGCTAATTACAAAACTTAACCAGTACACGCCGCTTCGCGGCGTCCAGCCGGCAACCCAGGCCTCGCTGTCCCCGATTGCACCTCCGGAAAGGGAGACCCATACCATTTAGTTCTGCGAAGTTTCGTCGACAACATCATCGCAAAAAAGAAATGTCGTAAATATTGCCAATGCCTCAACAAAACAAAATGTAAAAAAAAAAAAAAAAGTAGACCCACCGCGGTTCGAACCCGCGTCCACATGCGTACAAGGCCAACACCTTAATCCCTATGCTATGCCATCGCTTAGAAAAGTCATTGTGACCATTCTTTTTATACAAGCTTAGCGGAGTGCGTAGAGCCATTTTGACCGAAATGCACTTCGGAGTGCGTATAGCTTTATTCTATTGAGTTATGACCATAGACTATTACAGGAAGTGGCTTAGTGCCCTTTTAACAGCGAGCATAGTATAAAAGTGTTCTTTGAGCTCAACTTCCCTTCTCAGTGGAGATTATATCCCTGGGGCGAGATTAGCAGTGATGTCTGAGAAACTGTTTCCGGATGGTTCATACTGACAGGATCGCTACGGTCCCAACCGGCTTTCTGTGTGATCGCTGAAGGCATGCAACAGTTGCGCGAAGCATGGGTACTACTAGTTGTAGCACGTTTGGTGGTGGGCTGTTTGTGGGCTATATAAGGAGGAGGACTAAATAAACCTGGTAGCTGAGTTTGAGACGTCGTCCTGTCCCTTTCTGTTTCTTCGACTTTTATGTTCCTTTCTACCTCAGTCTCAGGTATATTCAACATGGTTAGCACGTTTCGTTTGTCTTACTATTATTCTAATTAGTGGTGGGAGAAGCATCGTCAGTTTAAACCTCGAACACAAGCGACTTATGGAAACAACCGACGGAGATAACCGAGACGAACTCACACCCTGAATACGTTGTTCGCTATGCATCTCTCTCGGCTGCCGTCGTAGTGTGGACACACTGCGTCGTTCACACCAGGGCTACTCCCGTTTCTGACGCATTGAACGAGACCCGAGAACGCCGAGATCACCTGTAGTAGTAGACGTCAACTTTGCCGGCCGACAGCCCCGTTCTGCGGATGACCTCCTCTCGCTTCCAACCCTTGGGTAGCGCAGGACAATCCGTGTTGGTCGTCATGTTGGCGGGGCCCGGCAAGCCCGGCATCACCGCTCCGGAGAGCATCGCGTGGTCTGAGGAATGAACGCTTTTTTAAATACGAACAAACATCAAGGCGACAACCAAGGACCGAGGAAGACGCTGAGCTCGGGGTACCTTAGCAGCCACGAGGCGCGACATCTTACTACATTTTTACTTGCAAGGTCCTGACGCTGGGACGCTGGTGTCTGCTGATTTAGTTTGTAAAACAACAAACATTATTCAAACGAATAAAAATCCAACTGCCACAAATAATACTTATTATGCTTTATACTTGAGGTAAAAGCAAGAAAAAATAACCAATCCGACCGTATGCGGCGGCTGTTCGCTGTTCTTTGTGTGAAAGAATAGCCAACATTAATTGCTCCAATCCAATCCGTATTTGGTTGCGGTTGGATTTAGTGGACGGTATTTTCTCGGCTCTGCAAGAGAGAGAATCTTCGATGTGGCGGTGCCATTCGTTTCATCAGATTTATGCATCACTCCTAAGATATTGACCGAGTGCACGGTTTGTTTAGATGACATGCCATGGTAAGCCGGCGCTTCCCTCAGAGCCTCACTGACAGGATCTAGTCATCACATATGCCTTTGCCGTAGAGGTGAACACGACTCGAGCCAGCTCAATCACCACAGATGCTTTGCCGTAAAGGCGAACACAGCTTGAGCCGGCGTGATCGCCAGTGTTCCGCGTGTCTTGGCGTGACAGGATTCCTCTTTGCCTCGGTTTCAGTCTGCCCTATTCAACTTCCAAAGCCTGCTGGCCGTCGTGCTGCTACTGATCTGCACCTGCGCCTACGTCCGCTCCATCTACCCGAGTCTGCTGGATAGGAACAAGGAAGGGTGAGCTCCCTCCCCGAGTCCGTTCGCGCAAATGCTCCGATGCCGATGAAGGGCCCGTGCGTCTCCCTCTAATCGTGTTGTGCTTTGCTCCTGCACCAAATTCGAACAATCGGCCGGAATCTCGCCGGAATTTTCGGTATAATGTGCTGTCTTTTGACAGGGAGGGTATCCAACGCTTACTATGCATGCTTTGCACCTGACGTCGTCCCTTCAACTCTCCGGCCACCGCCAGAGAAGTGGAGAAAGATGAACACCCCTCTCACCAGGACCCTCTTTGTGTGTCCCAGATGTCACTGTTCTACCTCTAAAAGATTATAGAAGATTAACCCGTCACTCGAACTTAGTACAAAAGTAGCTTCCTTCTCTCTTTCTTCCGTGGTGGTGCGAAATGGATGATGTGACGTCAGTGCAAAGCATGTTATGAGACTCCGTCGGAAGCTCTGTGCCCGCCGGACCCATCAGTCACCTCTCTTTAATTACCTGATCCAGTTCTCTGCGTGTGGATATGGGTGAGAGTGTGATCACATGGCGAAAGAGAGGCGTATTACTCGTGCAATGAGGACGTAGCTCCCACTGCAGTCTCAGCTTAGTGGTGAACGGAGTGTGCATGGTGTTTCCAAGTACTGTTTGGGCATACATATTTTTTAATAAATAAGCTAATGAACTGAGTGAAATTATACTTTTCACGAAGGTGTCGTTAGGTGGTGCATTTATCATACTAAAATTTTATAGGTGTAGGTGTCAGGAGAAAAATTTAAGCCTAAAGGAATATCTTTTTTTACTCTACCCTTTGTGCTCTGGTGTTTCAGAAAAACTTGTGACACCGTCTGGTGGTCAAAATGGGAATTATTGGTATGTTCCTTGCACTCCGTTTCCGCAGGCGAGGCAACATCTTCCGAGACACTTTACATTGTCCGCAGCATTGTGGAGAAAAAATAACCGACAACTTTTTATCGGGTGTACGACCGCCTCAACGGCTAAACGAATAAAGCTGAGAAGCTCTTTCTTGTGAAATTTTAGCGATTTCTGGGCAAGCTGTAGGAAGTGGAGCGTTGGCGGCAATGAATCGCAGCAGTTTCACAGTGTGATCCGCCGCAATAGGAAGCTCCGTTCGAGTTGTTTTTTTTATTTTTAACTCAGTCCCTCATAATGGAAATTTGCCTATAGCTGGGACTGGTATGGTGTACATAGCACCGGCTACTGTTTTTGTGCTAAGTTCTTGTGGCAGTTCTTGAACGGAGAAGCTAGAAGTCCTGCAATGAGCCTCCCCACCCTGCCTAAATCACCAGTCTTTCTAAATAAGAAAAGAATGGAAACCTAAAATTGTTAAAAAAAGTAAAAAAAATAAATAAAAACAAATAAATATATATAGGCAGTTAATTTAGTTGTGGCATTTTACACAAAAAATCTAAGTCCAAAATCCCACAAAAGATGTCGAATGTTTTTTTTGTTCTTTTTTCCGGCTGGGACGTCTGCATTTTTTTTTTTTATAAATAAATCCTAAACAGACATTTTTGCATTGTTCGCATTTGCTCATGCTTCTCGAGTTGTCTACGAAAATAGCTCGTTGGGATTTCATTTGGCTCCTCGAAGACGACCGAAGCTCAAGGCGCGGGTGTTGACTCAAATCACCAGCGCTATCCCACGTTGTGCTTGTCATGCACGTCGACCTTGCTGGTGCGATTTATACCCAGGTTAGGTTGTTTCTGTAGATCATTTCAGCCGTCCTGCATAGCTCTCGGCAACGAGATTTGGAACTCTGCAGACAGCATCTCTGATGTGGAAAGTGTGGCGAAGAAGTAAAAATGGCCTACGAAAACTGAACTCTCCATTAGATGGAGGCAGAGTAAAAAATTGCCCGGATAAAACGTCACACTTAGAAGAAGAAAAACGATGCAAATGGTGCCACGGCTGGCATGAGCACCATCAGTCGGTCGTCGTAGAATCAACTGCACAAAACGTTTTGCCACGACCTTGCTTATCCACCGGATGCCGTGGCGTTAACCATTCCCTCTTTTACAAACAGGCGATGACCAGCATAAAGCTGCTTTCCTAGCCTGAAACGCTTAGTATATTACACTGTCGTTTACTCTGTCGAGTCGCAAAAGCGCGCCGCATAGACGCTTCTCTCTCGTGAGCAGCTGCTTCCACATGGGAACATACCATAGGTCCTTAATTCAACCACGGGAGGTGCTGATGGCCTGATAGCCGGCGGCACCATAGTGGCATGCACGAAGCGCATGCACAAAGAGGAAGGCGACAAAAACCGTCTGGTTAACACCGCCACTCCCAGATGGCGCAACATAAAGCAAAAAAAAATGTGAAAGCCTACCATTTTTTAGACCACCTGAGACTGGGTGGAAGAAACACGACAACGTCTCAAACACAGCTAACCACTTTATTCAGTTCTCCCTCCTTTTATACATCCTGATCCCCAAGCCTCTTTGAGACAAACTCGCGAAAGCAGATCCAGCCCCTCCGAGCGTGTACGGTGCCATCTGTGAAAAGCAGCGTCAACCAGACGGTTTTTGTCGCTTTCCTCACTGTGCATAGAAAGAAACATCCATTGTAGCCCTGAGACGTAGGAATAATAAAAAAATGGACAGAACAACAAAGTCTCTAACACAGCTTGAAATTTATTGAACGATCATCACCTTATATACATGTCCCAGACCTTTTAGAATTCAAATGACCTCCTCGCCCACTACACAGTGTACGTTAACTTTCACCCTATACCGACAACTGTACGCAAACCGGAATCACAAAGGCATACAAGCCCGAAGCACAAACAAACAAACTTTTTTTTTAAAATTTACGTTTGTAATATGTTAGTATAAAGAATGCATTGCCTAAAGATACCTTCGCGAAAAGTTTGAATGCACTCTGTCCGACGGATAATTTATAGAAGTGTTTACACCTGGTCAGCGATCTGGAATACTTCGTAGGTAACAAGATTGTAGTGCTGGTTTTCTTGCCAGATCAGCGCAGGACACAGTTTGGTGACGAGCGCGCTGCGTCAACAATTGGCTACGACTCAAGTTTGCCCGATCGGAATGCGAGTCCCTGCCAAACGCCGACGCAGCTGTGCCTCCAATCTGTGCCTTCCGCCGACCTCCAGTAGGTGATTTGGAAGATCCAGCGCTATGGCCCCTACCTGTACTCCACATCGCGTCGAGTCCGACTGCAGCAGGCGCTACAACCCGACGGAGCCAATCAGGCGGTTCCAAAAGTGTACCGCCTTTTTTGTGTTTGCAGTCACTGTCTAAACCGATTGCGTGCAGAAAAAAGCAAGCTTAAGATAGTGGGGCATCCACTGTGCTTGATTGGTTTAGCCATTGATGGCGAATCCACAAAGCAAATGAGCGCGGTGGCGATGCACTTTTGGCGCTGCTCGATTGACTTCGTCGGATCATAACGTCGGCTACAGTCGGATTGAGGCAGGGCTGTTCGCACCACGTCTGAGGGTTTTACCACCAGATAGTACTTTGCAGAGGTAACTGGAGGTTTGTCGGAACGGTGAAGGCACTCTCTAGTCGGGGGACGTCACGCCTGGCAGTCTGGTCCCCCAACGTTGAATGCCCAATTGTGAAGCTCAATTCGGTGATCGTTTGCTGAGATAATCGTTCGTATTTCTCATTTTCCTGCGTCTTACTCTCACAGGTTCCTCGGCATCTTTTGGAAATGTGCACGCATAGGTAAGTGAAAGAACTTGTTTGTTAAGTGCTTGACAATGAAAACTTTTGTGCAGTTAGAGAGTCTCCACAAAATCCCTCTATTTGTGCAAATGAGAGATCCACAGGCTTTTGCAAGGTTTCAACTTACCAAATCCAAGACAGTTTTGTCAAAGCAAGAAACAAAAGCAACAAAGACAATCGAGCTGGCTGGCACTCTGTCCAGGTGCACTCCGTGCTCTCTAGTATTTAATGGTGTCTAAGAACAAAAAGTGTGTGCAAGTTGTCTTTGTTCATGTGGCCGGGGTCATGGGCCACTTTCTCTTGGCATTTCTTTTCTTACCTATTTGACCCTGCTTTAGCTTTCCAACTCCACTGTTGGCAACTTGGCGATAAGTTACGTGACATTTCTAGATCAACTAATTCTTGGTGCGTGTTTACTGTCTCACGAGGTCAGGTCTTGCTAAATTGTTTATGCGTCCTAGTGAAACAATACACAAGACACTTTTGCTTTTATAATCACTAGCATGGCCGGTTTGTATAACCGTGCATTGATGCCGGGTTGCCTCTGCCCAGGTGAGAGGAAGAGTCCCTGGGTGGCGGGCTGCTGCATTGCCATGGCCTTCACCATCCTCTTCTGGACGTGAGGAGTGAGCATCGCGGACCAGGTGCCCCACCTAACTTCGAATAAAGATCACATGTTTTACTAAGTACTCGGCCTCACCATGCGGTAGCCTCAACCGAAGACGTATACTAGGCATGGCTGCGCCACACTAATGTGACAAAAGATGCGAAGGGCTGTGACCAAGGGATGACTACAGAATGCAGGAAATGGGGGGAACAAAATCTGGATGCTGAAACATGCCCTCGTAAGCCTGGGACGTTAAGCTGGGAGACTAGGAGGGGACAGCCGAGAGATAGACTCACTCTACCATTTTTGGGATTCGTGGTTTGAGGGATTTTGGTATAGAAATGTGCTTGCATTTATCAAACTCTCGAGCAAGCATGATAGGCTCTTGAGCTAGGGGCTCCTGTAAATGCTTGTGCTTTCACTATCAAAACTTCCTGAATGGACAATTTCTGAAAATGGCGGATTAACTATGGTCTGTGTATAAGAGGGCTGGTTGAATAAATTTATTAGCCGAGTTAGAGACGCTGTCTGTTTCTGTTACTTTCTCTTCCACTGTAAAAAATTTCTCTCCTTCTGCCCCAGTCTCGGATTAAAAGTCACAAAGTGCTAATCAGTGGGACGTTTTTTTTTTAAAAAGGGGGCAGAAAATTTCTTTTCAAATGCATAAATCCTGGACAAAACGGCGGCTTGGTCGAGTTGGTTTTCCATGTCTCAAAAATAATAGGGCAAGTAGGGAATCCACACAAACACATCACAACATGCCACAAAAAACAATCGCTTAGGGACACATTCATAGCAGACAAGACACCCACACAACAACATAAGTAGAGCCAACTCGGGACATTTAGGCCTACATTGCCGTGATTGCGGATGTGCGGCACATCTAGATAGGTGTACAGTGCTGGGCAGAAGCGGTAGCCAACTGACTAGAGATATAGTGGAAGCAGAAAATATTGCCAGGGATGACGACAAATGTGTAAGCACTCCATCGCTCACTTTATCAGGAAAAGAATTAGCTTATCCTGTTAGCTCACATGAGTATCATTTAATGGGATGTAGAAGAAAAAGAAGCCAACTTTTATGAATGTATCGAAAAGGCATAAAAGAAAAAGAAGTGAAAAAATAGAGATTGAGTTGTGAATCAGCGCTCTGTGAGTGACTTGTCTGCTGTGAATATGTTCCGTAAGTGTGATTGTTTTTTGTGGCCTGTTGTGACGTGTGTTAGTGTGGATTCCCTACTTGCACTGTTATTTTTGAGACATAATTCCTCCCCCCCCCCCCCCCGCCCCCCCTCCCCCCCCCCAAAAAGAGTTTTTTTTTATAATTTGCTATGGCGATGAGGATATTATTATTTTCGACAGCGGTATCGCATTTTGTAGTGAGGCGACTAAGATGATTTTCGTTGGGGGTGCCAGCAAAAGAAGAAGAAAAAGAAGGGGGTGCCAGCGAAAGAAGAAAAAGAAGGTTGGTGCACTGGTTTTGCCAGCTTCCGGCCGTAGTTCTTCTCTTCTCCCAAGCAGGCGATGCGCCCTCGCCTTGCGGCGCTGCTGGGTTGCATCTGGCTCAGCTTTGCCCTGGGCGTCTTGTGCACCGTGTTCACGGTTAGGCTCAAGATCCAAACCGAGTCCATTCTACGCGTACTCGAGAGCTACTACTCTCAGCAGAGAGCCGCCCCTGCACAGGAAGATGAATGCATCACGGCCACGTGCCGCTGGCACGGAGACTACCTCTGGGACCGCCTCAATGCGACCGTGGACCCCTGCGACGACTTTTACGCCCACGTCTGCTCCTCCGCCTGGTTCCAGGATGGTGGCGTCTCCGACCAGCCGTACACGGACTTCTCCGTGGCCCAGCTCATGGCGGATGTCCGGGAGACGCTTTTGCGCCAGAGGAGCACTCCTCGGGCTGCCTGGAGCTTCCCCGCTCAGGCGGCGCAGCTGATGAGGCTCTGCCACCAGACGTCTTCCGGAGGCTGGGACGACGTCCTGGAGGCGCTGGCCAGCCTGGGACTCGGCGGATGGCCCTATGAAGATGAGCCGTCTTTGGCCTGGAGCCCGCAGCGTGTGTTCGGCTCCCTGGAACGTGACTTGGGAGACAACGCGATTGCCGGAGTGGTGCTGAGGAGGGACTTGACCCAGGCGGCCGAATACCAGATTCACCTGGAACCGGTGGACACGCTGTTACGTCGGTATCTGCTGCACGCGAAATCGACGGGCTCGTTGAATGAGTATGACTCGCAGCTAGACGCAGTTCTGTTGGCGTTCGCGTCGAACATCAGCGCCGCCGCGGCCGAAAACGGGACAAGCGCCGTGCCCCGTCTGGCTGCTGATGTCGTGGCACTGGAGAAGCGGCTGGAGGCGCTTCGAGACACCCGACTGCTGCCCCTCGAGCAACGCTTCGTACGTGTCGGTCAGCTGGGCTTCGTGTCGAAATGGAGTTGGACAGCCTTTCTTGGCGAGGTCTTCCGCAACACCAGGACCATTGCAGACAACACGACACTAGTCTGTGACCGCTGTGACTTCTTCAGGAAGGTCCTCCTTTTGATAGAAGAGACGCCCCTCCGAACCTTAGCGAACTATGCGGGGCTGCGAGTCCTCGCTCTGCTGGCACCCCTTCTTCCTTCAAGGGATTCTTGGGTGCCCTTCTTGGTTCGTATCTCGGGTCGGGGGCTGAAGGGCATACCCGAGCGCGTTGAGTCCTGTCTGGCGCTTCTGGAACGTGTCTACCACTACGGCTCGGCTATGCTGGCACGGATGGCGCTGGGCAGGCAATTCCCGATGGTCTATCGAAGCCAGTATGACAGGCAGCTGACAACGCTTTCGTCGGCGCTCCGTCACGCAGCCGCTCGGCGGGCTGCCCACTTGAACTTTTTGCGTCTCAAGGAGCGCCGCGTGGCGGAGTCCAAGTTATCTGCGCTGACCTTCCAGGTGCTGGGTACTGCTCCGAGCCTCTACTGGCCTGCCCTCTATTACGGCGTCTCGTCGCCGGTCCTGAGAGACTCCGATCTTGTGGCGAGGGTGGTCGCGTTGATGCGTCACACACGACGCGCTTATCTAGCCTCGCGCACTCCTAGTCTCGATTTGGACGCGCAATACCCTCTGCCCGTGTTCGGGCCGCCGGCAAGCTTCTACTATCCCTTGCGGAACCTGCTGTTCCTTCCGCAAAGCCTGGTAGGCTTCCTCAGCCATGTGTCCAACATCGTCGACGCACCCGCAATTCCGGTGGTGGGCAGGCCGATTGTGTACGACATGCTCAGGGCCCTCGATGCCTTGGATGGCAAGCCGGTCGACCACACGCTCGCTCTCCGTAACTGGTGGGGCGTCAATTCGAGTGCGCGCTTCTTACAGTTGCAGGGTTGCCTGCTCGACCAGTACGCGAGCCTGTACTGGCCCTCGTCTGGTCGGACGAGCAACTGGCAGCGGCGTGTCGACGTGCAGAGTATCTTTCGCGACGTGGCGTCTGTGGCGCCCCTGTGGGACGTCTTCAAGCAAGACCCGGTGTCATCCAGCCTCTGGGTCCGTGTGTCGCGTTCGCGAGTCCTCGAGCCCACCCAGCTGTTCTTCGTCAACTTTGCTCTCTCGCTGTGCAACCATCACAAACGCAGTCGTCTGGTTCGGCTCCAGAGTAAGCTCGGGATCGTGCCGAGCGCGGTCAGGGTCAACTTGGCCCTCATCAACACGAGGGAGTTTGCACGTGCTTTCGGGTGCAAGGTCAACACCACGTTTAATCCTCCCATGCGTTGCAAGATTTGGTAACTCGGGGTGTGAAGAATGCCGAACACAATGTTAGGCAGGACAAAAATAAAAATATGAATTAGGTATAGCTCTAGATAGATGCTGGCTTGTTGAAATATATGATAGTCTTATTTTATTTTTTTAAAATTAAAATATATGAGTCATTCCCCCCTCCCCCCCCCCCCCCCCTATATAACCAGGTTTTGGAAAATTAAATTTCAGCTGTGTTCGAGACTTTTGAGTGCGTGTCGTTATTGCACCCTTACATTTATTTCAATAATAACCTTTAGGCAACCTGCAATGCTGTTTGGTTTGGCACTATCTAGCGACTGAAGCAAGAAACATTGGGTATGTCTAGAAGTGGCAGCTGCATTGTTCAAATGTGAGATATTACTGTGGAGGTGCCGCTTAGCCTATTGTCTAAGCGAGAAATCCTGGGTAGGGCAGGAAGCCGCGATCGCACAACATGCCAGTACGTTGGAAGATATGACGCTGGCGGACCAATCGAAACGTGACTATGTATCACCGGAGTGCGCTTTTATTGCGAGGAAGGCTCTTCGCTGCGTCATGCTCTATTATGTGCGCCTTGCACTTAGGGTTACCAACCGTCCCAGATTTTGTGGGACTGTCCCGACTTTTGATTAAGCGTTCCCGAGTCCCGCATCGTCCCTGTCGGGACAGCTATACGTCCCGGATTTGGTCCAGACTGTCCAGTTGAAAATTTTATATGTAATATGCACGCCCAACAAACAATGTGCGCCATGCTGCGAAGCATGAATTGCACGAAGCAATGCTGCAGTGGATGGCTTTGGCTACGAGAGGCTTTAGCCACTTTAGTGCTTTAGCATGCAAGCCACAGCAAGCCTAAATCGGCGCAACACTGGTTCCGGGCAGCGCCTGTTATCATCATCATCGTCTGTATAAACTCCTTTGTGTCTCCCTTCTCTTCCCTCATGCTGTGCCCCCCCTTCCCAACTTTCTTCAATGAAGAGTGGGTAACCCTAGTTGCACTAGTATACATAGCGCATAGCGAAGCTGTCAGCATGCCATGTGGGGCTTATCGGTCACCCTTTGCCAAGTTACAACGAGACGGGGTATAACCGTGGGTTCTCACTCTGCTGGCGCCACCTGGCCATTGCCGGCAAGCTATAGGCCCATTCACACTAGCGACAGTCGCTGGAGCGACCAGCGACTAGCAAATAATTTTTGGTTGCGGAGCAACCAACACAGGTCGCTAGCGACCGGTTTTGGGCAGTCGCTCCCTGACTAAATTTTTCAAGTCACAAAAACGAGTCGCTGGACGGCAGAGCCAATCACAGTCTTGTCGGAAGTGATGCTTGCGTTTGTTTACATCCGGCACTGTTTCCCGTGGGAAATAGCGACGTGCGCATGGCAACAACATGGAGTTCTCCGCGGAGGCTCTTATTAATGCTGTCAGACTTTCCCTTTCTTTACAATAAGCGGCACCCCGACCACATAAGGATCGGGACAAAAAGCTGCAGGCCTGGAACGAGACGAGATCGGCGACATTTTCGGCATGGCAGGTGCATACAATATCACGGTTGAGGGAGCACACACATAGCCGTTGTTTTACGTTCCAAAGCACCATTAAGTTTTTTGTTTCTTCGTGCCGGTGCCTTTGATCAGAAAAACCGTTTAGGCGGCCCGGGAACCTTATTCAGAACGAAAGTGCCCGAGAAGCGAGCCTGGCGACTCGTTGGTCGCTCAATCAGGTGTGAACACTGGTGGTCGCCAGTCGCTTGTCGCTAGTCGCTCCAGCGACTGTCCCAAGTCGCAGGTGTGAACAGGCCCTGCAGGGGGCACGAGCGCGTCCGCAAGGCGCGACCATGTTATGATGGCTGCACCATCCAGGTGGCTCTGTAACGTTCGATTTTGCATGCGCCACGTTTGGCTCGCCTAAAGCGCTGCTCTAAACTTGAGAACTATAGACCGAAAAAAGAAGGGCCTATTGTACGATAGTTTTGGGGTAGATTAATTAAGCCTATTGGGAATAAAGTACCAACCCGTGGTGCAAAATAGACGGGCGGCACTCAGTTGGTCGAACAACATTTTAGTCAACGCCGGCATTTCATCGAAAGACACTTTAGCAAATGGTCGGCCGCTGCGCAGCGGCGTTTATGGGTGGGCCAGGTGGGTTAACTTTTTTGTTATGAGCCGCCACACACTGTCACCGCGAAACGCCGTGAACGCGTGCGCCCCAGTTTTTTGCTAAAATGTCATTCACTTAAAGGGGCCCTGCAATCATATTTAAGTGTACCTTTTTTGCGGTTTCCACGTCTCTTGGGGTTCGGGCAAGCCAGCGGGCACGGAGAGAGTAACTAAATATCAGTGCGTCATATCTTAACCGCGCGAAAACCTCCTCTACCTGCTGGGGCGACCCACAGTGCCGAAAGCACGCAATATGTGAAGTCTTTGGTCCTGGGCTTACCACTGGTCAGAGCTGCTAAAAGCTTCTTTTTAGTCGAAATACAAAACATAAGTGGTGTGAACCATTTCAATTATTTACAAAAGTAGTTTTTGTTCAGTATTTTAGGTCAGAAAAGAAACAAATGCAGTTTATAAAGTATGGAAACAAGAAATGACCCGTCTACATAGCCGCCACCAAGCGGTGGAAAAGGCGGTAGTGGGATCAGGCACCGACGAGCGGCGAGCGTAGAAAGGTCCCGGATGTACGCGGCTGCGCTGCAGTCGAGCATCTGACCGGTTCCGAGCGTTCCGAAGCCTTCGGTGAGCAGCTTTGGCTTGCGGTTTGGCCTTTTGGCGGTATGGCAGCGCGAAGTGGCTCCCGTTCTGAACTGATCTTTCCCCCGTGTTTGCTGTAGTTTGTGGCCAATGAAGTGTCATGCTGAGTTAGTGTTTAATCGCGCAGCAAATGCAATGCGAGCCGCCCTGGCTGCCTGCTTCATACAGCCTATCCAGCACATGCTTTAGTGGCGCCCTCTCGAGCCGTCGACACGGAGTGCGGCAGCCGTGAGCGCTCGCTGAGCTCACTACCCCTCCTCTAGTTCACGTCCACTCAAGCAAGCAAGGACGTCATGAAGAAGGTTATGTTTTGCTTGTTTCTGTAATTTTAATTTGCCAGTAACTTTTAAAATAAAGCGAAATTCGAGAAAAGAAAAGTTTCAGTAAGTTACTATGTTCAGTGTGCTCAGGTTCAGTGCAAATTAAAAACCAGTTAAAAGTCCTTGCAGGGCCCCTTTAAAAGCACCTCTATGTCAAGGAAAAAATCAGCTAAATTTAGCGGAAAAAATTCCCTGCTAAATTTAGCAGAAAAAATTCCCCGCTAAATTTAGCGGAAAATTTTCCCTGTTAAATTTAGCGGAAAAATTTTCCTAAATGGAAGGCATGCAGGAGAGTACCTTCCCCTTCTCCTCCTAAAGAGCTGCGCCCCGATTCTGCGTTACAGGGAGTTGTAAATCTTTCATTCTTTTTAACATGCATTTATTTTCCTTTTTTTTTTCATCGTGGTATGGGCGCATCTTGTGTCATATTTTGTAAATACGGTATTGTTCAAAGTTTTTATTGACGGTATGAACTGTATCGCTTTGTTATATGTTGTTCCTCCCTGCTATGGCCCACGGTCCAGCAGTATATGTAGGTATATATAAGTAAAGAATGCACCCACCATGTGGAGATAAAATTTTCAGATCTTGCTCACTGAAGGACCGATTTCTTCTGTGTATCATTCTCGACGCACTTTTGGCATACTCACGCAATCACTCGGTGCCCCCCATCCCTCCCCCCGGGAACATGGAAGCACTACGCCTCTGTCTGTTGTTTCTATTCTACATGACCGCGCTTTAAATATCCAAGAATATTTTATCAAAAAACTCTCCTGTTTAGTTTTAAAGGTGTTTTACAAACCTTGTTTACTGGTTTACTGACGCCAGATCAAGTGAATAAAAATCGCTGCAAAGCAATGAGATTGTTTTCTGGCATTCCTAAGTAATTAATTTTTTTATTGCCATTAAAATGAGAGCTCTGTGGTGCTTTCGGCATTTGTTGTTCACTGTTAACCTTAGGTTATTAAAACGACACCACAACATGCATAAAACAAAAAAAAGTTCTGAAACAAATTTGGTACAACTTTGTGAAAAGGTTAGGGCCCAGTTTAATACTTGTAAATCATTGTAAATGGCTTCACGCCGCACTGCAACGTCACGGGCTACGTCTCCAGAGCGGGATTGGCTGGGATAGCTCGCTGCGTCCGCTGCGTCCGGACCGAGACAAACTACGTCAGGATTGCGGCGTGTGTGTGGTGTTCGTCTTCGAAGGGGCGTCGCAGGTACGATTTAAAAATATTTAGAAATTAAAAATCAAGGTCCGTCGTCAGTAGGACGCGGCCAAAGTGCACACAAGCCCCGAAAACAAAATAAAAATAAATGTGAACAAAAGAAAGCTGCTACCAGCTAGGTGGCGCAAGCTGCCCTCTAACTCGGCGGGTTCAACCGTTCAGCGGTTTAGCCAGCTGTGTTTATGGTGTTGTTTATCTGGCGATCTATTCGTCCTCGGTTGTCGGTGGTCTTCGGTTGTTCGGTGCGTTCGGTGTGGTGTTTAAAAGGTTTAAACAGCTGTTTTTAGTGCAGCATTCGAGCTCATGATACGAGAAAGAACTGTTTTTCTTGGCTGCCATAATCAGGCTTGACTGCACGTGCGCTGAACGTTGGTGCTGGTTTTCAGCTGTGAGCCGATGGGCTCAGACGCATCGCCAGGATGTCATCGAGTCCGTTGAGCCACATCGTTTGCGAAGCTGTCGGAGCTGAAGAACATGCCACTCAGTCCGGTGAGATTACGGATAAGTGGGGTAAATCATTTGGTAATGAGCAGAGATCATATAAAATCTGAACTTAACTAGAAATAAAGCATTCGGCGCCTCTTCCTCCGTTCACTGCCCGACCAGCAGCATCAATAAATACCCGCCAACGGTATTGTCGTTGTCGGCCCCCACGGGGCTTGCGCCGCCGGCATGTTTGCCAACAGCACGTACAGTGGTTAAATTTTTTAAATAATATCAAGCGAGCGTTGACCGCTGGGACGGCCAGTGCCGTGTCGCGGAGGTGTGCGGCGGTACGGGAGAGATTAAGCGCGTGCGCACAAAGCCCTTTCTGGTAAGAGCGTCGTCTGCTAGGCTATTCCGTTGATCGCGCACAGCCCCTGCTCCGTAGCAAAGGAGCGCAGGGCGCTTGCAATGTCAAAGTTCATCAAGGGGCTGATGCAGGAATTTCCTGAGGGGGGGGGAAGGGGGGGGGGGGGGGGTCAGGTGTTGGTCAGCGTACCATATGTTTACGAACCCCCTCCCCCTCTCTTTCGTTTTACTCACTAAATTTTACACATGCAGAAATCAAGAGGGGGGTCAGGACATCCGGACCCCCCCTCTCAATCTGCCCCTGGGTGTATCACTGATGCGTCCCTCTTCTTGGAATGCGTTCACAATCCTATTGACGGTAGGTAGCCTGTGTAACCCCGACTGTTGTTGCTCTATCCCCTTTGCGTCATGCCGCCCATCGGCATTCTCAGATTACGTTCAGTAATTGGGGTTGTGTGATTATTTATACAGCGAGTCGTTGGTCAGCCATCTTTAAAGTTGCGACGAGTCACTCGCTGTAGATGAGCAATTTAGCCAGTGCAGTACAACCGCTAGCCTGGGGTCTTTAACATGCTCACGCAGTGGTGATACACGACCGCACGCCGGTACGATGCTCATCCAGATCGAAACGGGCAGGGGCGGGGATTGAGCCCAGGATCCCTGAGTTCTGCAGCGCGAGCTTTCGCTCCACGTGCTCCGAGATGGTGTGCGCTAGCCCACTTGGCCACCAATCCCCCTCTCAAAATTCGTTCCCGTTTTTATGGGCACTCGAGGAGGCATAAAAATGTGCGCACGCCCGCTGGTCCAAGCAAAGTGCGACTCCCCGGCTACATAGTGTAGATGACGACAGCAAAAACATAGTTCATAATACAGAACACCAAGCGTAAACCCTGTCTATACTTTGTTTCACTTTGTATTGTACCACAGGCGACGCTATGAGCCACCTTGACCAGTCCATCGCTAAAAGTGTGTCACGTGGTCTTCCCAATGAGTACACTTGCTCGTGGAAGCACAATGTCACGTAGCAGGATGAAAGCACTGGATTGGTTTTGATGGCTCGTAGCATTGGCTGTGATATATAGTTTAATGCATCAGTGCATTCAGTTTGTCGCGTCACTGTATTTTTCATTTTTGCTGGTGGCCACAAAGTAAACACAAACATAAAAAAAGAGAAAGATTAAACTCGTGATGACGCGCGGTTTATGCTACGCCTGAGCAGCATCACTCAAGCAAGCACTGTTCAGATCTTTGCTCAAAGGCGGCTAGCTCTGCCAGCAGATAATAAACAGGGGCTGTGTGCGGTCAACAGAATGACCTGCAGACGACTCTCGCTCCGGAAAGAGCTTTGTGCGCATGCGCCTAATCTCTCCCGCATTGCCGCACGCCTCCGCGGCACGGCGCTGGTTGTCCCGGCGATCGACGCTCACTTGATATTATTAAAAGCTGGGGCCAATGTACACACAGAACAGCTACGGAAAAATAGTGAGAGATCTGGAAAACTTGACAGTTGTGCCACAGCCACTTGTTCAAAGGGGGCATGTTTGGCGGTGGCTTGGCACAGAGCCATATATAGAGAGTTTGGCCATGTATGAGGCAAATAAGGATGCGCCATTGGTCGAAAGCGGGCTGGGCATTCTCCAAGGCGTCTTCACAAATTCGAATGTGGCCAACCAGAAGCCGGGAATAATACCCTGTTGGTGGTCGCGAGAAACAAAACTAATAAGTGCTTCGGCATAACTCTTGGTGACTGAAAATAGGGTGCACGTGATGTTTCTACCACAGTCATACATATATAAAGATATAGAAGATATAAAAAGTGTGCTCGACTTGCAGAATGATCGATGTAATCCATGCGCTGAGGGCTGGGAATCTGTCGTCCGAGTGGTCAGGCTCCGTCTGAACAAAACAGAGTTTGAGCGTCGTCAGAGTTTCTTACATCTTTTTGCATGATTATCATCGAAACATCACATGCGCCATATTTGCAGCCATGAAGAGTTACTACATTTCACTCTTACGCACCTATTAAAACTGTTTCCTGCTACCACCGCTAGGGGATTATTTTCGACTTCTGGTTGGCCAAGAGAGCATGTCAAGTCGTCTTTCTGCGTCTGGTGCACGCCCTGGCTCTGGCCGTTCCTTCCATTGACCAAGCTCTGTCTATATACGATTCTGACTTAGTGTAAAGAGCCTCAAGTAAGAGTGTGTTCAACTCAAACCATGGAGAGCTTTTGCAATTTAATGGCGGCGTTAGAGATGACGGATTATATCTTTTTTTATGTTTAAAAAATACTTATTCAATCGGAACAAAAATAGTGTCTAAAGAAAAATGTTACTTTATTTTTTGCATAAAATATTCAAGCATCTCCAGGGCTGCTCCTAACTGGAGTTATGTTGAAAAACCACCAGTAGCCCCATAGACCCAGAGCAAATTTCGCGATTTAATGGTGCCCGTAAACACGTAATCCCGGCCGAGTAGTTGAACACACTCTTACTTGAGACACTCTAGCTTAGCAGTATTTCCTTTAAGAGGCTTAGTCCCAATGTCTCGTGTAGGGTGTCCACAATGAATCTCTGCACTTCAGAACAAGCAGAAAAAAATTGGCGCTCACACACATAAAGTTTAAACTTGCACCGAATTTGCATTGGGGCGGTGGTTCTTAGTTGGGGAAATTTTAAGGCACAACTCCCTTCCTGTGACAAATGAGACCAGCAAACTTGCCAGGGTCAATGGCGGACAGGTTTGCAGACGACAGAGTTAGTGATGCCTGTTACGTGTGGCGCCATCGCAGCGGGCAGACAACAACAACAGAGTGCATAATCTGCTCGCTGCGCCTATTGGGAGATGACACTGCACGTTACAAGCATAGCTAACTAGTCGACCGTGAACCCTTCCACCATTGACCCTGGCAAGTTTGTTGGTCTCATTTTTCCCGGGAGGAGAACTATGCTAGGGAAAACAGTGCCGAAAAAACACAAGAACCAAGGCAAGTTTGTTGGTGGCCATATCTTGTCCCTCTTGTGCGCCTTGTCCTGTCCTTCTTGCCTTGTTCCTTGCATAATTTTGGCACTTTTTTTGTAGCTATGAACCAACTGACCCAAATCACCACTTTACTGAAGATATCTGTGCCTTAAAAGGGGGCCCCTAAAAAAGAAAAAAATGGTTTTTTAGTCTGGTTGGGACACGTGTGTCCAAAAACAAATTTTATGCGAAATTTTTTTTTCTTGGGCAATATTGATAGCGAGAGATTTATCTGAAATTCCGATCAAAGTCCACAACGTCACGGGTCATTCCGGAATGACCATCTCGGTCATTCACTCTTCTCACCTCAATATGAAGGCCAAGCCGATCCACCTCTCCTCCCCGCGCCCGAAATGCCGAGAGAGAAAACAAGTGTAAAGGAGGTGACTAGCCACTAAATCGTGTCTCGTGCCGTCAGTCTTGCTCTAAAAAAATTTTTTTTTTTTGCATAATATGAATTTTTTGACACGCGTTTCCCGACCTGACTGTTAAAAGAAAAATTGTTTTCTTTTCAGGGGCCCTTTAAAACTTTACCAGCTAAACTCCACCACCTCAGTGCCTATTCGTGAAAGTTAGGGCTTTCCATGTGCAGGTGCTGTGCTGATTTTTCCGGATTGCTTTAGAGCCGAGGGGTTGATCGTAGAAACCCCATGTATCGGCTAGGTACACTAACTGTTAGTACTAAAAACACTGGCTAGGTGGCACAAGCTGCCGCCCTGTTTAAAGGTTTCGGCCATATGCATTCGGTCATCCATGTATCGTGGAGGCCTCCATCGAGCTCTTCTCTCTGCTAGTGTCCCAGGGTGCCGACTCTACTGGTGACGAAACGGCTGAGGCCTCGCGTTCGGCGGACCAGTCCAAAATGGCGTCCTGCGTGCCAGGGGAGCAGATGGATCTCCCGGAGCGTCCGGAATTGGAGGAGAGCTCAGACTTGGTCATCTGTGAGCCCGAAGCCTCGCAGGTACGGCTGGATTCTCTATAGCACGGCACAAGATTTCTACATCCATTGAGCCGTCACTACGGCGCCTACAATGCTCTTCTGATGCGCGTTTAGTGTCCCATAGTGCCCATGCATCAAAGGTGATCTTGAAGTGAAAACTAATGATGTCACACGAGACGGCGTGTCGGATGCCGCGATCGCGGTGGTCCGTCGCAAAAAATTTGCCGAAAACGACGAGCAAACGTTGGTGTCGCTGTCGCCGTGGTGTCTCAACTCGTTGTGAAAGCGTGTGTGGACTGTCGATCCGTGAGCGAGCCGCGGCAGAACGGGGACCTCTGGTGTGTGCCTCCGTGAGCACACGCCCGTTTTGCTGTAGGTCACTCTAGGGTGACCACCTGTCTCGCGACTCGTCCCGCGACTCGCGGGACTGTCCCTCATTGAGGGCTTATGTCCCACGTCCCGCAATAAACATCAAAATCTTCAAAATGTTCCGCATTTCACACTGTCGTAAAACTCACTACGCATCTCATGGCGTTACCGAACAACGGAGCACGGGGAAGCGCAGAGGTCGCTGGTAAACGTGTGAATCACGATGGTACACCACTTTCTATCCAAGCATTGCGGGTTGTGACCGCCGTTCTTGCAGGAGAACTGACGCGCATGCGCCGTTGTGCCTCTGGAGTCTTTTTCCTTGGTGACAAGATATTGCGAGAGAAAATTGATTGCCAAAGGTTAAAAATAAATTATTGTAATTATTTTCAAATGGTGCTGTGTCAGTGCAAAAAAGTTGCTGTGGAAAGTTTTTTTTTTTTTGTTTTTGTTTAGTGAAGATGATAACACGAGGCAAAAAGACCAACTCACAGCAGTCAAAAACAACAACATAAGTTCAAAATTTGTGTAGGAGCATGTTGGTAAAAATAAGAATCGACAGGAAACAAGGAGCTGTAAAAGATTTACTGCTTCTCTCTTTTTGATGCATTGAGTTCTGCTGCAGTCGATCAAAACTTAAAATAAATCACTGGGAAACAGTCGATTAAAACTAAAAATATATCACTGGGAGTGAAAATTATTTGAGTTTAATTGCCGCAATACAATTTGCAGCTATATATTATGCTTTCGTACATGACATCATATTAAATATGTTAACAGAGCCACATTTTGTTGCATGTGTTAATAAATTTCCTCGAATAGTTATTTTGTATGATGCTTTTTAACTTAAGATGAGGCAAAAGGAGGGGAAAAAAAAATCTTACTCCTTCTGCCCGTCTCAGGTTAAAAAGGATCATGGTAAACTTCCACCAGCTCAACTACGCACTAAGTTCTTTTTTGCAGTTGCCACAGTCGAATTATAATACTGTTCTTTTCTTACAATCCAACCCCCCCCCTCCCCGGATCAGCGTGTCTCGCATTTTGCTAGCAAAAAGGTGGTCACCCTAGGTCGCTCTGCGGTCGACGGAAACCAAAGCAGGCCCAAGATGGTACGGCGAGACAATAGCAACCACCGGCTATCTGACTGAATGGCACGCTGGCTCCTGCAGTGCAATTCGTTGCCCCTTCAAGACCAATTTTTGATGCTTGGGCAGAGTAGGACGGTAAACGTGCCAGTTGAAGGCGCTTCTGAGGCACAGTACCATGGGCTAGTCCAGTGCCTAGCCGCCTATGTGGCTTCGAGGCAGGGTTGGACAGAGGTACTCCAAAAAGTAGTTAGGAATACAAATACTGAGATACGTGTATTTTAAAGCCAAAAATGCAGATACTAAGATACTACGTTTGTCTTTTATGCAACGGGATATCCCTGAGATACTTCTGAAAAAGACGTTGAAAAAGTATTCCGAAAAACAGATACAGATACTTATAGAAATACATTCGTTCCCGAACAGTGCTATATGGGGAGGGCGTAGTTTGTGGCAAAGGCAAATGGCAATTTATGCTTGTGCTTCTCTTTTTGTGTCATTTTATGCACTTCCCCTCACCTCAAACTAATGCTGCTAAAAGAAAACATGTCATGCTTGGTGAACCACATAGTTTTTTAACAGTAAAGACTGTGTGCTGTGCTTGACAAAAGGTGTTTGCACGAAATGAACCCTGTTTTGCCGTGAGGGCACATCTCAAGCTGTCGTCTTATATTCTTCTGAGTCATCCATAGTGTGAGGAGATTCGAGAACAGAGCTGTATACCTTTTCTCCACTTAACTCCTTTGCAGCGTTCAATATTCTAAATTGGAAAGAGCGGAAGGCTTTGTAGGAACAGCTTATTTTGTTATTCCTGCAAGTAACCTTCTTTAGACTGCAGGTTTTTTTTTATGTAGGTGACTGTGATGGATTATGTTATAAGGCGGGTTCATGGTATAAATTCCGAAGAAACTTGCACCAAACACATGTTATCTTCTAAATTTATCGTAAAAACGGCAACAAATATAACAATATACCTAAGTCTGGCAAAGTATCGCGATACAAGCGATACATAATGTAAATGTATTTCACTACTACTGAGATACATATAAATTTTTCAAATGTGTCTAGATACAGAAATACGGATACTCGAAAGTATTTCTAAGATACTATCGTGATATGTTTGTATCATGATACTGTCCAGCCCTGCTTCGAGACAAGACGCCGGCAGAGTCCTTCGATACGCTTCTAGTCACGAAGCTTCGGCCCAAGTTCGGTACAGGGGCAGAAAGTTCTGCTAGGTGCGCCACTGTCCCGGAGGGGGCATTTTTGTTTGGCCACTTTACCCCGAGTGAGCCACCCAAATTCGCGATTACAAGTAATTTTGACAAAACAGTTTCTCATACACTGGCATTTTGTTACACCTGTGCTCGATCTCTGTATCTAAGCATTGATTGATCTCTAACGAGAGAACTTACAAATAAGCTTCTTTCATTTGTTTCTGAACAAGACAATGTCTGCAAGTGAAAATGAGTCAGCCCATTGAGCGTATGGGTTCACACTGCCTCTGCTAGGTGGCACTAGTCATGGCGCTAAACTTTTGACGGCGACTGGACTATTTAAAAGTAACTTTGAGAAAATTAAAAGGAATAAAAATGATAATATATCGGAGATTGTTGCAGATACGTAAGACTGAGCAGTTGGTTGAGTGTACAGAGCCGAAGACGCTTACATTAACGGGAAATGCTGTCAATGCGACAACGTGTTATCGCAATCTAGGGGCGGCTCCTTCGGAGGGGGCTTTAAAATTCTGACATACATCCTGGTTGCCAGACTCCCAACAGTGCTGGCTTTATTGGCGGCTCCTAGCCCCCTCGTCGACGCCAGCTTTGCGCAGGGTTGCGTACCAAGCTTTCCCATGGCGTTACGGAGAAGTTCTGGGACCAGTTGTGTATTGAAGGACTCCCGCGCCGGCCTAGGAATCCCCAGGTGGCGGTTTAAGTACCGGCCGAGGTGCTCGCAATCTGATGGAGGCGATTTGCTGCGAAGGTCGAGATTTTGGTGGTAGCACGTCAAAAAATCCCTGGGCGGCCCAAATGAATCCTCAGCCCACCGCCAGGGCGTGCCAGATGCCTTTCGTCGAATAGGCATGTATAACCCTCCAAATTTTATTTTTTTACCGAGTACCTCTCTCTCCCTGCTCTGTTTGTCCAGATTGAGGAGGTGAGCAGGGAGCTGATGATACTGAATGACGAGGGTGCTCGGTGCCTCCGGCTGAGTGCTGAGGCTGGCAACGCTGCTCCGGCGGAGAGCCCCCCGCGTAAGCGACTCCGGGAGGAGCGCCGAAAGAAGGGAAAGAGGCGCAAGCCCCGGAAGCCCCCGCCGCCTGAGACGGACCTGGACCGTTTTCTCGAGGACACGGCTGAGAAGAACAACCTGACCATCCAGAATGTCAAGAACATCATCAGGGTGAGCAGAGGAGTCATCGCTCGTTATACTCTGCGCGTCTCTCGGGTTGAATGTTGGGCCTGCAGAGGCCAACGTTGGGCCTGTTATGTTCATAGTTGCTTGACGTTGGGCCTGGGATGGACAATGCTGGTCGACGCTGGGCCTGTTATTGCAAACAATGGCTCAACCTTGACTGATGTTGGGCCTACAATGGCCCAGTGCTGGTCGATGTCGGACCTGTAGTGGCCAGTTATGGCCTAGCATTTGACTAGTGTTGGCCATTGTGGGCTAGTGATCTACTGGAATTGCAAATGTTGCGAAGGATTTATAATATCCTTGAGCAATTTCCCGTTTTGGTAAAGGATTGTTCTTGAACTCCAGTTTGACTTTAAATGACAGATTACTTATCTTGCACGAAGGAAATTGGTTACGGAAATAAAGCAGAGAAGTGGGTTAGTGGCTAGGAATGTAACATAGTGAAAAACAGCACTAAGAAAATTGGGACAGAGAGAAGAAACACGCGAGACGTATCAGGGGCTCAAGGTCCTTGTGGCTCTTGCGGGAATGCACGAAAACCGAAGTTGCTTGCAGCATCTTTGAATCACCGTTGTGCCTCACCATTGTGTCCGCAGAGGGTGGTGACCAATGAGCGTGTGCTGGCCATGCTGAGGAAAAGCATGCTGTGCCACGTGTCTGCTGAGGCAGCCGGCATCGACCTGGACAGCATGGAGTACGAGCCCAAGTTCACCCGGGCCAAGGCACGCGAGATAATGGAGAAGCAGCCCCACGTAAGTCACGTCCTCACATGGTCCCTTCCAAGGGCGATTCTTGCCTGGGCATCATGGCTCACAGTTTCGTCCAAACCGTTGCAAACTTGTTTCCTATTAGAACTAGAATGACAATGACTCGGGTTAGATATATTTTTTTCACTTGGTACATAGACAGTGTTTCATTGACATGCTCGGGTGTTGCACGTGCGAACTGATTTTTCAGAACTGTTCCAGAAGCCAGGGCTTGTCATGATGAGACAAACTACACTCCGACTTTGCGTGACAAATATAACACTTTGATCGGACGTCTCGTCCCTCATACAAGAGAAATCATCTGCGATGCCGAGTTGCCAAGAACAAGAAAATACAACCAGTAGCTTTATTTATGAAGGTCCATGTACAAAGTGCATCCGACTTGGTGTCGCGTGACAGTGCGACTCAAAACTGATGTAAATTTCTTCGCCATATTTAGCCGGAAAAGAGGCGTCATGCGATGTTGTGACATTATGATGTCCTGCGGCGAGACAAACACAAGCAAAAAAGGCCCTTTGAGGGTCTCCATATAAAGCCGTCGCTTTGAAACCAATGGTGCGCACAGGTGTTTGGACGACAGTAGCCTTCTTTGAAACGTGTTTCCACCGTGCAGCTCCTGTGGCCGGTGTCTCCCATGAAGCTGTCGAGCGGCTCCAGCTCCCAGAAGCTGCTGCAGCAGGAATTCTCTGAGGAGAGCGGCTCCGACGAGGAGTACCAGCCGGCTTCCGAGGAGGTGCGTAGCCCCCTTTCAGCTCCGATGAAGGGGCGCAATCTGACGAGATGTCCCTGGTGAGATGCAACTCGTGTGAAGTAGCCGAAAGAAGGCTAACTTGAAGCCGTCCCCGATTCAATTGGTTTTCTTCTCGTACGGAGTTTAATTATGCAAATTTAACGGGACAGTGCCTCTGATGTCTCTTCCGGTCCTTTAGGCCTTGAGTGCCAACTCTTTTGTGCCACATTGCCAAGGCTAGCGTAGTTCCTGCAAAGGTCCGATGCTGTCAAAGCTACTCGCACAGTACGAGAGAGCGTTAGAACGAGACGGAAGACCAAGCCACATGCTTTTGCAGCGGTGCGCTGCAAAAGCATGTGGCTTGGTCTTCCGTCGCAGCGCAAAAAAAGTTGATGCCGAGTACGGGCATTCCAAGCGTGATGGACAGTAAGAGTGCCCTACTTTTATAATTGAATCACATACAAGAAGAAGACTAATTGAATTAAAGATGACCTCAAGCTAGCCTTTCTAGTATAAAGCTTGCTGCACCATTGTGAAGTTATAGTTGCAACTGCGTACCACAGGACATTCTGCCTCTCCACAGTTCTGTGATGCTCCCTCTGCTTCTTTTTTTAATAGAGCCTTTTTCAAATGATTGATAAGCTTCTCTTTCATATCTAAGTGCTTTGGTTATCTTTTGCACCATTTTTTTTCCCCTTCTGTGTGCTGAGTGTCGTTTTAATGATGCGTGCTGGGAATGCCACAGAGCGAGGAGGACACGGAGGCTCCCTCTTCTGTGGGCACCTGTGAGGTGTTCTCTCCCGTCGCGTCTGAAGCCGCCCTCGAGACCCCTGAGAAGAGGGACGCGTCGGCGGATGCCACGGCCTCTCAGGAAAGCCCGCTCTATGACAAGGTGGGTGCCTTACTTTCCGTCTCGTCTCGCTGCAAGGTCTCTCGTGTTGGCAGTAAAACTCCACTTGCAGCTGCGCTTAAATTTTTTTTTTTCACACGCAACATTTGTTTGACGTGTTCTGTTGTCATTTTGTTTTTACAGCGACGCTGTTATATGCTAGAGTCTGGAAAAAAATGCCTCCTCACATGTCGACTGAAAACTCCCCATTGGTAATGGCAAGTATGAATAAATAAAAACAAAAAGAGGGGGCAACCAGCGTGATTCAGCCTTCCTTGGCATTATTAGATAGTGTGGTCCAGATCCCTTGTTATCATCTCTAGGCATTGTGCTCAAGGTCATCCTAGAAGTCGTCCTTGAGGTCATCTGAAAGGTCGTTTCAGGCGTCATCCTCTAGGCGTCGTCCTTGAGGTCGTCCTAGACATTGTCCTCAAGGTCGTCCTAGAAGTCGTATGAGAGGTCGTCCTCTAGGCATCATCCTAGAAGTCATCCTTGAGGTCTTCCTAGACATTGTCCTAGAAGTCGTCCTTGAGGTCGTCCTAGGCGCCATCCTCGAGGTCGTCCTAGGCGCCATCCTCGAGGTCGTCCTAGACGTCGTCCTCGAGGTCGCCCTAGAAGTCGTGCTTGAGGTCGTCATCGACGTCGTCCTCTAGGCGTTGTCTTTGAGGTCGTCCTAGACGTTGTCCTCTAGGCATCATCCTAGACGTCTTAAAGATTACAGCTTCGCTGGTCTTCCATCTTCACATGAAGTGGAAGGGCTCTACAATTTTTTTCTTACGAGTGCTGGTGGTGTTTGTGATCAGGGCTTCTTTGGCACCAAGGTCATAGTAGGGAGAAGTTGCCCTCTTGAGAGGATGGGGTGCAGAAGTACTCCCCTGAAATGCCAAATCTCTTCTGTTCTCTCTTTTTTTTGTTCCAAAATTCACTTCTTACTCTCGCCCTTGCCCGTTTTTCCTTCATTGCCCCTTCCTTTTCCTTCTATGCCACAGTGTGGGGCCCGCAGGCTTAACAATATGTTTCTGGAGGCTTTTTTTTTGCTGTCGGAGCCGGCCCTCACAGTCTCTCGGCGCTCACCATCTTCCTTTACGCTGGCCCTCACCGCCTTCCTTTACGCTGGCCCTCACCGCCTTCCTTTACACGTCTTTCTCTTTGCGGGGAATAAGAGCCCCAGCCTCTTTCATCTGATCCCCTCTCTAGGCAATTTCTTTCCCATTGAAACAGCTGTGTTACCGCATTAAGCACTTTGAGCCTATAGCACATTCCACTCGATTGTCAAGGTGGAGTGACAAACAGTGTAGTACGAACTCACTTTATGTGACACTAAATGTCCATTGTAACTTCCTAATTGGCAATTAATTTAGTTTTTTGTTAATAATTAATTTCCACCTAACTTGGCAACTCGGGAAAGCTACGGCTTCAGCGAACCACTCGGAGCTCGGGCACAGGAATATTTTATACTATCACTCTTATATACATAAGCGTCGCAAGTCCTCATCTCATTCGGGTCCGACTAGAACCGGCCCGCTTCCTAATACTCCAAGCCAGCATGTGCAGTTCCCGTACTTGCACACCTAGCTTGTTCTGGGGCCGCCAGGCGTGGTCAGCCGACGTACACAGTGACGGTCTACCTTCAAGAGCACACTCCCCACGTGGAAAGCTGTCACATGCTTCATTTCATCGCTCTCGTTGGCTCGGGGGGCTGCAGCATTTTCCCCTTGCCAAGTGCTACAGGAACCTAGTATGGCCAAGAGCAGAGTCGGCAATGATCGGGCACCTTCCGCACGCTTTCAGGACGGCGGGGTGGTAGCGGAACGCACGCGGTCTAAGCTACCGCTGGACGACACCCCGCTGGAGTTCCTCGAGGCACAGTTCATCGCCCCCGACATCACCCCGGACATGTACGACACGGACTGCGACGACGAAGAGTGGAAGGAGTTCCTTGTGTCCCTCATCAAGCCCTTCGGTGAGGGAAGCCCTCCCCTTACGGGAACTCTCCCCTTTTACATCTCGTCCTGTGTCGACGGTTGACACAAAGTGGGAATCTCTTACTCGTTAAACGTTACTGGCAATCGGGGGCCGAGCGTATTAACACACTGTAGCTTTTTACACACTCAGTGTTGCATTGTAGCTTTAACACACTCAGTGTTGCACAGTAGCTTTAACACACTCAGTGTTGTACCATAGCTTTAACACACTCAGTGTTGCACAGTAGCTTTAACACACTCGGTGTTGTACCATAGCTTTAACATTCAGTGTTGCACAGTAGCTTTAACACACTCAGTGTTGTACCATAGCTTTGACACACTCAGTGTTGCACCGTAGCTTTAACACACTCAGTGTTGTACCATAGCTTTAACACACTCAGTGTTGTACCATAGCTTTAACACACTCAGTGTTGCACAGTAGCTTTAACACACTCAGTGTTGTACCATAGCTTTAACACAGTTAGTGTTGCACCATAGAAAAATTGGTTTGTGGTATGTTTATACAGCCTAGAACTTGGTCTGCTTCACAGGGGCGACGAGTCTCCCAGCTATCGATGAGCAATTTAGCCAGTGCAGTGCAACCGCTAGCCTGGGGTCTTTAACGTACACCACGCAGTAGTGATACACGACTGCACGCCGGTGCGATGCTCATCCAGATCGAAACGGGCAGGGGTGGGGATCGAACCCAGGATCCCTGGGTTCTGCAGCGCGAGCTTTCGCTCTACGTGCTCCGAGCTGGTGTGCGCTAGCCCACTCGGCCACCGATCCTCCCTTGCACCGTAGCTTTAACACACTCGGTGTTGCACCATAGCTTTAACACACTCAGTGTTGCACCATAGCTTTAACACACTCAGTGTTGCACCATAGCTTGAACACACTCAGTGTTCCTACTAGCTTTAACACACTCAGTGTTGCACCATAGCTTTAACACACTCAGTGTTGCACCGGGGCTTTAACACACTCACTGTTGCACCGTAGCTTTAACACACTCAGTGTTGTACTGTAGCTTTAACACACTCAGTGTTACACTGTAGTTTTAACACATTCAGTGTTGCTCCATAGCTTTAACACACTTAGTGTTGTACCATAGCTTTAACACACTCAGTGTTAACCCTTCCTTGTCAAATAAAATTCAGCTGTGTTTGAGACTTTGTGTTTGTTCGTCCCTTTTTGTCCCAGTCTCGGGGTTTTTGTCGAAATGTTTAACCACCACCAGCTCGTTTGCGCCCTTACCTTTTGTACACTCAGTGTTACGCCGTAGCTTTAACACACTCAGTGTTGCACCGTAGCTTTAACACACTCAGCATTGCACCGTAGCTTTAACACACTCAGTGTTGTACCATAGCTTTAACACACTCAGTGTTGTGCCGTAGCTTTAACACACTCGGTGTTGCACAGTAGCTTTAACACACTCGGTGTTGTACCATAGCTTTAACACACTCAGTGTTGCACAGTGGCTTTAACACACTCAGTGTTGTACCATAGCTTTAACACACTCAGTGTTGCACCATAGCTTTAACACACTCGGTGGAGTGAAAGCTCGTGCTGTAGAACCCGGGGATCCTTGGTTCGACCTCCACCCCTGCCGGTTCGATTTGGACGAACATCATAGCGGGTGGCGTTTGGTCGCGTATCACTACTGGGCGGTGCATGTTGAGGACCTCCGGGATGGCGATTGTACTGCACTAGCTAAATTTCTTGCGTACAGTTAAGACATGAGACTCCCATTGGAACTGACTGACTTCCTGTTGTCTGAAAAAACACACAACACAATTTAATTGAAAAGAGGGGGTGTCCAACCAAACCCTAATTAGGAACCTTATGTTCCGAGACTTTTTTTACAGTGATAGCTGTTATGGGTTCTTCCCTCCAGTGGAAGAGATGTTCGTTGTTGACGTTGCAGTTATTGTTGTAGTTGGCAATGATATTGAAGTTGGCAATGATATTGTAGTTGGCATTAATGTTGTAGTTGGCGTCGTAGAGCGTCCGTCGTTGATGTTGGCAAATCCTTGAAAAAGATTGCATGCCGCTCGCGGAAATCGGACCTGGGTCCGCTGCATGCAAAGCGGAGGCATTACCACTATTCTACACTGCAGCGCTAATAACCTGCCTTATATATAGGGTTTTTGTAGTATGCAATGGCCCAATGCACTCACTCTCTGAAAAAATACAAATAAGTAGTCGATAACAAAATACCATCGTAGCACTGTCAATCCCAAGAGCTCATGCCGGGAGACATGGTTTCACGCACTCCGCAACATTGAAAGGTACAAACGCGTTCGGACCAAAGTGGTCAAATGTCTAACCCACAGTGCGCGAACGCGGCGCCGATGCCCAGCGACTTTGCCGTGACATTTTGCAGCGATTGCTGTAACTTTACTGAGGATTAGCACAGGACTGCTCAATTTTTAAAAAATAGCTTTGCCCCAACCAGGAAGAATTCTATAAGATGTTTGCACTCAGAACAATTTAATAATTGCATTTCACTAGTCTTTCCTGCCTTGCATAGCACAAAAATAGAAACCATCTCCCCTGGTTTGATTGGTACTGTCATGACCCTAACCTGCTCCAAAAAGCTATCACTAAACATATTTGCAGTGGTCCATGTTATGTGTGGTTGTTTTGTTCATAATTATCTTATTGGTACTATCCATTTGCTACAGCAGTGGTTCTCAACCACTGAGGTTTCTTTCGGAGATCCCTTCTGGATCAGCGAAAGTGATGGGCGATAACAGACGATTACGATGACAAAAGGGTAGTTAATGAGAGCTTCATGCTTGCGAGCCAACTTTGAAGCTCTGAAACAGACTAATCAGCCCTACTCACAAGGTGTACATGTCAGACAGTCACCATCAGTTTGAATACAAATGAATGAACAGACTCTCGAATAACCCCTTTGTTCCCCCAGAACGCGAGGACGTCCAGGAGGACAATGACGCTGAGGACCCTGAGTACAACGCCCAGGAAGAAGAGGACGAAACGGACTCGTGGGACCTGCGCAACGACCGGGGCGTCACAATTCCCCGTGAGTGGCACGCGGGAAGTGTCTGTGCCTAACGTGCGCGGGAGGTGTGCGCAACCGTGCGGGAGTTGTGCCGCAACCGTACGACATTGTTGAAGAAAGCTTCCACGTATTGTGCGAAAATCGTACGAGGACTGTAGGTCGACCTCGTCAACCGCCTTTTCCACCTTCAACGATATGCAGTTTGATGCACGAGTTGGCCATATTTTTCGGCGCACTACATCTCCGTGCAGAAATGACACGCATTTGGCGCCTCCAGCACCAAACATTGGTACTGTGGTTGCTTACTAGCACGATCCCCGGCACTAGATATATGTTACGTGCAAACATTTTATATGAGAAGTGCAGGGAAACGAGCGATTTCTGCTTTCCCGTTCTCGCCTCTCTTGCCTCGCGTGCCTTAAGTGTCGGCAGTTCTGCGTTATTTCTTTGTAAACTCGTTGTGTCGGCATTGGTTTTTGTGGGCAGCCTATCGGTGGCCACCGAATGCCCCTGAGAAGACGTCCCTCGGGGCGGGCGTGTGCAGGCAAGGAGCTGAACGAGCTGGTCACAGAGGTGATGCAGGTGGCCACCAAGGAGCTGCTGGATGGCGAGGACGAGGACGAAATCACCCCCATCAAGTGGGTCCCGCGCTCTCGTGGTGTGCAGCACTGTGCGGAGGGCTCGGGCAACGACACCTAGAAAAATTCTAGGCCCGCACACTCACAATTTTAATGTCATCCCAGTAAAGGCTGGTCCACATACCTGCGACTCCCCACAACCGGAGAGGCTAAGAACCGATTTTAAGCCTCTTGCGACTGCTTACAACTGTCTGCGCGGCGATCGTAAACAGTCACGAGACTCTTGAACAGTGGATTCTGTGCTGTCGGGTTGTAAGCATTGGCAAGCGTGTGAACCAGTCTTCAGATCTAGTGCAGATGCAGATTTGACATGTCCGCTCAATGCGTTGAAGGGCACTCGGCGCCATTTGTGCGTAACGACGACGTTATGCGGAGATAGAAGAGGTCATTCGCAGGCTTTATTATTCTAGTTGGTGTTGGCCCTAGAATCTCCGCCCGACCGGCCATCTGCCGTGCGCTTGGCGATGTGGCCAGCGGTTTTTGCTAGCGGGGCGGTGGGTGCGTCCCTTCCAGGGCCAAGGACGGGGCCCCCGGCTGCACGGGGGTCGGCTCGGGCGAGCTTTCGGAGGCGGAGATCTTCCTGGAGGCGACGGAGAGCGTCCAGCGGGAGTGCGACGCACAGCCGACGCCCCGCCAGATTCAGCAGCTCGAGGAGCAGATGCGCATGGTATGGTGCCCCCTCGCGCATTTCCCGGCTCGAGCCCTTTGCCCTTTTCTTTCCCGTTCTCTTGCTTCTGACGTGGAACTTGTCGTACGGCTGACTCCCATAGTCGGCGACGGGTTAAGAATGCCGTAAATTCTTTACCCTCAGTACGAGCTCTCTGCCTTCAATAACGCGTCGTCGTACCTGCGGCCCAAGCCTGGCGGAAGGCAACGAGCACGTCCTGGGGGGGCAGAGCTTCTACTGCATTCGTAGCTCGTTACCGACTGTGGTCACATCCTGTAATGCACCGTTATATTCGGAGAGTGATACATGGGTGCCACGTCGGCATTCGACCGGTGCTAGTGTCCTTGGTAAGCGACGTGGACAGTCTGGCACTATGGCCTTGTTGAGCGAGCGTGCTCGCGCATGTGACGGGAGAGTGTCCAGAAAGCGAGATGAAAGAGGTCAAACACGTGTACGTGGTTTAGAGGAAACGGGGGGAAGGGGGGGGGGGGGGAGGGGAGGGGGAGGGGGAGGGGGAGGGGGAGGGGGAGGGAGGGAGGGAGGGAGGGAGGGAGGGAGGGAGAGGGAGGGACGGAGGGAGGAGGGACGGGACGGACGCGAAGTAGCGAGGTCGAAGCTGGTGTGTGCCGCCGCAAGAGACCTGAACTTTGCATTCCACTTCCGCCGGAGTGGTAGCTATAGCAGTGCTTTCTTTCGGAGATACTACGCACAATGGTGTTCGTGCTACCGAGGTAGGAGATGTGATTTGAGTTTCTTAGTGTAATATCACAGCAAAGCAACGAACGATTTTCCAGGATTTCTCTTTCACCTTTTCCGTCTTGCCTTTCTTGTTGCCAGCCTTTTTCTTCACCGCCGCTCTAAGCAGCAGTAAAGACGCCAGCGGCGCGCACAAATCGATGCGCGCATTAGGCGAAGGATGCTACTTGTGAACCCCGCAAATGCATTCCCTTTGTTTAGAAATAGGGGCACAGAATAACAATTCCCGCATTATGAACATTAGAAGTTCATTCCGAGTGCTATTTAACCGAGGCGAAAATATCGCGATGCTTTTTACAAAGTGGCCCCACAAAGGGCAAATGGTGGCTGGACAGGCTAGGGCAGAAATTCTCGATTGATTTCGATGCACGAGAAGCCACTTTCGTCGCTGTCGAGGGTACGGGGATCGATGTGTGCCGGGGAAGTTGTGACACGTTCTCCTTCTCTCCCACTACCTCCTGCCCCTTATGCTGCCCCCTTGCGGAGCCTGGTTACAGCACGTGCAGCTGCTGACTCAGATGTGCCTGCTGTGCAGCAACAGTGATGTCCTCGCTCCCTACTTCAACATGTCCGAGGTGCTGCTGGTGAGTGACCCACGCCTGTGTCGTTCCCCAGGGTGCGCCGTTGCAAAAGTAACCGTGATGCGTGCACAGCTAGACAGTCGGAAGGTAGTGGGCCCCAATGGGCGGTCCGCACGCCGGTACAGCGCTCATCCAGATCAAAATGGGCAAGGGTGGGATTGAGCCCAGAGTCCCTGGATTCCGCAGCTCGAGCTTTCAGTCCCCGTGCTCTGAGCTCAAGTGCGTTAGCACAGTCGGCCACGTGTCCCCCATTATGACGTTTGCCAGGCTATGTCATTTGTCGTGCCGAGTCATGCCATTTGCCGAGTCATGCCATTTTCAAAGTTGCCGTCGGTCAGTCCTTTTCGTGAGTTATTCCGACGTCCACAAAATCTCGGTTGTGCCAAGTCACGCAAGCGCTCGCATCATCTAAGCCTGCAGCTTTACACTTTGGCAGAGCTTTAATCTTAACACGAAATGACGATTCAGCACCCCTACATTAGTTTTTTCCAGTATATGTACGGGGAAAGCTCAATTATGCATACGGATGCCGGTCCCGCTTTGACTATCATAAGACTATTCTGTTTACTGTAAACAACTTTATTTTTGGGGGCTCAATGTTTAGCGAATTTTGCGAAGTGTAGGTTTTGGGAACATTTTGCGGGCACAAAGTTGAATGATTTGTGGTATAGGCTACATATTCGTTGTCGTGGGAAGATCTATTCCTGCAATTCATTTTTTACAAAAAGTTTTCAAGTTGCAAAATTTATCTCCCTAAGTCAGTTACAGTATGTATTTGTTGCACTGCAATTTTGGGGTCTTCCCAGTTGTTACATTCAGGGTGTGACAGTTCAATGGTAAAAATGCAAATACCAGTAATAATTTAAGTCTGACAGTGATGCAGTTGACTCTCGATAATTTGAAGCTCACAAAGAGAGCAAAACGCTTCATATGAAGTGTACCTAAAAAAAAAAAAGCTTGAACCATGATTTTTTATTTACTCTTTCTCACTGGTTGAAGTTGATTTTTCTTTGCCTCCACTAGTAGAGCCACGCATTGTTTCACTTACAAAGTTGCGCAGTATTGACTATTCTCTGCAAATTGCGAACCGACTAGTGCAGTCTCCTCGGCAAAGAAGACGCAAAATTTTACTCCGTGGTGCCACAAGCAGTTTCTGCGTCAGCGAAACTTGGCCACTTGGCATGGGAAGTGACGTTCGTTGCGAGGCCTAACCACTTGCCTGATGTCACTGTCTGAAAGCGGACTACAGACCATGGCGTGTTTGTCGACATCAGAATATTCAATGGACAGAACATTCAAAGGGCTGGGTAATGCCTCAAGCCACACTTTGCTGGCCATACACGCTGCACAGCTGGGCTTGCTTCTATAACTTCCGCGGGGACGCCATGATGCTTGTGCCCGTATTGATTTGGCATGGCTTGGCCGCCTGGCGGCTTATTTGCGTGCCACGCCCGTTCCCTCTTTTCCTCGTCTGCGCATGCGGCGTTAAGTGTGCTCGGGCACCTTATAAGCTTGGTCCGAAAATTGTGAGGCTTTTTTATTCTCCCACCGTTGCTGGACTTCTTGAGTGCATAAAATTATCTTTCTAATTAATTAACCAGTCTCAGATGTTAAATCTCGAATTACTTACAATATTTCTTTCTTATAGACTGGTATGAGTAATTGTTAGAACCAGACTGACCAGAAATTCGAATAAAGCAACTTTGAATTACCGAGAGTCGACTGTAGACGCAGCTCTTCCACGGGACTGGTAGTGCGAGTTACAGGGTTGCCTCGGCGCTGGCACCTTCCCACGATGGGTAAAACTTCGTTGTCTGCTAATGGAGTTGCCATCTTGCCCTCACCTCCATGTTATGCTGCTATGCTGCTGACGTTATGCGTTCCAGGCACCATACGCCATGTTACACGTGCTTCCCACCTCAAATGGGTGGATGGATGAATTTTAACAGCGCCCTTTATAACGGGTGGAAGCTTGCGCCACCTAGCCTGAATACTAAAACAAAAACAGCTTTTTTTCCCCTTTTTCTTATCTTTTTTTCTGCCAATGTTGCGAATGCCTTCTTTGTCCACAGCGGGAGCTGGAGACGTTTGCGCTGCGGCCCCTGCCAGCGACAGTCCGGCCGTCGCTCTTCCTGGCGTCCAACCTGCAGCAGGCGGTGCGTCTGCTTGACTGGGTGCCCCGTGCCCCCGGCGTCGTTGGAGCACCACCCAGGACGGGCGTCCACGTCCTGAGACGCAGCACCCTCAAGATTCCAAGTGAGTGGGCGACCACCGCCAGTCAGTGCTCGTTTTGGCACTGTGCCGCATTTTCGTTGGCTTCATGCCAGCAGTTGATGCTGTGCCACACGTGGGGAGCTCGGTTCTTAATAGTGACTCTATATTTCAAAGTCCCAAGCACGCGAGCTATGAAAAAGGACGCCGCGCGGTGGTTGCTGCAGAAACTGCGTCAGCGCCTGATTCATCACTCTTGTATTTGGGGCATAACGCATGCATAGAGTTAATATAATAATCTAGAAGGACAGGTTCTATGCATTGGGGCTGCTCGAGAAGGGTGCTGCATAGACGGAGGCATCGGCGGTCATAGTTGGCGATCTCGATGGGCCCATGTCGCTGGCGACGCCTTAATGTACAGGGTAGCAGCAGAACGTCACCTGTAAGGTCTTATTAGGGAGTTTTAGAATAACGTACGCAATTTTAGCGCACGCTAGCGCTAAATTTAGCGCTTGTATTAGCGCACGCGGCGCAAGAGAGTTTTAGAATAGCGTTTCTCCGTCGCGACGCAAAAACCTTATCAGCTCGCGCTTGCGACGCCACCAAGATACAGTCACAATTTTTATTTCACACACGAAATGCTGCAACTTTAAAAAAAAAAAAGTTTTTTTGGTTCAGAGTATTAATTTAGATTTGATTAAACAGGAGAATGCGACGCGAGCGGTTGACCGGTCGTGTCTGTTTGCGTCGCCCTGGCAAGACAGGTGTTGTACTGACCTTCGCACATCGTACCTTCGCCGCAAAATGTTCGCGCGTCGCAAGCGTCAAGTTGCCGGGGATCGTTGCCAAACCAAGTACAATGTCGTCCCGTATTGAAAATAACAGTCGCGAGGATGCTGCCGACGTCGCACTCACGACGCCGCCAAAGCAGCCGCCGACATAATCCTAGAAGCCGCCATTTTTTTTAACTCTGCTCGTCTTGGCTTTAGCCAACTTGTCATCACGAATCCTCCTTGGAGAAGCGCAAAGACTCTGCGTACAAACGCTATTTCCGAGAAATAGCGCGCGCTAAAATTGCGCACGCAAAGCGCAAAACCTGGTTTGCGTTCGGAGCATGCGCAGTGGCGACGACGCTATTCTTTGCGTACGCAAAGCTTTAGCGTGCGCTATTCTAAAGCTCCCTATTGGCCCCATGAAAATAAAATAGTTTTCAGTATAGGAACAACACTGGCACCTCGTTGGCATCTGATTTCTCTATCCCAATCATAATGTTGTCTCTTTGGTACGGCACATGTAAATCCCAGATATAAATGTCTACCTGGGACCAGTTGGAATCCAAACTGGGAATCAACTGGTCACAACTGGGATTCAATGGGGACCGATTGGAGCTCAACTGGGACCAGCTGAGGGCTCAACTGGAACCAGCCGAGGGGTCAACTGGACGCTGCCATTCCAAATGTTTGGGAACACAAATTGGAGTATCCTGGGAAGAAGTTGTGGGACCAACTGGTTGGATAGATTCCTAATCGAAGTGTTCTAAAAATTCCCAACTGAGGACTAGGGGTATTTTGATTTATGTTACTTAAATTAAATAAAATTCAACTGCATTTATGTATTTATCTAAATAAATACAATTTGAATAAAATGCATCAAATCTATTTATCTACAAAAAAATTAGTTTTACAAATATGTTTATCTAAACAAACAAACATTTATGTATACAAATCAAAATGCATTATAAATATTAATTTAAGCACATTTATTTGAGCACATTTTTAAGACACCATTGTTTTTGGGTGCACAGTACTCAGGTGTGCCATGTATTGCTGCAATCGCCATATCGCGGATTAGTTTTCCGCTCTGTCAAGGGAGGGTGCCATGTCAGCGCCGTAATGAAGAGATGCAATCGCGCAACGGTGGCATGTTGGCGAACGCATTCTTTTAAAAATTTTCTAAATGTCCTAACCCAAACTGTTTTCTTTGCGTCTCGAATAACTTCATGGTCCCCAACTTCTTGCACATTGGCTACGGCAGTTGCCATCACCTTCTCTCAGGCGAAGTTTAGTTTTCAACGGGAACCTCATGCGGGACGCGTCCCGCATGGGGTTCGAGGGACGCATCAGCACTGCATGTAAGACGCATCGCATGGGGGACGCATCGGCACTGCAACCCCATGTGTCCTGCTTGGGGTTGCAGTGCCAATGAACGGTACGTTCATCGGCCGTGGCGTCAAGAATTCCACTCAGTATGCGAGTTTACATCGGCACTGCGCCAATCGTTTGGGTTCTCTCTCGCAGCGAGAGGCCGGACATCCCCGTCCGAAAGCGCTTTCAATCGCGCAACGCGCGGAGAACCTCTCCCCGTCCGAAACCGCCTCTGCTCGTCTCTTTGCAGTTCCCTCACACGTCCGGGAGCTGTTTGCGGAGAGCCCCGTGTTCCTGTACCCAGAGCTGCTTCCGACCAACCGCATGTACAGCCCGCTGAATGACCCCAACCACAAGGTCATCTTCCTCTCTCCGGAGGACCAGTTGAGTGACCGGCTTTAAAGTGGGTTAATGGTGGCGCATAAATGTTTTACGCATCAATCTTTGACCATGGGCTTGGAATACTTGGAAGATGTTATGAGCAACCATTTCTCAATCTTGCAAATATTCTATGCGAAACGCAAGTTCGTCTGCTTCTTGCACAAGGGTTGCAGTGATGTCAGGATGCTGAACTCTTATATGCTGATTGAAAAAATAGTGGGGGCGTCCTTTCATTTAAAGCCAATCAGAGCTTGGTACCGTTCTGATGTCATCGCAACTCTTGCGTAAAAAGCAGGCGTCTTGCTTTCCGCATACCTTCATCTAGTTGTTTCCTGCTCTAGGGCTATTTTTATTGGTGGCACCAGGGTGCCAGCGCGCATTCTCTCGTTGTGAGTAACGAGACGCTCGGACGCTCGGATTCAAATGTGTGAGCCACCTTGATTTGTTGTTCTTTCGGAACCACTTTTGATGCACGGGGGGGGGGGGGGGGGGGGGGGTGTTAAGGACACCAAACACTTCGGTCAGAGGGTGTGTTCTGGTTATTGGTTCCGGGGAGACCTGGCTGTCTCTGGTCAACTACAGTGTCGTCTGCTTCCGCTGCAGCCTGGTTGCCCTGGGACTGGAGCAGTTTGTGCCCCCACGCTGCTCCACGTTCGGGATGACGTACCTGCGCCTGATCCGCACCTTCCTGCTGCCAGTCAAGACGGAGGTGCAGATCAAGGTGCGCGTCAAGAACATCATCTACAAGAAAGTCGGCGAGGACAACCCCATCAAGGTGGGTCGGACAGACGGTAGACCCTTTGAAGGGGGCAGTGCAACAATTTTAACGTCGGAAGAAATTTCCAGCGTGTATTTTTTATATTGTTTATCTTGGCACGAGTTAAAGAAAATGCTCCACGAGATACTGCGATTCTGTTGCATAATTCCGAAAGAAAAAAACATTTTTTTTATCATCTGCAGTTGCGTGTGGCAGTCATCGGAACCACAATGTAACATCACTGGGAGTGTGCAAGTTTTCCTAGTGCCATTTATCGGAAGTCTACAGGGCCTTTTCGGTCTACATTTTCGTTAGGCTCCGCATCGTTTATGTGGCGCATCGTTTATGTGGCGAATTGTCATTTGTTTCAATTGCTCGCCGTGACCTTCAACCATGCTAATCGGATGCGGTGCTCTGTTGTAGGTGAATCAGATCTTGAAAAGTCGGCAAACGCCAAGGGAGGGTGGGGGCCCTGATGAGAAAGCCAAGTGATGTCACTGCAACAGTGAAATCACTGTGTCCCTCACTCAAAAGGCCGTGCGAGTGTAGTGGTAATCCAACTTTCATTTTGTTAAATATTTTCTTTCTTTTAATAACAACTAGCGCATGCAAAAAGAAATGGTTTTCAATTCCTCATTTTACAGGTGACAGGCTCATTTCCGCAAATAATTGACCGAAGTCTGAAAATCGTTGCGGCGTCGCTTTAAATTGGGCTGTGGCTTACGCCACCTAGCCGGTGTTTAGGGTATCAAAAGTTAATCTCAATGTAATATACCGCTTGTCACCCCCAAAAAATTTACAGTGTTTTTTTCACTACAGAAATAAACTATGTATCGCTGAATGCTTATCCTTCGCCCAAATGTGGCACTAGAGGTCCGAACCAGACGCAAAAGTTTCAGCACCAACCATTATCTTATTAAAAAGTTATAGGCGATTTTCTAAACATTTCAATGGGAAAATGGGGCCCATTTTTGACCGTTTTCGGTAACTTGTGCCATAGAGCTCTGTGTATTCGAGAGCTCCGCCAGCCGCCATTTTCCCATTGAAAATTTCGGAAAATTGCTTAGAACTTTCTTATGACATAACGGTTAGTGTTGAAAATTTGGCATCTGGTGCGGACGACTGGCGCTATGTTTGGGCAGAGAATGAGCGTTCGGCGATACATACCGTAATATCCCGAGATATCGTTCACCCCCCTGCCGCCTGAAATTCAGAAATAAAGTGGGGTGGTCTATCTGTCAATGGGGTGAGCGCAAAAAGTAAAAAAAAAAAAAAAATGCAAAGAACTCTTGCCGATTTGTAGGTATTTAGCGTGGCCGCACAGGAGATACAATAGACCAGGGGTGGCCAAGCTGTGGCTCGTGAGCTGCATGCGGCTCTTCGTGTGTTAAAGTGCGGCTCGCGGCACGTCTGCTCTTTACTTTTTCAGGAATGCCCCATACCTCAGCATGCTCGCTCCTGTTGCACACCAACAATAAATGTTTAAGAATCACTAAAAGTGAAGGCATTGTTAACGTTTCGGTAAGATGCTAAAATTAATGTTCTATGTTATTTTTTTTAAATGCTTTATTAGCATGGGTGAGCAGATGCTAACACATGCTATACAACGTTTCAGTGTTTACAAAATCAGTGTGCTATCGGTGCTATCTTTGGAGGCTAGCACAGGCTTGTTTGTCACTTCGGAAAGCGAGCAAAGCATGCGCCGTACGCACAAGCGCTAAAAATAACACCACAGTCGAAAGCCCTTTTCTACCTATGACTGTGACTCGTGCACAATATGACGCTACTCATTACAGGCTAGCATCTAAAGGCCGAACTCCGTGAAGCAAAGTTTAGCAGCGAAATTTGCGCTGCAAAAATCAATTGAACATGCCGCCGCGTATTCGTTGGCACCAAACTTCATGCAACAAACACCGCCGAAGCCAATCCACGACGTGAAGGCGTCAGTTGCGTGAGCGACTCCATCTGCATTCAAATGACACAAATGCGAACGCCGGAGACCCGAGTGCACTATCAGTGCACAACACCATAATAAAGTGTTCATAAAATACCAGTGGATGGTTAGAACGTGGTTCCAACTTCAGAGCCAGTCAGAAATCAAAGCCGGTCAAAGAACTGATGCTAGTGACGGATGTCGGGCGAACTAAACCTAGCTTGCCTAGATCGGTGCGAACAGTCCGTGGCCCGAGCAAACCACGAGCGCCCAAGCTACATGCGCAGCTGGGAGTGACTCGTTTGGTCCCGAAAAATTTGGCGGCACCCACGAGGAAAAGGCTACAAATAAATCGCGGGTGAACCCCAGGGATATTGAACCGAAATTTCGAGCTCACGAAACAAGGCTGGACGGATAGGCAGGACGCCCCAAAAGCATCACTCATACAGCGACATCTTTAACAGATTGCCATATTTTTTTGGAAAAGAAGTGCGGCGATTGAACACAGCCGACGAGGCCGACGAAACAAGTCACGCCACGTTTCCCATTCCCTTCCCTCCTCGCTTCGTCCCGTCGAGCTGGTGAACCGAAGCGAGGAGGAAAGAAGCAAGGCCGCTTCCCCTCGTTCTCAAGTTCTCCCGGAGGCCAATGACGTCAAAGACCTCGCTTGATCGCCCCCTTCTTTTTCAAAAGTACGGCCATCTGTTTGAGATATCGATGTATGAGTGATGGTTTGGAGTTAGTAGCATCCTGTTCAATGCTTCTGCGGGCTTATTTTGTGAAATCTAAATTTCAGTTTAGTATCCCTTTAGGTCCTTTAGTAGTAATATGGCTAAAATTATGATCTGTGTGCTGGAAACGCTTCTTTGCAATCTCGAGATCCCGGTGTAAGGCTGGCCCATTTTTTCGGTCTTAGGCTTGCACCTCCATAGTCATAATTTCCAACTTTTCCTCATTTCTTTTGGAAAGTTGAGACTTCTATTCTTTATGCAACGTCTAAAGCACACCCTCCTCCTAGTAGGGCCCCTCCTCCACGAGCAGGGCCGGCATGGGATAGTGCAGGGCTTGGGGAAAAAACAAAAGGAAGCAAGGAGGGTTTAGTTAGACAATTTATTTTTCTTACAGCGTCGCGAGAGTGAACATTTTGTTGCATTCATACGCAAAACGATTAATGTGAGGAACCAAAAGGATAGCCAAGATTTGTGCCAGTGATAACAGTAAGAAAGCATTACTTCTTTCATTTTTGTACATTCTTATGGTAGTGCAGAAAAAGACTGCACCTATTCGTGAACTGTCATCATATTCATTCAGCCAGAGTAGCGTAGAACAAAGGGAAGTAATTCATTTATGCGACTGAGAAGCTGTGCACGAAATTGAAGAGGGCAAGGTCCACTTGGAGCTGGCCTACGCCGAGTCACGTCATAAGGAGTTTGAATGGGCGCGCAATATTTGTCTCGAGACACGCAGGCCCTTCCCTGGCCGCCGGGTGGGTTGGACCGAACTAGATTTAGATCGCGTCTGCTTCACCCTTCGCTTCGGGCGATCGCGGTATGAAAAACCGCACGCCAGGTCTAGCCCTCGGCACGCGGTTGCCAACCGGTCGGGTCTGGCACGTGCGCAGTACTGGCACGTGCACAAGGTGGCGCCCCCGCTGACCTGGGAGCCGCACCGCATCGACCCAGCGGAGGCGGTAGCCCCCAGCCAGCGTCCAGTTGAGGAGCTGCCCCTGTGGATGGTGAGTCCTGCCGCCTCTCATACTTAAAATACTTAAGAATGAAACTTTCTGTTTTGAAAGCTAAATAAATGTACTTGTAAAAACAATATCTTTAAAAAAGAAAAAAAAAAGTGGAAGCCGTTTACCACTCCCTGTAACGCCGAATTGGAGCGCAGCTCTTGAGGAGGAGGAGGGGAGGGTACTGAGGGCCACGTGTTCTCGGGAGGGGGGAGGGGGGTCACGTGACCCCACCCCGAGGGCACGTGACCTTGGTGGGGGGTCACGTGACCCCGGGGAGTCACGTGACCTCGGGGTGTCACGTGACTCCCCGGGTCACGTGACCAAAATTTTTCCGCTAGATTTAGCGGGGAAATTTTTTCCGCTAGATTTAGCGGGGAAATTTTTTCCGCTAGATTTAGCGGGGAAATTTTTCCGCTAAATTTAGCGGGGAAATTTTTCCCGCTAGATTTAGCGGGGAAATTTTTTCAGCTAGATTTAGCGGGGAAATTTTTCCTGCTAGATTTAGCGGGGAAATTTTTCCGCTAAATTTAGCGGGGAAATTTTTTCCGCTAGATTTAGCGGGGAAATTTTTTCCACTAGATTTAGCGGGGAAATTTTTTCCGCTAGACTTAGCGGGGAAATTTTTCCGCTAAATTTAGCGGGGAAATTTTTTCCGCTAGATTTAGAGGGGAAATTTTTACCGCTAGATTTAGCGGGGAAATTTTTCCGCTAGATTTAGCGGGAAAATTTATCCGCTAGATTTAGCGGGAAAATTTTTCCGCTAGATTTAGCGGGGAAATTTTTCCGCTAGATTTAGCGGGGAAATTTTTTCCGCTAGATTTAGCGGGGAAATTTTTTCCGCTAGATTTAGCGGGGAAATTTTTTCCGCTAGATTTAGCGGGGAAATTTTTCTGCTAGATTTAGCGGGGGAATTTTTTCCGCTAGATTTAGCGGGGAAATTTTTCCGCTAGATTTAGCGGGGGAATTTTTCCGCTAGATTTAGCGGGAAAATATTTTCCGCTAGATTTAGCGGGAAAATTTTTCCGCTAGGTTTAGCGGGGAAATTTACCCATAATGCACCGCGCGATTACGCCGACGCCGACGGCGACGCCGCTCAAGCCGGAAACAGGCGCCTAAGAGCTGCGCTCTAAAATTGAGGTACTGTTTTTTTTTTTAAGCTTGCGAGACGTTTGGAGTGTGCTCGGAAAACGTAACGCGACCTTTCTCGGCAGCGGCTGTACCTGATGGCACGCCACAAGCGGCGCGCCGCACCCCCCGCCCCGCTGCCGGCCTCCCCGTCCCCGATCCGTCCCGCGGAGACGGCCCTCCCGGTCGTGGGCGTCTGCTCCCCCGGCGTAATCTCGGTGGCCACCATCCCGGTCGTGGTGCACACGCGCTGCGTCCTAACGCCGGTGTCCGTCACCCTGACGCCCGCGGTGTCGCCCCGGCACCATGTCGGCACCTCGGTGTCGCCCCTCAAGCAAATCTCGCCGATCCTCAAGAAGTACAGCCAGTACGGGCGCAAGATCCTCAAGGCGCCGGCCAAGAAGAGGCTCATCTACGACCTCTCAGGACCGTCGGCCGCGAGTGCGGCGCCAGGGAGCTCTTCGGTGAGTGCCTGCGATCGAGCTCTGACTTGCGGAGACTTCCGGCGGTTTCTTGAGCTACCCCAACTAACCACATTTTCGAAATAATTGGTCTCTACTCTTCTCAACGTGCTATTTATACTCTACCTGCACTGACGCCCCTCACTGCAGTTACGCTCAACCACAGTTGCCACACTATGCTCCCAGACAGCTATATCAAAAGTAAACAGTTCGCTTGCGCAGACTTGGTGTGCGCTCAACATGTGCAAGCGCACATGCACCCATAGCTTTGACTGAACACCCACACAAAGTTGCGCGAGAGTATGGCGTTGTAACTGTCGTTATGCGTAACTGCAGTTAAGTGTGCCCATGTAAGCAGGGCGTTGGTATCTTTACTACTAAGGAAACAACAAATGAAATTGGTTCCAAACCCAAGGTTAAAGTTTCTCCATGCATTCCAGCGGTGTGACGAGGCACATCGTAAAACTTGCAGGTTGCACGGAGAGTCTAGAGTACAAAGGATGTTGTGCATTTTGGTCGCTCTGCTGGAGCAAGCTTCCACTGCATTAATTTCGCACCATCAGATTTCCTTCGGCCCGTCGGGAACAATTTACACCGGCCAAATTACAACTTTCGCCACTTTTATTGTTGCCAGTAGGACCTTTCTGAATGAAAACAAAGAATGGTGAGGGCCGAAATTCCGAAATTCACTACCTCCTTGGGAAAAAGTTATTTCTACCTATTATTTGGGTTACATGTTCAACTGTGTCTGTCGATATATTGAATAAATTTCGAGACAATTTCTTGACAATCAATATTTTGCTGGAGGTCTCCTTCAAAGGGAAGCTGAAGCACTTTCCAAGAAATCAGGGTTAGTAGCGGACTTGTATAGATTTTTGTCCCATGAATTCAGTTTTTGCACTTAACTTGAGCAGAAGCAAACGTACACTGCTTTTATTTTTAGAAATACTCTCAGCGGTCGCTGCGGGGCATGTGGCAAGCCTCTCTGTCGCTTGTCATCTGTCCAAAGCGCCGTGAGTTCATCCTTGAGCCAGCTTAGTGCGATGCAAGGGTCATCCGACCCCGCTCACAACGTCAATTTTGCTAGATTTTCCCTCCGCGCTCGGCAGGCCGCAACGGGCGAAGACGCGTCGAAATTTCGATCGGCGGTTACAACGCCCCTACTGATGAAATTGAAAGAAAACTTAAGACACAATTTTTAGGGCACTTGCATTAAAACTTTTACAGTGCTTTTCGAATTCAAGAACCTCTGGCTTCCTGTGACCATAGCCGCATAGCGTGCAGTCGAATCGCAACTTGCCTCTCGTTTGAATCGGCTCTGCGCCGTCACGTCCCAGGCGCCAAGGGTAAGGTGCGAGAAGGCGACCGCGGAGGAAGAGAAGGCGCCGGAGCAGCCAGCGGACGAGCGGCCGCCGGACGAACCGTTGCCGGGGGCGCCCGAGGAGGCGGAGGACGACGAGGGGGACTTGGCGGCGCTGATGGCGGCCAGCAGCACGATCCTGCGGCGCAAGCAGGCCCTGAGTCGCAAGCGGACGCGCCAGCAGAGGGACGCCCAGGCCACCCTGCCCCTGCTCGAGCCGGACCTCGTGGATGCCGACCCCCTGGTGGGTGGCACTCGGGCGGCAGGCGCGAGCACAACTGTGGATGTCGCAATTCCGGCTACTTGGCGTAGAAGTTCCGGGGAAAAAAAAAAGCGCGAGGGGACGCGACGTCCCGACTCTCTGCCACAGGAGCTTCCGCGAACCGTCGAGTCAGAGAGCAACCCGCAGTGGAAAAAATGGCCGCTGCGTCCGCCATCGTGACGCTTCTTCCATGTCGGGCGGAAATCGAGGAGCCACGTTTGAGGACGTAGAAAACGTGCCATTCGGGGATATGCTCTGGGCACCCTAGCGTCGCCGACGTGCGTGCGCTCCCTCGTGCTGCCTTTACGTTGGCGTACGAGTTGCAACTGCGAGGTGGATTGGATTGGCTCGTTTTCATCGTTGGGTGCACGTAGTAACGCCGAATCGAATCTTTGAGCGGCCACGTTTGTAACTGATTCACGAATGCGGTTTAACCGTCAGTGCGAACGCAACTTTACTGTGCCCTTCTGTTTTCCAGGGGGCAACAGTATTGGGCCGTGTTGCACGTGTGTACGACGCTTGTTACAGTCTTGTCGAAGTGTTATTTTTTTGCTCGGTGCATGTCGCGGTAACTGCGGGAGACCTGCCATGCTCTGCAGAGGTGGCAAAGAACTGTCCGCTAACACTCCCTAATACCATAGTGTCCCTGAAGCAGGGGTTCTGACCAGCTATCACATTGTGTACAATCTCGTTGAACACGCTCTTTATTCAGTGCCATCTGGTGACTAGAAAGCAATTTCAGTTTCGGCAATCTAATGGCGGTCGTGAAACTATTTCATCGGGCGCAGTCACTTTCGCCGTCAGCGGGCTGATAAGAATTGGTTCTTTGGTCACCTCAGAATTTTTTCTCGATTTGTCTAAGTGTGATAGAGTGAACGTAAAAACTGACATAAGCGGTGACCCATAAGCGACCTGAAGAAAGTTTGGCCATCAAAAGGCTTTAGAGCCAAACTTGTGCCAATAGATTGAAAGGGACCACACTTCGAAATAGACGCTTACGCAGCCGTTTTATCTATTTCGTGCGTCGTGTTGTACTGATGTCCCGAACTTGCAGGTCTCGCATATCCTCCGCTCTGTAGTATATCTTCTTCGTCCTTCATCAGCCTCAAGGAGGCCGGCCTGTTAGTTTGTTGTACAGGTGCCGTACACTGAGATGATGATGCGACCCATGTTGCTGGACTGAATTTCGTAAAGGGCCTATTGTTCTGCGTTCGATGCAAATTTGCTACCTGGCAGTTAAGGCTTACTGCGACTTGTGGAGCCACCTGCGTGCAGTACAGCGCACTTCTCTTCTGCAGAAGGAGGAGCGGGAGAGCCAGTTCGCTCAGCAGTACTTGCAGAGGGTTCACGAGGCGCTGAAGCACGACCCGCCCCGTCTGCTGCGTGTGCTGAATCTTCTCAGCAAGGCAGAGACCAGCGGAATCAGTCCCGCGGAGGTGAGTGTGGTTGCTTTGCTGTCGCCCTCACTCGGAATGGCGTCACGGAGCCACGAATGGGGGTGCTCCCACTGCCGCTCCATGAACTCCTCCTGATGACGACCTCGCCGTGTTAACCTGCACATACCATGACTGGAGCAGACTGAGCGTTTAATCGTCAGGCTCTGCCCCTTTCTTAGCTGCCCGGTTTGTATGTGAACAAGGCCGAGAATGGAAATAACGAAAAAAAGGAAAAGCAGATTAGAGTTTAAGGGGGGACATGGCCTGGGAGGGTCAACTTTTGAACCGTTCCCTCAAATTGATTCAAACTTCCAGGGTGAATAGAACCCGACTAGGAACAATGACATCTAAAGTTTCAGTGTTGTAGGCCAATTCTACAACATACTATGCTTAACAAGCTCCTGAAAAAAGTAACTTTGCTAGGCAATGTATTAAAAAAAAATGTAATCCACAACATTTTTGTTTTAATGTGAAGTAGATGACCCATAGTGCAAGTTAAGGTAAAATTTAATTGTAGAAAATGCAATCCTATTCAGAAATAATAATACCCAAAAAGCACAAAAAAAGTTTCACAAATTTTTGTGTTTTAAAATATTTAGTTTTTATCATAAAGAAGACAGCTCTTTCAGATTATGAGTATGTCAACTTGTTTCTCAGGAAATTTTGGTTCAGGACACCACTGAATGAAGTCTTTAAACTTACAAAATGTCAAATGATACATTTCCTCATGTACCATATTTTGTGCCAAGAAGTGAAACTGACAAAATTGCATTTGAAGTTCCAACTTTAGGCTTTCAATTTTCTATGAGTCCCAGATGCACAAAATTCACCTGAAGCATTGTTAGCACCTCCCACTTTGAGACTTTCTTGTTCTCCTGGCAAGTTTGTGTCGTTTGTAGGCGAGCTAAGTTTTGTAGCAGGCATTTCTTGACAGATTAACTGGAGAGAACTAAGAGGAAAATCCTACTAAGGAAGAACAGCAAAGCAGCAATATGAAGTAGAAGATACTGTCAAAAGGGTGTTACTGAAGATGGCACAATATCACTTCATTGGGTAGAATCAACCCTAAGCCCTGTTTGAGTCTCAACCAGTAAGATTGCTCATACCAAATTTTCCGCATTTTTTCGGTTTGGATGTATGGGGTTCTCCTGGCCATTAAAACTTTTAAACTTAGAAAGCTTCTACGGGCTAAATCTAAAGTAAACGGCGCTTCCTATGAGGGTGAGATGTTCTGGCTATTTTGAATGAATATGGAGCAGCTCTAAATCAGAAACGCAAAAAACTTGTTCCCTGCTGCTTGAAAGGCTGCTGGCATGCCGAAAATAATTTATTGTGAGATAAATCCCGCATTTTTATAAATAGAAGTTTCCGAAACCATTCTTTGGAAGGTAATAAACATAAACATAAAATTTTTGGAAAAAAAAAAAAAAAATTTCTGGAAAATTTTAATTTTGATGTATGTTGATGTTGATGTAAGGGGGCACCCCTTAAAAAACATAAAACGGTGTGAAGACGGAAGAAAGACGAGCAAAAGTACACAGACAGCACTGAGTGACACCCAATTTGTTTTTTACTGTCTACGTCATGTCTTTAATTATCAAAATGTGTTACATTCGTAGCACCCGTATCCAGTCGTTTGTCTTCGCACCATTTTTACTTTCTTAATGCGTAGCCAACTCGCCCGAATTTCAACACAGTAATTGTTTGTAACATTGCCGATGGTCGCACTGTCATCGTTCGTCACAGCCATAGAGTTATTATAAGGTACGCTAGAGGTTCAACTGGCGCTAGTGTGCTGTTGCAAATTGAAGCAGACAGCAGCCAGTCAAAAATTGACTTCCGGTAATGCATTTTAAGGGGAAAAAGTGAGCGCTTTTTTTCTGCGCTTGATTAAAAGAGCAAATATCACAAATAATTCATATTTACTAGGTAGCTTGGAACATTTCTCAGTCATGCAAACAAATAAATTGATCAGTTACTGCGTTTTTTTTTTATTCATGGCATTAAACACAGTGCTAAAACAGCTTTATACATACATTTATGTGCACTGTCGGACACTGTTAGTGCGAACACTGCATCAACACTTTTCAGCATGGCAGATATACGTGCCAAACGAATGAAGCACGTCTGGAAAACCAAGAGACGGCAAGAACTATGCAGTAACACTGGGTCAGTAACTCCATGTGCATGTAGACGTGCAAAATAAATTGAAGGCCATGTAATATAGTCTTTTAGGAATAAATAAGTACAGCTCTATTCTTTCTGCTCGGGGATATGTTCGAAGATGCTTGTTCTGCGTTCAAAACATCACCCACGCACTCTAAATCTTTGAAAAGAGGCAGATGCCAGAGAACAAGTGCCCAACAAAAGCTGCCCGACATAGGAAATAATAAAAAGAAGCACTTTCATAGCCTACATACTTTGTTCTTTACATTTCAAATGTTTTCAACTGTTTGTAAAGATGCACGACGGGGTCATTTTCATATAGTAGTGACAGTATGGGCGTGTTAGGAATACCGTATTTACTTGTGTAATAAACACACTTGCGTAATGAACGCACCCCCCAAAACAGGTACCAGTATTTGGACTTCTTTTCCCCTGGCGTAATGAATGCACCTCCAATTTTCGGTTCAGCAAGTCTCGAACTGCGTCCAACTTAGCTAGCCACCAAGCCCACCAGGCCAATTTTCTTCTGCCGCCAAGCGGTCAGGCCAGGTCAAGCCATGCCAAGTCACGCTTGTAATGGGTGCAAGTGCGTAGTTGCAGTAGTTGCGGAAGTGATCAACTGTGAAACCGAGCGGCGTGCACTTGACGAAGCTTGGGTCAAGGAATTGCCCAGCCCCGGACATTCTTCGCCTGTCACATGCATTGATGTCAACAAACACGCAGTCATCTGTGGTTCACTTTCGAACATTGAAATTGTGAAAGTGTTTAGGCCTAAGAACGGCTGTGTTGCTCTCCGTGCTGAGTGAGCTTCGTAGAGCACTTTTGTTTCGGCAAAAGGCATCCCGAAAGCACCCTATAAAGGTTTGCAATTTATAAAGCATGGTTGCTGTGGCGCGTCCACGACTAGCCGTAGGTACGCCTCCGTCACTGGGGACATGCCACAGTACCTTGCCGTGTCATATTCGCACCTAATATGACATTTGCATAAAGTGTGTAAATGCAAAATTTTTACCCCGCGTAATGAAGGTTCCCCAAATATGTGTCAATTTTTCGGGAAAAAGTGGGTTGATTATGCGAGTAAATAGGGTATATAAGCATCACCGAAATGCTGGGGAACCTTGAACACATTCTACATTCTTTTCTGTGGTTATTTTGCTTAGAATTGTCACACCTTTTTAACTCACCTGCTGGGGAACAGACGTTTGGGACAGAAATATACTAATGAAGCATAACATTTTTTAAAGTGATGAAAAATACTGTATCGAAAGCAATTACACTTCTGCAATGATAATAAAGGTACATACTAGTGATGGACCGAATCTGGCAAACTTCAGATTCGGCAAAGTTCGGCAAATGCCGAACTTTTGCAGGAAAGTTCGGCAAAGATTCGGCAAAAATTCGGCAAATGTCTGCGCACGTGCGAGAACGCGACAGAGCCTTAGATGGCAAATGGATGCCGTGCAGTCGTGCGGTTACCATCGTGCAGTGTAGTACAACCAGCGGTTACGGCGCGGTGTGGGGTAGGGAACACGGTAACTGTACGTTTGTGAGCGAGTGTGGTTCTCTTCAATATTTTGTGCCTCAAGAATAGAAGATCAACCAGTAATTTACGCGGTCCACTGCGCAAGTGACAAATGATGCGGTGCATTCTGAAACATTGAGACATTGGCCGACAATTACTTTAAAGCACTCCTCGCAATTATAACAATTCTGTTTTCAGCTCACAAGTATTGTCTGTGCGAAAACAAAATAATATTGCTTTTTCAACTAGTGTTATTTCGCGATTTCCATGTATCTGCATAAAACTAAACACAGAACTATAATTGCTCGACGTTGCACATCCGACATTCACTCTCCCTATCTTCTGAAACGTTTGTGTGTGTCCTAACACCAGAAACAAGCATTCTAAAGGTTAAAAACGAGACGTTGCAAATATGGGACGCACACTTTCATGCAAAGCTGACGTCAAGTGACTCAAATCGGAGAACATGCATATTTACAATATTATTATTCTTTCTTCTGGTGAAGGCTCAACAGAAAAAGCAAGAACGCAGCGTTATTGCCTTCATTTTAGCAATGTACACACACATGCAGGCTTGCGCTGATGATGTCTCAAAACCGAAACTCTCGTAGCGTGATTCGTGACTGCGCCACGCTTGCTTCTACCCAACCTCGTCACACCGCTTCTGCAAGGAGTCACTAAAATTGCCAGTAAACACACAAAAAGGACACCGATACAATTATCTTGCAGAATATCACCTTATTTAGTAAACATGTTGCGTTTAAGTTAAGAAAAAAAGAAACATAAAACCTTTTTTTCGCCAGAAAAAAACGAAATATTAACGAGTCTGGTAACAGTGTATCTTTGCCGAATCTTTAAAAAAGTTCGACAAAAGTTCGGCTTTGCCGAATCCTAAGATTCGGCACCGAACTTTCAAATCAGCAAAAGTTTGGCCCATCACTAGTGCATACTATTTGGTACGACCAAAAATAACAAGAGTTATTCATGTTATTTTCTGGCGAAGAGTGAAAATGCAAGTACGTTTTCTTATAGGGACGCACAGGATCACTGCAAAAGTAAAGTGGTTGTTGTCTGCTTCAATTTGCGTGCCATAGGTAGCATAGACACTAGCACCAGTTGAACCTCTAGCTTACGTTATAATAACTCCATGGTCCCAGCAGCTGCAGTGCTGAATTTTCTATGTCGCCTACCGGAGACCAGCATGTGGCACAGATTGGACACAAGTGCTGTGTCAGCGATCAGCTGGGACATGCGTCGACTGGTCCGGCGAGCACATATCTTGCACCACTGTAGCAACAATGCGCTTGTTGTGCCCCCAGCTGTACCACGGGATGGCGGAGCTGCTGCTGCCAGACCACCCGGACGTGGTGGAGGACTTTGTGAGCTTCCTCCTGCCGGAGCAGGCCCTGGAGTGCGGCAAGCTGCCCCAGTACCTGCTCTTCAGCAGGATACGCCTCTTCCTCAGGAAGCTAGAGGTGCGTGCCATCCGAGGTCGCGGTGTCCTGACTGCGGCGGCCACAGTTTCACGAAGGCTTGCTTTGAAGAAGGCGACGCTTGAGCGACGTTTTTCTTGTGCCTCAAGAGATCCCTGGGCGGTCCAGATTAATGCCGAGTCTTTTCGTGGTCCATGCCGAACTCCCTCTTTTGGTTTGGAATGTCAACCTTTAACATATATATTTTGGGGGGAGGCTATTGGTTTATATTTTTTTTATTTATTTATATATCAAAACCATGAGCCATTCCACTCTGTGAAGGTTGATGACCAGCGAAGCTGTTTAGCACACGACACAGACCCACCCCGAGGAGCCGGAGGAAACTAGACACACGCGACGGGACTGCCACCCGGCGGAAAGTAGACACGCGCGATGGAGCCGCCACCACGGGAGAGTGCAAGGAAAGGAAACTAGGCACGAAAGTGCTTGGAACAACGACAATAGAGGGCGGTGCGAGCGTAGACATGGCCGACGCGCGGGCGCACAGCAGCAAATATTTGAGAAACCTTTATTTTCTACCTGAGAGTCTACTGATCTTGAAACGGTGCCTATTGATAACTAATCTGCTGAATAGTCCTATTGCTAAATTACCCAAGCATCAAGGAGAATGCAGGGAATGGTGTTCCATGCGCTGCACGTGCCGGCGTCTGCAGCAGTAACTGTTCTAAAGCAAAAGCCTAAAACAAATTGCATCTTGCACGCGTGTTAGTCAACGCTCTATTCTGGTCATTTACTTTGAATCTTTTATATGGGGAAGGCGTGCACATGCGGCGGTGCGAGCGTAGAGTTTTAATGCGAAAGCATTAACTGTGCCATGGAGCGAGCCGACGCCATCAGCTTCGAAGCTGCACCAAACGGCACCTTAAATCCTTTCTCCAAGTGAAGCCAGCTCCCAGCTATGAAACCACTTGAAAAGCCTAGCCAAACGGCACCTAGTTTCCCCGATCCCAAAGAAGCAGAGTGAAGCTGATAGATTTCGGCTTCAGTCCCATTGGGTGGCGGGCGTCATAGTTTCAAGGAGCGAGGCCCCCATTGGCCACTGCATGTCAGTTTCAACAACCGCCACCCCGTGGCACTGCATGTCCGTCAGCGTGCCAGTAACACGAAGCGTCCAAGGTCAAAATGGCGAGGAGAGGGCGCGCTTTCACTCCTTTATTTCGCCGCAGGCGAAATAAAGGAGTGGAAGAATGACGTGCACGCTTTCGCATTCACTACTCACAAGTGCTTAGGTGTACCTCTAGCCTTTTTAGTCACTGCACACGAAAAATTCACGGAACCCTAGTCATAAACAGCTTTGCTGTAATACTGCCATCCAATTGGGGCTAAAGCAGGAGTGAATGATACAAGTCCAATTCACATTTTTCACTGAAAGAATACAACAACTCTTGTACACCTCCTCCTCTTACAGAATCTACTCAGCTGCACACACTCAGAATTTTTGTTTTTTTCAAATTTGATAAAGCATGGTTGGTTTATAACATTATTCATATTTATGGGTTGGTATCTATACAGTACACTTAACGGCACAATGACTATACAGTGTCAAAACAGCTTAGCGCTGAAAAAAAATATCTATGAAATTTGCAAAAGCTGAAAATGAATCAATGTCAACGTCACTGGGTAGCTTGTTCCATAGATTTATATTGTAGCACAAGAAGTGGTTGTTTAAATGTATTTATTCGAGCAGTAACAGGAGTCACCACTTTTTAATGATGTAATCGTTCAGAGTAGAAGGTTCTTAATTTCAGGTATACTTACAGCTGTCAATTTTTAAGAGTTTATTATAAATCTGAAAGAACAACTTAACGTGCCGGCATGATCAAGGGTTGCCTGAAATTTGAAAAAATCATTCGCACTGCCAGTGATTGGACATCCTCAAGCTCTTTAACAAGGTTTAGCTGCCAGGGACCCCAGGCTTTGGATGCATATTCTAGGATAGGTCTAATAATAGTTTTAAATGCTAGAAGTTTAACCGAATGTGGAGCTCTGCCAAGCGTTTTCTTAAGGTACCCCAATTTGTTTGTTGCTCGCTTTCTGATGTACTCCACTTGGCGATTTTATTTTAGATCACTTGAAATGATGACAGCGAGATATTTATGGCTGTCGGCTTTTTCTAGTCTGACCTCTTCAGCCTCGTAATTAACACTTAAAATATTTCTCTTGGTTAAAATATGCATGTATGGAGTTTTGTTGATGTTAATCAACATGTTATATTCAAAACACCACAACACCATGTCAGATAGCACATTGGATAGCTTTATCTGGTCCTAAACTGATAAAGCGGGTGTATAAATTACGCAGTCATCAGCGAACATTCATATTTTCGTGGGGCTGTTTGTGACAACTCCTGCGAAACTGTTTTACGTAAACCAGAAATGTAGGGGGCCCAAAACAGAATCTTGTGGCATCCAGGAGCATACATCAAGCATTCCTGAGTAGGTACCATGGACATCCACAAATTGTTGGTGATTTGTGAGATATGCATTAATCCATCTGATTAGACATGATGGAACACCAAGGTTTATTAACACTTTAACTAGTTTACGATGAGGTACTCTGTTGAAGGCTTTCGACAGGTCGATGAACACTGCATCCACCTGCTTACAATCATTCATATAGCTGGATATTTCATGATAAAATTAAATTTATTGAGTCACTGTTGACAAGCCTCCATGGAAACCATGTTGGTTGGGGTCTAGCACAGCATTTTCCTCTAGAAAAGAAACAAGTTGTTTGTTTACAATGTGTTCTAGTAGCTTACGAGATGTGCAGGCAAAGGAAATGGGGCAATAGTCTTGCACTGAGTCTTATCTTCCCCGCTTTTTTTTACGGGACTAGGACAGGAAGATGTGGGAGGTGTGGATGGGGCTCATTAGCCGCTCATTAGAGGTACTAATGTGAATTGAGTCGAACGGTAGGGAAGATGTGGGTGATGTTGACCAAGTCACAAGTGACTACATGTGGGCTCCAATTTATTATTTGTGAGCGACACTCTCATCATATAACTGCGGCCACAGTATACTTGCGGTGAGTTAAACGAGGGAGAGGTGCACCCCAGATGGCTGGAGTTAGGTGTGAAATATGCCAATCCTGCTGCCATAAACCTGGGTGGAGGTATACTTGTCCTTGTCGTGCCAGTGTCAAGCTCGACACCTCGACTGCGGCGGGGTCACGGCATTTCGGATAGTACCGGAAAGGGGTTGTGCTGGCTCACTGCTCACACACATTGACTGGAACTGCGAGCTGACCAATGTCATTGTAGTGTAATTCAGTTACAGAACCGCCCATAAATGCTGCTTCCACGAGCAGTAGCCCCCTCTCCCCCCAAGGCCCGCTTCTCGTCGTTCGTTGCGCTAAACGACCGGTGGCGGGTTTGAGGGAGGATACCGCCCTCCGCGGGAGTTCCACAACTGAGTTGTCCTAATAACGTTGGCGCCGACGGACGCAGGTGCACCTGAGCCAGCAGCCCCAGCAGCTTCAGCGCCTACTGCGCTCCCTGCACCAGCTTCAGCGGCAGCCTGAGCTGAGCTTGGACTCCCTGTGCGGGGTGCTGCAGCCCCTGTTGAGGGGCCAGAGCCACCTGTTGGACGAGCTGCAGCAGCTGCTGCCCAGTCACAGGGTGCCCGACAGGTGGGGTGGACGGGTGCATGTGGCCGAACCCTTTGAATCGGGGGGTGGCTTGCGCCACCTAGCCAGTGTTTTGGTATCAACAGTTAACCTATATTGCAAACACAAGGGGAGAGCTCCCCTAGCATCCACCGGGAATGAGAGCTCGGCCACGCAAAGACGACTAAAGGGAGGCACTGTCTCCCTTTAGTCCCAGGCCCATGGGCTCTGCCTTTCCTCACGGTGTGCGAGGTTGAAACGAGGCTGGGCCAGCCCCATACGCTGGGCCGACCTTGTACACTAAGCCAACCTCGTAGACCGGGTGCACGGAACTCGGTTTTTGAGTCCGTTCGTACCGTTCCAGTTAGCGGCAAGCTAGCTCAGGCCAACTTCCAACTACCTACACCAGAAGCGGCCAAACCGCGGGTCGCGAGCCTCATGCAACTTTTCGGGGTTCCAAGTGCGGCTTGCAGCTCCCTGGTAGCCCCCCCCAAAGAAAAAAAAGAATGGAAGACACGGAAAGAAAGGCAGCTTTCATATTAGCTGTTGTGCCGTCATACGCACCTCATACCAATAAGAAAAGACACCGAGAAATAGCTTTACAAGAGGAATTTGCTGTAGCCACGAACTAAGAAGAAGAAACATTTTAAGACAGTGCAACACCCCCTTTTTATTGTGGCACCTCACTTAAAATGGTTCCCTTTTTATGGTTCTTTCAACATGGCCATCTGGCTGTCCCTGATCTATACTATGGCCCGCTTATTTTTTCGAGATTTTTACGCATCTCTGCTCTGCCGTCGTCGCAAAGTTTTTGGGAATGCTTCGGGTACATCTTAACCGAAGGAGTGGACGAGGCATCCCACAGCGACGCAGCAGGTGGGGGAAATGCTCGCGCCGAAAAAATCCCAATGTGGTCACATTCCCCCCTTTGCAGCCTGATGTGGGACTTTGAGGAGGTCCCCCTGCCGGAAGAGGAGGAAGAGGACGCCAGCAGCTGCGAGGAGCTGACCCTGTCCCCTCCCAGGGACGCCCCCGGCACACCCCAGTGTCCCTGCTCCTGCCACCTGCAGGCACAGGACCCCCGCTTCCTCAGCAGAGCGCGGCACTGCACGCGCTGCGGCATCAAGGCGAGTGGATCCGACACGAACGACCGCGTCAACCGACGGCCGGCGTCGGCCGGAGGCTGGTTCACGCCAGAGCTGCTGAGGGGGTGCGGTGCCAGGAACGCCTCACCGAACGGTGTCTTTAACGCGTCCTGAAAAGTGGTCCCTCGATTTCGGCCAAGCACACCGGCCGGAGACGCGCTCCGGACACCGTAGTCGTACTCCACCCTCGCCTTTACTCCCTCGACTGGAGCGATGCCGTTCTTGAATTGCAGTTCCTGGACGGCCGCGTCTTCCTGCAGACCGGGAAGGTGTTGCGGCCAGCCAAGGTCACCGTCCGCCATCTTGGGCCGCCCGAGGTGGATGCAGCGGGCGTTCTTGACCGTCGGCCTTCGGAGAGGCCAGACGAGGTACGGTGGCGCACCTTTTCTGTAGAGTGTGGTCCTTCGATCTCCTGGTGTGTAAACGATGCTGGAACGTGTGTGGTAGTTTGTGTGTCTGAAGGGAACACGGCGGGCATAAGAGCTTTCTTTGTTGCATTGCATTGCGTTGCGCTTCTGGCACAATTGTAGCTGCAATATGAGACTGCAACTGGAGTGATTCAAAATTAAGATAGGTTCAATATGACTTTGTCTTTGATTTTTCTCTCCTATTTACGAGCGTCATATATTTAAAAAAAAGAAAGCGTGGCATTAGGCAGCTAGGAACCCTCGCTTGGGGGGAGATGCGAGTCGAAAAACGGCAATATTTTGCAAAAAATTTGATCTTGGGTTTTATGATGTTTTATTCTTCTTAAATCTTTATATTTCATGAAAACAAAATTAATTAGTGCCAGTTATAATCGCTAAATAATCAAATACACATTTGAAGACCTCCAGGCGACCCAGAACGACATGAATTGGAGACATTTTTCTGTGCAGTTCTTCAAGTTGTGATGCCGCCCGCCATCACATATACGTTGAGAAGTTGGCCTAGCCGTCTCCTCTTCAAGGCAGTCTTCTGTGGCTTCAATTTGTGACGGAAATTTTTTAACAAAATATCATTTTCCACATTACGAAAGAGTATACGTTGTGGACATCTATGGTAACATTCAAACACGTTTTTCTTTTTATATAATTTTAGGGCATTTTAAGGTTAGCGCACAAGAATTTTCGTTTTTAATATTCTCCTATCACAGCCAAATTTGGCATGCATATACTTTGGAATTTATAGAATGCAACTATCTAGGTTCGGTTAGAATCTATATTTTTTATATTTATGTAAATTTTAAGAAACAAGTGGTAGTGCCTTGAAATGACATTTTTGCTATTTTTAGTTTTCTTTTTTAAGGAAAAGCGTCACACACATTATATTTGTTGTTCATTGCACCCAGTGGTTTAAAATGAGCGAATTGGTTTATTTTACTAGGTTTCTTAAGTGTGTTGCCATGCCTCACATGTGCACAAGAACATGGTTTTTTCTTAATGTTCATTGCATTGAGAACCTAGAAATGCAGGCTATATTAAATCTGACACCAGATTTATAAAGTGAAGATTAAGCATCACAAACTGTAGAAAATTCGTTTCAATGTCATAAATAATAAATTAAAAAAAAAATTATTATCCTCTGGCACGGCTTGATTTTGCAAGTAAAATGGGTGCTTTCTTGCTTGCGCAAACTGTTTTTCTCACCTTCATGTTTTTTCCTTTCTATCTTAGTTTTTTTTCCGTAAATTGTGCATTTAATTTATTGCACCAGTATTCTTTTTCTTATAGATTGACTGTGGGACAACCCATAATATATGCAAACCTGCACATGCAGCTTTCTTTACAGTACTAGTAGTTTTGCATATTCTTTATTGTGCCAATGTTTTGCAGTTGTCATATCAGCACTATATCTGGAACTGTAAGGGACCCAGTCACTGCCCAAGGTTCTTACCCAGCAGTGTCGGTGGGAATTTACGAAAGCAAGTGGATATAAAAAGACTAAACCTTACTCGCTCTGCAGTACTACTGGAAACAGCGAGAGTTTCAAAGAAGTCGGCCATTTTTTTTACTCCATTTGCAGCAAGTTGGATCAGCATGCAAAGTAGCCTCGACTTGCGGCATTTACGGTGCAGCATTCAAAAGCCTGAAGTGGTGCATCGATTTTTCTCGCCAGGGTTCAAGGACGAGTGGCAGTGCAGATGGGGGAGAGGCCCGCAAGGGTAGTCCAGGCGCCCCTGTCACTCCCTGGACAAGGTTAGCCGGACACTCGCTGTACGGAACACGAGCGTTCCCTGCGCTGTATCGGTAACCAGCGCACACAGCCCGAACAGAACGTGCCGCTACTTTTCTACTTACTTGGATGCGGCAGCCGATGCGTTCGTTGCGCCAAACACTGCAGAGCTCGCATCACTTTGTGTTGTGAAAGCGTAGCTTAACGTGCCTCTTTTTGATGACGGTGGAACTTGTGTGTTCAGTCCCATTTGGGATTACCAACTATCGCTGTTACGATTACCGTTTTTAACAAGGATCTGCAAATGGCATTTCGGATCAAATAGTATGGCGTCATCTCCAGTTTCGATACTGTAGAAAAAGTCAAGGTGTCACGACTTTTCCTCGCACTGTAAAGGCTGTGAATGATACTGTGCTAATTACACCGCTTTGTTTTAACACATTGCTTACGTATAAATGCTGTGGGCTGCTCTCTTGAGGCTAGACAGGAAGGGTTTTGACGAGTTGGAGAATAAAAATTTCAGCAATTGCGTGACTGAATGGTGTCGACAATACCAACTGCAGTTGCGTATACTTGTCCGTTTGTGTCTCATTCTTTCTCGCTAAAAGTTGTATGCCCATCCGCTCTCGTAGATAGCACAGACTGTATCCACAACGTCTAGATCGATGGGATGCAGTGCAGCCAGAGTGGAGCTGTGGCACTGTTGTTCTAATTGCCTTTGTTTCCGAATCCAGGGAGGAGGACCGGATTTTGCTGCAGGCCTGTCAGCGCATGGGCAGGGAGAAAGGCCTTGCCCACACAGCGCAGGCTTTGGGAAGACCTCAGGAACAGGTGACCCTTTTTACTCTTCTCCCGTACAGCTCGGCTCGTGCTGGAGTGTGCGAAAACAGCTTCCAGGAAACGAGTAGATTTTTTACGGTTCTGTGGGCTGCCTAAAGAACTTTTCGGAAAATCTTCCAAGGCCTCTCGAACTGCGCGGCGCGGGGAAATCTGTGGCCGTTCCGACGTGCGCTCGGGCTGGCTAGTACACTCCGTACGTCCTGGGAGGTGTTCAGTTCCTTCTCTCTTACCATTCCAAGTTCGGAACACACACAAAAAAAAAAAAAAGAGAGAAAACACGTTACAAAGTTGACACATGCCCTTCTTTGTTAAGGCTCGTTCACACGGTTCTGTTTGAATTTGTCAAGACTGCTTGCATCAAGCTGTTTCTGTGGCGACCCTTACGACGAGCCAATGGGGAGGCGACGCGGTCGACGCAAATGTGTGAACCGGCCTTTATCGTCCCACTTTCTTTGCATTCTAAAATCACAAAATGCTAAGCAAACGCTTCTATTTAAAGGGGCACTGGCAGGTCAAAATCATATTTCGTTTTATTATTCGAAACAATTGAAAACGATGCCTGGACATTACCTTCAAAATTCGGAACTTGGAAACTCGGTATTTGTGAAGTAAAAAAAACAAATTCCCAAAGCCGAAATCAAAGTTCCCGCGTGATCCGCACCAGTGCAGTGATGTCAAAGATTGAGTCGTCCTGTAACTCGAGTTTCTCTCACGCCCTCAAAATACCCCTACCCGAAGTGTCGTGTTATCCCGCGTCCCACAATCAAACGTGTACAATGCTTCACTTTCGAGTTTGAAGTTCTTTTAGGGCCCTTTCAGCGGTCTTAAATTCTTTGAAACAGTGTAAGGTCAAAGACAACGTGCAGTACCCTTTTGTGAGCGACGTGAGGGGCCACGTCGCGCCGGCTCTGCAAGAAAGGCTGCCCCGGCGGAGTCACAACCGAAACTACGGTACACAGACACCAAACCCAATTGTTTTGATCGTTTGACGATTTCCTTTTCGAGTCTGAGAGGTCGTCGGGCACCTAAAAAAGAGAACTTCGTCCGATTCCCCGACTCACCGATCATCCTCGGGGCTACATGTGCCGAGCGCCGCCAGTGCCGCTCGGCACATGGGAGGATAAGAGGGCAGGAGGGAACATCACCCTGAACCCCGATTTTCAGTATTTCAAAAAGAAGGGCCATAGTGCGTTTGTAATTGCATTAAAAAACATGTTTTACTAGCAGCATTATTAAATATTATAGAAATGTCGCTTACAAAAATTCTAAATTTCCTAATGTTTGACGTCACAAGTAAAAAGAAGTGAGGAGGTAAGAAGAGGGAGAGAAAAATGGCAAAAATAAAAAGGTGCATGCGTGGAAAAAAATTTTTTTTTTGTGTTGTAGTATTTTTTTGTGTCTATGACAACAACTTGCATCGTCTTAGACAACAACAAAAAATGCGACCTTTAGGGTGTCAGTGCCCCTTTAAGGGTACTTCTGCAAGCATTGTACGACGGATTGGCGTAGCACGACAAAAAGACGATAGAAGGTGCCGCATATTTTTGGTTCGGTCTATAGGCCTCCAGCACTGAAGTTTTGGGGTGTGGGCAGCACTGTACTGTGGCTGTTTAGTAACCGCACCAAGTAAGCAGAAACGTGGCGAAAGATGGCACTGGAGTTTTCACGATGTTAAGCGCCGACGAAATGTTGTGGTGCTATTAACATTTCTCAGTAATATAGTGTTTGTTTGAGCAATCATGTAGTCAACGACAGGTTCAGAACGGCGCGGAGGCCTTTCGGTTGTCCCGCCTTTAGCGCGAGCTCTCTGCCTTCTATAACATTTAGGAATTTCACAAGCTTTGAGCGTGCACGCGCCATCGAAGCACTAAGGAAGGCAACGAGTGCTCGTTAGAGACCGGCATCCGAAAGAGACGACCTGCCTTTCTCATCGTGTCGGCGTCTGTAGAGTCTGTGGCGTGTCTACGGTGTGTCTGAGATGTACACCTGTCTGTGTACTTTTCATCTGTAACATAAACAGTTGCACTGGAACCATTTTCTAGAATTACTCGTTCATAACTCGTTCTCTAGTAGCGCCCTCTTGACGCGACGGCTGTGCTCGTCTTTTTTCGCAGCTGGGCCTGAGGCTGAGGGAACTGGTGCGCCTCTTCGAGGCAAGCAAAAGTGACGACGAAGACACGTGACCCCAGCGTTGCCTGACCGGAGTTCTCCGAATTGCGTGACTCTTCGCCTTCGCCATTGTAATTTTCCCCATCGCTCATTTCTCATCCCTGTAAAGAATGTTAATTTAAAGGAGAATTACGTTTCACTATGGATAAACCGGGCGTGTTGTGTTACGAGTTAGTACACTTGGAGGCTGCGTCTGTTTCTTGGGTGCAGATTGGGCCGACTTGGGAGTCTGAAGCCGGTGGCAGCTGCAGAATTGGGCCTTGCCTTGTGCAGAATTGGGCCTGGCCTTGTGCGCAAACTTTCTACCTTTGACGACACTTGGGCGCCCGCTCGGCGGGAGCTCGACTGAGGGCAGCGGGCACATGTGGGAAGAGGAGCTTCTGTTGATTTCTTACCATGTCACCGGATATAGTTATTTGTGTTTCTCCCATTATTTATATTATGGACACAGTTGCAGGCTGTTCCCAATGCAGCTCCAGCATTCTTGGAGATGAAATAGTCTTCGGTGGGGGTATTACATGGGTACCTGGTTGTGACAGTGGTGCCCTTGAAAGGTTTGTCATGGAATGAGAAAATTGGAAAAAAAACATGGGCTGCACAGACATTTACAACCGTGGAAAACAAGTGCAGCGTCTAAAAGTTCACAGATTCGCGAGCATATGTTTGCAGGTAGTTTCCTTTGCAAGATTCGCTGGTCACAAGCTTGGCAAAGTGGAAGTGTGACCCTGCTCTGTGCCCTTTTTAAGGCAATTATTATAAACAAGAAATCAATGTTTTTTTCTTGAAATTTTATTTTATTTGTTATGCAAACTTGTAAAGTGCAGAATCAAGTGATTCATACTTTTCACCCTCGCCAGAATAAACAGCTTCACTTGAGAACTGTTTTTGGTTTGGTAGTTGTATTCATATTGAGCCATAATATTGAGGCTGGTCCTACTAACCCTATGACAGTTGGACTGAGGAAATGGGCTCAGAAATGAGGCACGGTGCACTGGGCTATTTGGTAGACTGCATTTGTTGGAGGCTGTCCAAAACGAGTTGGCCTGCCCTCTCGAAACATGTCTGATTGCTACACTGGTCTGGAGTTTCATTTTTGGTCCCTGGAGTGCAAGGAACAGGGTTTGAGCACTGGGTTAGCCTGCTTCAATTGAAATCTGACTGTTTTGATATAATACAGTCAAGAAAAAGCCTCGTCCTGGCAGATAACGCTTTTTTAATGCGAAAGCATTAAAAAAGCCCCATGGAGCGAGCCGACGTCGTCAGCTTTGAAGCCGCGCCAAAAAATCCTTCTTCCAAGTGAAGCCAGCTCCCAGCTAAGAAACCACGCGAAAAGCCTAGCCAAACGGCACCTCGTTTCCCTGATCCAAAAGGAGCGGAGTAAAGCTGATAGATTTTGGCTTTAATCCCATTGGCTGGCACATGTCGACGAGGCTCCCATTGGCCGCTGCGCGTCAGTTTAAAAGACCGCCACCCCATGGCACTGCGTCTTCGCGAGGCAGCGGCTCCACCGCTCCACATCCAAGGTCGGCGCACCAAGGACAGCGCACGTGCTCGATTGTCGACGCAAGTACGTTGCAGACGAAAGAAGGGAGCGGAATGCGGCGTGAATGCTTTCACATTTACAACTCGTAAGAAGTGCTTAGGTGTACCTCGAGCCTTTTGATTATTCTTGATGGGACCGTCCAATTTTTTTTTGAGCCAAAGAAAGAACCATCGTGGTCTCTTTCCCCAGGAATTTTTGGGTGTGGCTCATGCTTTTTGCCGTTTTGCAACATCAAGCCTATAAAATATAACCTGTTTTTTTAGTGTGAAGTCGAGAAGCCTACAACCAATAATTGCACAAGCACAAAACATGCTAGTGATGCCTCGTTAGTATGGATGCCTCCATTCCCCAAAAAATTGTCCATGATAATCAGATAAAGTGCATGTATGCACCCAGTTTGTCCCCAAAAATATTGTCTATATAGTGAGTGAGGTATCCATAAAAGTGAGGTATATTAAGTTGTTTATACAGGGCGTTTTTTTTTTTTTTTTAACAGATTTGTTTAAACGATGCCGTGAAAGTTACCTATGCAGTTTCTGCAGGTGAGCTATATGGCCAGGGGGACATAGCGTAGGGGGCTAATCGTAACGATCAGTAGGCTAATTAAAATTCGTTAACTTTAATTAATCTAAACAGACATGGTTCCAACAAATCTGTTCCGTTTAAAAAGAAAAATTAATTTTAGACTGATAATTTTAGGTTGAGTTTTTGCCAATCACATACCATTTAGCGTCCAAAAAAGCAGAACAACTAATACATAAGTGTACAAATCTTTTTTTTTTTTTGTACGAAAGTTTTAATATAGCACATTATTTCTTACCTTCGAAAGCTCAGTCTTTTCACTGCTCTCGTCAACAATCAATTCGTCGACGAATATTTGGATTCACGTTCGTGGGCAATGAGCACCATGACGGCATTTATCATCACTTGCAAATGACAAGTTTCATGGTGTGCTTAAAAAGCAGTGGGAGCTCGTATAGGTCGCATCTAGTGAAATACTGTCACAAATACATGATTTCTCATTTTGCTTTTGAGTAGCGTTGAAAGCAATTTTTTTTAACAGTCTGGTTGGGACACGCGTCAAAAAATTCATTTTACACAGAAAGAAAATTTTTCTAGAGCAATATTGACGGCGTGAGATTTATTTTAAATTCTGTGCGCAAAATTGACGTCACAGAATGGTCATACTCTCTTTCCACGTCAATGAGATGGTGATACTCTCTCCACATCAACATGATGGCCAAGCTGATCCACCTCGCGCCGTCAATATTTGTAAAAACAATTTTTTTTTTCACGTAAAATTAATTTTTCAACATGCGTGTCCCAACCAAACTGTTAAAAAAAAAATTATTTTCAGGGGCTTTTTAAGATTGCTCACATGTAGGAATGCAAAATCATTATAGTCCCGCAAGTGAAATGTTTTGCTCGAGCGGTTACATCACGCTCCCCCACTGCACACGCTCCCGCCGGCTTCACGGCTTTCGTGACGAAGCATGTGTTACTGTGCTTTTCTTTGCGTTTTATTTCCGAGGCACGTCTGTTTTGACCGTTTTCAGCCATCTTCGGGCACAATGCCGACGCCGCCCCTTCCTGCAACGAAGCATATAAGGCTTTCGCCTTAAAAATTTCATGGTCCCTTTAGCGAGACATGACTGCCCTACCCTAATGCTGCCTACCGTTCGCCCCAACGTTTATTATGGCAAGAAGTTACTGCCGAGCCCCACAATTCTGCAATTCATTGGGACATTGGGTTGCAGCCAAACTTTTTTCGGCTGCAGTCTGCCAAGGCCTGTAGGCATACTTTCGGAACACTAGGATGCACATTTGTACTTGGTGTGGATAGTTACTGTCCGAGCAAGCAACTGCTTTTGGCACTCTTTCTTTCCCGGGGAATTGTTGGCAGGCATTTAACCTCCACGTGAAACCAGCCTCAATGACAGACAACGCGTCAATTGGGGACAAGGTACACTTTAATGGCAATGCAGAGTGGAAAATGTGATGGGACTTAGTCCTCCTCTTCCGCATGCTTCTTTTTCTTCTTCTTCTTCTTTGGAGTGACGGGCTCGGGCTTCACCGTCACCTGCTCCTCTTCCGCAGCCTCCGCACTCTCGGAATCCTTCTTCTTCTTTTTTTTCTTGGGCTTGGTATCCTCCTCGACCTCTTCCGCTGGCGCCGAGTGCCCCGCCTCATCGTCCTCCTCCTTAAACTTGCGCTTCTTCCCGCCGGAAGCAGACGGCAGTGTCGAGTCCGCCCCGGGCTGGTACTGCCTCACGGCACTCTTGTGCTCGTACCGGTCTTGCGCCGCCCTCCCACGCCCCAGCCCGCTGATCCGCCGGTTGCCGCCACCCTCTTCCAGCACCCGCATCCGGGTTTCCAGCTTTGCCCGATGCTCTACGCCAAGCTCCGTGCCCACACCGTCTTCTCCGAGCGCGTCCACCCTGGTCGCCAGCGACGCCTTGGCCGCCAGCATCCGCGACATCTTGCCCTTAAGCTTCTGCGTGCTCTGCCCGACCAGCTGGGCATGGTAGATGAGGCCGTACTTGGGCGTGTCGTGCTTGGTCTTCAGCGCGCGGAACAGTGCCTTCTCGGCGCCGAGTATCTGGACCGTTGACGCGGGGTGCTTGGCAAGGTTCAGCAGCGAGCCCGCGTGCGAGATCAGCCTCGCCCCGACTAACTCGCCCACGAGAATCGTCAGGTTTGGTGCGACGGCTGTCATGCGGTTCTTGAGGTACTCGTAGAGCTGGCTGCGGTACGAGCTCATCTGAAGCACCTCCTCGCAGAGGTGGAGGATGTTGCGGATGTCTTCGTCGGACACCTCGGTTCCCATAGAAACCTCCGCAATCTCCTTGACCTTGGCCTCTAGGTCTTCGGCGAGGATGTCCGACAGGTCAGTCTCTATGGCGTTTGTACGGAGGCCCACCTTCTGGACGGTGCGGACGTACTGTAGGTTGTCCGTCACTATCTTGGAGAGCTCGGGGAAGTGCCAGCCATACCACTCCTTGCAGCGCATAATGTAGTTGTTCAGTTCTTTGTCCAGGTCGTCCAACAGCGAGACTGCCTGAAAGGTACAAAACGAGGGTGGTCAATTAACAGTCTAGAAACTTGTTCTTTCACGCAGAACCTGTTAATTTCTATAGATAGCGCTAGGCTAAGAAACCAGTAATGTTTCGGTTCCAGCGCGAGCCCTCTGCCTTTGGTAACAGTTCAGCTCTTTGCCTGTTGCCAATTTTAGTTATGCTCCTTTCTCCCAGAGGGTGGCCATCTGAACATGCGTCTCTGTTGACCATACTACTGACCACATGCGAATGCAGCCAGGGGGCTATGTTGCACGTTTTGGACTCCCAGGAGACTGGGGAGAAGGAAATGACGTCAACAATGGTCTTTGGATGTTGATTGGTGTAGTCGCTGATGACGGTATCTGCAGAAGTTGCTATACTTCGTTTCAGCTTCGGTCCAGATGCAGCCAAAGCGACAAGCGCGAGCTCCGGGCTTTCAGCATCCCTGCCAAGCACGCGTGCTCGTGCAGTGCAAGCACTGTTCTGGGCCACATGCTCGCGCTTGTAGCATCGGCTGCGTCTGGACCGAAGCTGAAACGAAGTATAAGACACGTTCATTCACACCTACGTCACTTCCTTCTCCCGTGTCCCCTGGGAGTCCAAAACGTGCAACATAGCCCCCCTGGAGAGTCCAGTTTTGTGGTAAACAATGAAAAACCGAGTTCAGTGCACCAGCAACATCAGATGTGGTCAGAATATTGCTTTGCCACTGGCAGACACTAAAAAGGCATTTAATTGAGGATGCTCTTTAGAATTTTCGCGGTCAATTAACAAGCAGTGACATTTGCGGTAGCCAGAAGGGCTATGTTGCGCTTTTTGCACTCCCAGGAGACTAGGGAGAGGGAAGTGACGTCAACAACGCAGCAAATGCAGACTGGATGTTGATTTTGTTTTCTTCTGTCAACATCCAGTCTGCATTTGCTCTAGTCGTTGACGTCACTTCCCTCTTCCAAGTCTCCTGGGAGTGCAAAAAGCGCAACATAGCCCCCCAGTACTACCCCCCCCCCCCCCCCCCCTTACTTTTTTCTTAACTTCTTCAGACAACAGGTCACAGCTTCCCATCGCTGCGATAGGTCCATTTTTATTCAGAGGTTTTAAATGAGAAGCTCGAGAAGAACCGATTACCTGTATTATCATCGTGTCCACCTTATCCGGGCTGAACTTGAGCTTATACCGGGATAAGCTGTGGGCCAGCCCGAGGGCCATGGCCGTCATCTCCTTGCGCGGCAGACCCGTGATGAGCCCGTCCACCTGGGATCTGATGCAGCGCATCAGCTCCTGGATCGAACTGTTGGCCACGCAGCTGATGTCGAACTTGTCCTTGATCACGTTGCCCAGCTTGGCGTCGGCCACGGCCAGGCTCTCGTGCGCCTCCTTGGCCACGACCTTCTTGAGCACTTTTTTGAGCGTCTTGCTCATCTTGCCCTCGATGGCCGACGTGGCCGCGGCAAGGGCCTGGGTCATGTCTTCGAACTTCTCGAAGTGCTTCAGCTTGACCACGCGGGATGCCTTGTCCGGCGTTTCGAAGTCCTTGAACAGGTTGTCTGTCTGTTGGAGCTTCTTCTCGTCCAGGACTTTGAAGATGGCGTACCCCGCCGGTGATTCAAACAGGACGAGCATGTTGTGGCACAATGTCGCCCGGAAAGGGGCTTCTCGGTCACCGATAACCTAACACGTGCAGCGGCCCGCGGCAGACGCCATGACAGTTTCCCAAAACAAGCGCGTCTGTGAATCGCTCCGCGGGTGAAAAACGCAGGCGCTACGCCGGCTACGCTATGGCTATGCTGTATTAAATAATATCTTCAGAATGACGTAAAAAATGATTAATAAACGGAAAATTGAATTTATGTTTTATAAAATAACGCACATATTAATTTATGCAACTAAACTTCTGGCACTTTTTTGTTTACGCGAGTGCAGAATCTGATGGATGGATGGCTGCTAACGGCTGTAGCCTTTATATTGGGCGGAAGGTTGCGCCACCTAGCCGAATCACTTATGCTCGTGGTGATCTCTATAGGACTTGTTTTCTGTAGGTTATACACTGAAGAAAGCGCTAAATTAGAGCCCCCCCCCAAACCCTTGTTGATTTTGGTTTGGTTTTCAATTTATGAAAATTATTTGTGTGAGTGCGCATTTCATTTGCAGACACCTAAAAGCTGCCAGACAAGCCCAATGGGGCTTTGGCAGGTCTGTTTTTGCATGTGTACTTTACATGCAATAAAAATTTTTAATATGATTACTATTTGAATCGTGAGAGAGCACCAATCGTGTTTCTGATGATCAACGAAGCACATGTTTGCTCCTAGTTCTATTCAAGGATGACTTTATTCCAAAAGGGATCAGCTGACGCATTGCACACTCGAAGTAAATGTATGATAATGTACAATGTTAAAAATACATCCAGCAACAGGCACAGAAGGCAATGTCCAATCCGGAGAGCAAGTCGTCTGCTTCTTGCGCAAGAGTTGCGGTGACGTCAGAACGACGCCGAGCTCTTGACTGATTTTAAAAATAGTGGGTAGACCTCAAAGCATCTAGCACTGAGATCTATGCTCTATTCTTTTCCAGTCAGCCAATGAGAGCTCGGCGTCGTTCTGCTGTCACCGCAACTCCTGTGCAAGAAGCAGATGACTTGCTCTCCGCATATAAGAGGGAAACTGATGCCACAATCAAAAACAAGAAAAGCCACAATGTTACCACTACCAAGACAGGCAAAAACGCTAGGGCAGTCTAGATAGAGTGCTTAAATAAATACTTTATTTACCACAGTTTGGGTGTGGGCAACGTTGCTGAAACACTCAGTGCGGAAACTCGCCCTTGAAACCCAGACTGCTCGCATCCACCGAGACCAAACTAAATACGATAACAGCGCCACCCTTTAGCGACGAGTCGAAACATGAAAATTGACGAGGGCGAGTTTTCAAACTGAGTGTTTCATCATGAAAGTAAAATTCTATAGGTATTGTGAAATAGCACTGCGAGATGGCGCCACCGGCCCTTGCACGACTCCACCTCAACTGACACGTGCAGCTGTGCAGCTCCCAGAGTGGCCGCTGCAGGAGAAATGGCGGCGTTGCGATAGCCTTTAGTTCAATTCTTGAGTATGAATCAGAGTCACTTTTTCAAACTATGAGAGTTTCCCAACCTAGTTGTTCTCGTAACGTTGGGTGTGGTGGAGAATGAAAGTTATGAAAGAAGCAAAGCTTCAGAAAAACAGATGTGCCACTAAATATAAATGTTGCAACCCCAACCCTATATGAGCTTCCATGGCCCACACCTATGCAAACCATTGAGGTGAAGTTGAATTTTTATGTGTGGATCTTGCAATCTACTGGGGCTAACCCAACACATTTAAAATATTGTGTAAGCACATTTTCAGGCTTTAGAATGACTCTTTGCAAAAAAGCACAACCTTAACATTACTGCATCTATAAAAAACACACACACACACACACGCACGCACGCACACACACCAGCTGTACACCACGAGACATTGTTAGCACAAACACAACGTTGGCGCTTTTCTGCATTTCAGTCGGACACAGTATTGAATAGGCATTAAACTTTACCGCTTAGTTTGATGCCTTATATAAGGATTTTCCACACTAGGAGTGTTCATCTCAGCCATTCAATTTAGAGACAAAAACAGTAAAGACTGTCGATGATCGCATGTTTCCACTAACACTGCTGCACTGTGTACATCCAAGCAAACATCGATAACTAAGCAGCTCTGACATCCAAGTGGACATCTATGGAGCTACCTAAACTGTCCACTATGGTATCTCATCATGTCAAACAAACGCCTTTCTGCAATTCATTGTGGCATGTTTACCCTCTTCATTCTTTGGACCTATGTACAGGTGAAGTGAGACGGTGGATCACTTCTTGGAAGATCCGAAGCCGGAGAAGCCCATCATGCTGGCCATGTCTTGGTCAACTTCCACGCCATCCAGTGGATCCTGGTTCTTCCGCTTGCGCTCTTTGCGCTTTTCCCGGCGGTACTCACGAAGCTTCTCCTCCTGCAGGCAACAGCGTGCAGAGCACACACAGAGGGAGGGGTAAAAATACAGATAAAAATAAGCAAAGGAAACACGTTAAAAAAAGGGGGGGGGGTTGTGTTAAAACAAAATTTATACAAATTCTAAAAAAAAGAAGGGACGACGAAATGTTAGGCTGGGTGGCGCAAGTTGGCACCCGTTACAAAGGGTCTAGCCATTATCATCCATCCATCCAGAGGTTAGAAGATTGGTGAAAGAGGTCTAGAAAAGTGTGATAACACACAAAACTGGTGGGGCAGACGATATAACGAGAGACGGAATTTTAGAGCAAGATATAAAGGGGAGACACATAAAAGTTTCTAAGCTAGGTGGAGCGAGCCACCGTCCAATACAAAGGATCTAGCCATTACCACCCATTCATCTATACAGTAAACTTTCGTTAATTCAACCTCGACGGGACCTTGAAATTTGGTTGAATTATCCGAATTATTCAATTAAACAAAGGACAGAAAAACAGCTACAATTAAACTTCCTTTTATTGTCCAAAGTACACACAAATGGTCTGCTGCCGTCTACGCTTAAAACGCGTGTCCAAAAGCATGCTCCGGAGAGCAAAGTAACTAAACGTCACGTTCCGAAAAATTGCGCGCTATAACAAAAAAAGAAGAAGAAAAAAAAGAAAAAGAAAAGTGAGTTTTTTTAATTTGATTGTGGCGCCAGGCAGCCAAACCGTCGGCGACAAAAAAAAAAAAAAAAAAAGGGAAACGAGAACTTGCGCTTTCCGACGTGCAAGATGGACCTCACAAGATGCTACAGAAAAGCACTTTGAGAGCGCGCACTGAGAAAGCTTTACGAGCCGACTTTGCGCCGGGCAAGCAGACCGTCGGCAACAAAAAAAAGGAAAAGAGAATTTGCGCTTTCCAGCGCGCAAGATGAACCGCACACAATGCTACAAAGCGTTTTTGAGAGCTCCATGCCAGATTGGTTGCGCTGGCTCGTGTCATTCGCTAAGGTCCATCTCAACAGCGTAGAGGAGCAGGCGCATATTTGTGCACGTTCGGCTTTGCAGTAAAGGGCCTGTACGTGATTCGCCGTACCTTGGTGATTTTTCTGCCGTGGTGCCGTGCAATGTGAGTCTGCGCGCATTCGCTCGGGACGAATTATCTGATGCGGAGTCTTCCTGAGTTCGAACTATCAAACTTTTCCACCCATAGAAATGTATGGGCGCTCGCCGGGACTTTTGAACATGATCGAATTAAACGAAAAGTCTAATTAACCGAGGTCGAACTAACGAAAGTTTACTGTATTTATATATTACAAAATAAGCAATGGGAATATTTTAGAGGGAGGGAGGATTGTGTTAAAACAAATTTTATACAAAAGTTAAAAAAAAAGAGATGACAACATGTTAGGCTAGGTGGTGCAAGCTGCTGCCCGTTACAAAGGGTATAGCCATTAACATACATCCATTCATTGATCTACCCATCCATTGCACAAGCTTACGAAAACAAAGGTACGGGAAACCACATCTATTTCTCATTAAATGTTTAGTGTTCATGGCTCAGGATTTAACCTCCTTAAAGGGCAACTCCAGCCAATATTTTCGAATTTGGGATTACGACAGTTTTCAGCTCAGTCAGTGTCCCTAAATTACAAGGTTTAATTTTTTTTTTTTTTTTCGATAGTGTGGGTAGTTTTATAAATATCACGGCTGAAAGTGTGGTTTCGGACGTCTACGGCAATACCGAAACTATCGGCTAGAAAGCGACGGCAACACTGATATCAGCTGTACGGACGCGACGTCACGGTATGGTGCCTGGAGCACGTCTCCGACCGGTGTGTTTAGCGCCCTATGCTGCCCATACATCAAAAGTAGTTCCAAAGTGGCAACAAATGACGTCACAGAAGTCGGAGTGTCATGCTGTTGCATGTCGAGATCTTGGCGGTTGGTCGTAGAAATGCTAACGAGAAGCTGCGAGTAGCACAACCGAACGCGAGTGTCGCTGTCAAACCTTGAAACAGGATTTTGTTTTTTACACCGATCTCGATTTGCTGCGTCTGCGAGCAAGCCGCACAAACCCCAGTTGCAACTCCTCACCTCCTCCCTGAGCTCTTGCATGCGCTGCTCAAAGTCATAGTCCTTCTTCTTCTCCTCCAGCTTCTTCTTGTTCAGCTCAAACCGCTGCTTCACTTGGTCGAGAGACGAACGCTCGACACGCATTGACATGCCCAGATTGCGCTGATCTGCACAGGCACAAGTGCAGAACATCAGGTGTTAGCAAAAAAGCCATGGAACTACTGGCTGATTTGAAAAATGTCACTGGCTAACAGAATGGCAACTGGAAGAAGTGAATTTCTCAAAGCTACCCACAAGAATCAACAGAAACGCACCCAAACCATGGAACTGCAAAAGGTGGTGAGAAAAATCGAAGTAGCAATGGCCTATTTCTAATGCCGTGTCTGCTGCTCAGCCGGACACAGTAAAGAACAGTGGCTTAACTCACGTTTCTTTCCATTGATGTGGTCGAGGAAATTGATGGAGTCTTTGACGACGCAGTCACATACGTTGCAGTAATACCTGCGGTGTCGAGCAGAAAAGAAAAATGGAGTACTCTTTATAACCGTAGCATGAGTAACATGCACTGCACCACTCGCGATGGCTAATAAAATGGGAGATCTAGAGACGATGCGAGTTTACCGTACTGATCATTATGTATACATGGCTTGCACCGACGTCACATCGCATACTTTTGACCACCACATAAGAGAAAGGAAGGGAAGCTGCTTTTGTAAGAATTTTGAGTGACGGGTTAATCTTCTATAATCTTCTGGGAGGAGAATAGCGACATCTGTGAAAATCTGGGAGACACAAAAGAGGATCCTGGTAAGAGGGTAGCTTCTTTCCCTCTACCCTGGTGGCCATCAAAGTGCTCTTTGGATGACGACGTCACGTGCAAGCCATGTATGCAGCAGGACACAAAGAGGTAATGGTGCGAGAAAAACAACACGAAGCTCCGAGCTACTTCAACAGATCCCTCCTGCTGGGGTGCTGACAAGACCCCAGTTGTAATGGAAAGGTCCCTACCCTCCAGCTTGTGAGGCAGGCGTAGTCTTCGTGATGACACAGGTCTTGCCCAGTTTGGAGTCTAAGTCGACCTGCAAAGAATCAATGAATCCATGTAACACACACTTGCTCTTTCTTGCTTGATTTGCAATCATCACATATAATACAAGCACTCATGTTACGGCCGTAAAACTAAGCTAAAGCCTTAAAGCTTTAACGAAGCCAGGCAAGGAACGATGAGTGCGTGCGCTAGAAAACTGACCTTGTAGTCTCGCGGTTTGAGCATGTCCCGTTTGACGGGGACCGACGCCTCGGAGCCCAGGTCGTCGTCGTCGTCCTCGAGACGCAGTCGCTCTTCGGCGAGCTTCTCGTACTCCTCTCGGTCCCATTTTCGCCGGTGGTCTTGCGGTCTCTGCGAATGTCCAACGTCAGTGCGTCCACCAACCCCGTACCTCCTCGGCTGATCGGAGTCAAGCGTTTACATCGAACCGCATGAATGCTTACCGGTAAAGATGCCATTTCGTGTGTTTGTGCGAGTATTTCTGCGTCTTGATTCAAGCACAGGAACGACAGGAACTACCTAGTTGTCGGATTGGTAGCTTCGAAAGAGCCGAAAATCTGCGAAATGACGATATATGCTACGCCAACTAAACACCACCGCTGACAGAACACACAGACTGTCTTGACGTGTTAGTCCGCGCCTAATTGCATCGAAATGTTTTTGTTGTGAGCCCGCGTTAAGATAGAATTCCTAACCGTGCAAGTGTTCACAGGTAAAAAATGCCTTAATTACGTTTCAATTGTAGTGAAAATTTGTATGATAGCTCCCCAATTTATTTATGCGTCTTTTTTTACTAAAAAAACTAAATATTTTATATTCCCTCTATGTCAAGCATGCGCCGCGTGTGCTCACCCACCGGAGGAGCAGTTTGCGCGCGTCAATGTAGTTCGCACATCTCGACTAAATGAAGTAAAATAATAAAAAAAAAATAATTGCTCCTGAAATGGGAGAAGCTAATATTGATTTGCGCTAAAAATGAACTACCAGATGTTTTGTATAACAGTGTCACGAATGCTACACATAACAGAAACGGAAGTTGACAAGCCCACCACCGAACAAACGCACACAAAGATTGGAACCCTCCGCGCCTTTCGCATTTCATGGCGTCGCCCGTCTCTCCCTGTGGAACTGTGCGTGTCACCGTGTTGTTGACCTGTAATGCGATCGTTTAACTCGACAAGACACCGCGGTTAACACCGTGTCGCTTGAGCCCCGAGCCCCGAGCTCGCGTCCATGCTGCGCAAGATGCGGGTCACGCCGTGGATCGACCAGTTCGTGCGCTCCAAAAAGGCCGGCAGCGCCGAGACTGCCCAGACGGAGTTCGGCATCGCCCTTGTCAAAAGCGTTCACCCCACGTACGCCGTCATCGGAGACACGCACTCTGAGATCCACGCGGTCTTCTCGGACGACGTCCGCGAGCTCGTGCGGCTCACCGTCGGCGGCGACCTGAGCGCTCTGGAGAAGCGGTACGTCCGCGTCCTTACGGGCGAACCCTGCTTCGTTGTGGTTCGCGGCCGACGCAAAGAGGCGATCGCGGTCGACCAGGTCGTCGTACTCGATCAAGGCAAGTGTGATGCGGTCGAGGCGAGCGAGCCACCCGAGAATATCACGTTCAAGTCGGACGCGCGGAACCTGATAAAGGAAGTGGTCACGAAAATGGTGACGCCCGAAAAACGCGCCAACCGCGTCGACGCGCTCCTGCGCGACATGAAATCGCGCATGGGCGCTGCTCTGACGACCCCGCCGACGGCGACCGCGCTCAAGACGGAGCCCGTGGACGTCCAACATAACGGCACCGAAGATCCCGCGAAACGCGCGGGTGCCGTTGGAGCTGCCGTCGTCGGGGACCTCGGCGCCGACAGCCCTGAAGTGCCGTCCACATCGGCGATAAAGAGGCCCCTCGACTCTCCGGAAAACTCGCCCACCAAGCGGCTGCGCAGCACCAGCCGTGCTGCCAGAGTCTCTCTTCGAAGCGGGAAGTGTTACGCGAACGGAGAGGCAGTGGCGGAGGATCCCGAGACGCTTCCGCCGTCGCCCAAGCGTTCCAGGCCGTCCGTGCCGTTGCAGGGAGAACCTGTCGTGCAGCCGGCCCCGGCAGCCGTGACGTCGACGAAACCTTCGACATCGGCGACTCCCAAAGCGTCGGCAAAACCCACAGCATCGCCGAAACCCACAGCATCGGCAAGACCCTCGGCGTCGGCGAAACCCTCGGCGCGTCCGACCAGACCGAGAGGTCAGTCCCGCGCGGCCTGCCACCGGCCGCCCCTGTGGGACATTGCCCCTCCGCTGCTGGACGCCATGCGCAACTTGGTGCATAAGCACTTCTCCAAGTGGACTTGACGTGCCTACCTCTTACCAGCATAAGGCCAGCACTCCAAGCCGGCAATCGTGCGATGCTCTTGTACGGTCGACCTGCTAGTTCATCCTGGAACCAACTGGTACTTTCTGCTCTGCACCGATGGTGGCGTGCTCTGCCATCCTCGGGCTACGAGCTACACAAAAGCCCAGGCCGATCCCTGCCAGACCCTTCACTCATCTGCCTCGACGAGTGAATGATTCTTCATTTATGCGTTGTAATGTGTGCAGCTGTAGCTGCTGTAGTTAAGCAATTAAGGTTTTAACGGGGAAACTAATCAATGAGTTAGAGGAAGCAATCCCTTGCAGAGAGAGCCACTCTGTGCGGCAACCAGTCCAAGGATGACAGTGAGCCATTGGTGCGTCGATGGTCTACAGAATTCTGGAATTGCTGTACCTGCTTCGCTCGTTTCCGTTCCCACCATGCACGCAACGTGCAAACGTGTACGGACAGAAAGTAAAGACCCTCGACGTGTTTTCCTTGCAAGTAGCGTCAAATGCGCCGGTGCACAAGGCTTGTGCAGCCCTCGGAAGCAAACTGCATTGGAGCACCCACTTGTGGCACGTGTCTTGTGCGTTTGTGCAACAACGGTCGGTCCCACTAGGGCGACAAACAAAAACCAACAAGCCTCGAACACAAACAGCATGCATTCGAAGGCACCTTTGGCAAGCTTGCAATCGCTTGTGCTTACTTCACGAGCACTGGGAGACTGCAAGCCTGCCACAGGCACCATCGTGTGCATGCTGCACATGTTAAAGGCGGACGTACAAGTTACGCTTTCCACTTTTGTCCTCATCCTCCTTTCTTATATTCTCTCCACTTTTTACCTTGCCCCAACTTGGCTCCCCTAGCAATTTAACATAGGGGAACGCTAAGAGGATTATCTTCCCTGCAGAAAACCGAGGTTGTACGTCGGCCTTTAAAGACTTGTTGGTGTTGCTTGTTTGTTGCTCTAGTGAGACTCGGACATAAGAAACGCAAAGCATCAATTTTATCGAGGTGCTTTAGCAGAACACTCTTCACGGGCGGTTGAATGTTCTCCCTCTGCTTGTTTGCAATAACACCTGGTCTCTCTGCTTCCCACTAACTTTTTTTTTTCTTCTTACTTGCAGGGAGCGGGTGCCAAAGTCCCTTTGTACAAAGAGAATCTGGCGTTTTGCTAGTTATTTTTTTTTCACATTCAGGGACCGTTTGCTCGAAACACTAGCCGCGGCTAAAAGTTAGCCGCAGAACCTAGGAGAGAGATTTTGACATCACGTGACTGGCTCGGTAGGGATGCGGGGGAACATGGCGGTGCCCCGGTGAGTGAGCGCCGCTCGCTTTGGAACTTATATGTCGTTGTAGCTGCAATGTCGGGCGCGTTAGTCAGCAACAAATGGTGCAGGAGGTTTTCGCTTTGCCTTACGAAGCGTGAGCAATGACCTCGCTGCATCTTTTTTTTATAGTCTTTCGATTCTGGCCGTTCCCAAGCCTAAATGAACGCGATAATTGTCGGCATGGCAACGTCTTTGAAAAGTGGATTGTCTTGACTCAATCGGCCGGGTATTGATTGCACACGAAAGCAGACAGCGTCTCAATAGACCTTTTTCTAAATTACCCAAGCATCAAGAACGCTGGAAGTGTAATTCTACAGTCTGCACGCACTGGCCTTCTGCTTATAAAAGATCCAAAATAAATAATCATAGTAAGGCTTTAACGAACGCACGTGCAGGACAAACTTTGTTTTAGACTTTTTGCTTTAAAACAATTATACTACTGCAGACGCCAGCACGTGCAAGGCGATCCACTTTCCAACGACGTTACCATGCCGACAATTATCGCATTCCTTTAGGCTTAGGAATGGCCATAATCAAAAGACTATCTAAAAAATGCGGCGAGGTCATTACTCATGTTTTGCGATTTAAGTGAGTTAAAGCAAAGCGAAAGCCTCCGCAACCATTCGTTGCTGACTAACGTGTCCGACATTGCAGCTGCAACGACATATTGGTTTTAAAGCGAGCGGCGCTCACACACCAGGGCACCATCATGTTTCCCCGGATCCCTACCGCGCCAGTCACGCAATTTCAAAATCTCTCTCCTAGGTGCTGCGGCTCACTTTAGCCGTGGTTAACGCTTAGAGCAAACGGGCCCAGATATGTACAGGGCGCGGCAGTAAGGACCGGCACATTCTGCACAACTTGCAAAGTCAAGTTCTTGCCGTACATACCTGAAACTTTCACAAAAAGTTGAGTCAGTTTTTTAGAGCTCGACTCGTAGGTGGTGGGATATTAGGAAGTTTTAATATAGCGCACGCTAAAGCCTTGGGTATGCGAAGAATAGCACCGTCGCCTCTGTGCATGCGCTTAATGCTAGCCGTGTTTTGCGCTTTGGGTGCGCTATTCTAGCAAACGCTTAAAAATGGTGCAAAAAATGGCGGCCATGCATTTTCTGTGTCCTACACACCAACATGCGGCCCTGATGTCACGCTGTTGTGGTGTCGCCGCTATTGGTAGGGCGCATAAGCTTCACTTCACGTGAATCTGGTCCCTGTGCACGATCAGTGCCCGCACCTCAGGGGGGAGGTTTGTTTGTTTGTTTGTTAATAGCCTGTTGGCCTATACCGGATGGTCGTCGTCTGCACACTGGTTTGTGAGCTTGCTCCCAGCTGGTTTTTGTTTAAACATTTTGTTACAATGACTACTTCGCAACTATCCTGTTCGTTGCCAGCCTTCACTAGGCGTTCTTGTGTTTGGCAAGCTACCCGCCAGCGAGCTCGCAAACCAGTGAGCAGACGACGAACAGGCGGGTATGCACCGGCGCGCTGCTTACAAACAAGCCCGCGTTTGCTCACACCTGTGGGCACTGCGCGTGCGCAAAAAACAGATTCGCGTAAGGTGAAGAGTCTGCGCATGCGCAATGCCGTCGACAGCGCCACCGCAGCTGCGCGACGTCAGGGCCGCATGTTGGTCTATAGGACGTTGCCGCCGTTTTTGCTCTTAATATTTCACCACCTCAGAGTTGAGCCCCAAGAAAAAATTGGACATAAATTTTACGAAACGACGTTCACATGCGCAGTTACAGGATTATGAAATTTGGCGAGGCGTGCCAAACGTGCTGGACTTTACAGCCTCATTCCGTACATGCACTTACAGGGATGCTGAGCCAAGCATTTTAGTGTCTATAATAAGTAGCGCACAATCTTTCCCCGAGCCAGCAGCCGCCGGTGTGAAAATTGACGTCATCATATCCCCCTTTCATGATGGGGGATATGATGACTTTAATTTTGTTGTGTGTGCTCGCACGCATTGGCAGCTGCTGGATAGATTGTGCGCCACTTATTATAGACACTGAAATGTTTGGTTCAGCATCCCTTGAAGAAGCTGTTGACACAAAGTGTACTAAGAATATTCACCAGAAAATAGGTAGAGGCGCCTTGTGTTCTGCGTGCGACTTGCGAGAATTACCATTCCTAAAAAAAAAAAACACTGGCATCTCCGAATGCATGCTTGCCCAGACAACCCCGCAATCTGCGCTCCATCAAAAAGCCAGGAGGTTCTCGGCATCTTCTACCTCTTTGGTGCAGACCAGCCGCGCGATCGTAGGTGGTATGCAAATGGAGCATCATTTTATTCAAATGGGCCAATCGCGGCGGCCACGGGAGACAATACAAGGAGAAAAAGACATCTAAAAAAATCTTGCATACCTCGAGAGCCAAAAAGGCGCATTTTCCTTTCTTGCGTGTGTGTGTGTGTATGTGTGAGGCATCTCATCTATGTACATCTTTACAAATAAACCTTCGCGTTCACTCGCTCTGTGTTTCTCGCAAAGAGGTGCTAAGACACGCCGGGCTGGCCCTCGCAAGGGTTACATACACACGGACACTCGCTCCAAAACCGTAATGCCGACCGGTCTCGGAGATTTGCACGGGAAGGCCAAGTGAAGGGATGAGAACGTAACGCGCATTTGGAGGCATCTTCCCCCCATGACGATGCAAGTAGAATCGCCACGGACACCAAAAAAGCCTCCCATCGCTGTATGCCACGCGCTGCGACGTTGCCTCCGTTACCGTGTCGAGGGGGAAGAAATATGAAGAGACTACTTTTGCTCCCTGGCTCGTATGAGAACGGTTCTCTGTGAGGCATTGGACGCCGCAGATTGTGTCGCCTCGCAACGGCAACAATTCGTCGGCGAGACGCGACTCGCGTGTGCTGCCGTCCCTAAACGAAGCGAACGGGGGGAGGGACCTAAAGAAAGAGATCGGCACCGATGGATGTCGCTACGAAAAGTGATACCGCTGAGCAACAAAAAGATGCCCGTCCTTGCTCCCATGCAAATGGCAGGCGGGGCTCTTTGCAAATTGACCAATACTGTGTTTTTTTTTTACCAGGGAATCAAAACAATATCCCCCAAAATATAATAACAAAAGAAAAAAAAGAAAGCAAAAAGCACTTAGTTTAAGCGAAGGGTTTGAAAGCCAGTGTCTGCGAGCCGGTGCCAGACTCGAGCGAACAAACGAAGGCAGACACTCCTAAACGACGCCCCGCGCCTAGGGTCGAACCGGGGTCAAAGAGGAAACGGCTGGCGAGTGTGAACCGAGGCACCACTTTCTACACCTATGTACACCCACGGACTCGATGCCTTCACACCGTCCCCGGCACGCGCCACACTCTCACGGAACTTCCGGTCCTCTCTCGACGCAGTGTGGTCGTACACCGGGAACCAGTCGCCGTCGCGTGCATCTCTGGGGTCTCCAAATCGAGCCATCCGCAACGGCCACCTCGAAAACTCTGCCGGAATTCGTTCCGCTATTCTTTGGCGGACTCGGCCCCTCATGGAGTTTTGGTTCTTGAACCGGTCCCGCGGCTTGGGAACATCTTCCGAACTCCCCGACCCTGTTTTTCAGACTGCACCGGTCCGCACGCACCGCGCCTGGGCAGTGTCTGGTGGGGTCGTCTTCGTGGCGACGGTCGTTGTGGTGACGGTCGTCGTGGGATTGGTCTGTGAGGAAAGTTCAGGGCTGCGCCGGCGGTGGTTGCTCCACGGGAGCTTGAGCCATGTGTCAGTTGAGCAGTTCGACGGAGACAAACTGCTTGAGGCGTTCCAGGTACTGGCCGTACAGCTCCACGTCGTTGTGGCCTGCTCCGTCGACCCAGAGTGGCTCCACCGCCCGGGGACAGCGCTCGTAGATGGCCAGGCCGTGCGAGAAGTCGATCACCTCGTCCTCCGTGCCGTGGATCACCAGCACTGGGGACGACACCTTGGGGATCTTGTCGATGCTGCGGACATGCGGAGGACCTTTGGTTAGCCTCGGCTTGCAGCCATTGTTGAAGAGTAAACGTGCAGCCTGACTGCGACAAAAGTGAAGCTGAAAGCTAGCTGGCCAAATGAAAACTTACTTAGAGCTCCATAACTGAGAGCACATGGTCTGATGTTTTGTTTCTGATAACAAAGTTATCACCCCTATGGTCTGTTACAGGTTAAGAATAGAAGGACAACCCCCACTCACGAAGCTCTGTACTTTCCATGATTGGGGCAGCCTTTCTCAGTGTTTGCTGGAAATGGTGGAGGGCTTAGTAGAACAAGTGTGTCAAACGCTGTCAGAGGACACCACTTTCCGCAAGCCACAAATGGGGCGACGCAATTTTTTTGCTTTACTTAGTACCATTTATTTCCCGTTCGTAACCCGTAAAAGAGCTACATTACACCCATATGAGAAGACACATTGAATTACAGAATTAAGCAGTCACTGCCCAGTCTGGAAAACAGCCACTTTCACACCTTACGGGTTGTTATGTTCTTCTTTCACACGTTTCATGCCGGGTTGGTAACTAAAATAACGGTGTCGTATAAACTGCCAAGTTATTTCAGAGGTGCCGCCAACCATCGGTCAAATTTCGGTCGTTGAAACCGTTTCGCGAGCATCGTGAAGTCGCGACCGGAAAAGCTATGGAGGCAGACCTCGCTAGCCAAAAAGTACGGAAGAAACCCGCTGAAGAGTGGTCTTCACCATTTAAAAGAGCTGCGGGAACAAACATGCGGGCGCCTCTCACAAAGAGCGTCGCGACATGAGATGCTGTTTTGACCGGACACCGGAGCACAGCTGTTGGGCCGGACTAGGCTTAGCGGAAAACAGCTGGGACGCTGCCGGACGGCCACACAAAGGAATGCACCGGCGCTTGCAGACGACACAGTAGGTTCGCCAAGAGGTCGGGAATACTGGGCGAACAGTTCGAGAAGGGCGGACATTTAGGGTTCCACGGACATGGATCGAGGGAAACCGGATGCCGCCACCGCGGTTCCGACACGGCGGGAGGCGCCCTACGAGAACGGGTACCACGCAGAGACTCCGGACGTCGGCTCACCTCGGGAAGGCGTCGAAGAACCAGGTGCGCTTGGTGTTCGGAAAAGCCACTCTCATACCGGACATGAGCGGCGAGTGCAGAATCACTGCGCCCACCTCGTACCTCGACGCTAGGTCCACGGTGGGCACCGTTCCGATGCTCTGTCCGTACAAGATGATGTTCTCGGGGCTGATGCCGTACCGGGTGCGCAGCGCCTGCCAGGCGGCGTCGATGTCCGCGTACAGGTTTTTCTCGGACGGCTTGCCCGTGCTCACGCCGTAGCCCGAGTAGTCGTAGCTGAAGATGTTGCAGTTGATGCGCGAGCCCAGCCCCAGGTAGAAGCTGCTCATCTGGCCCAGGTCAATGGCGTTGCCGTGGCTGAAGAGCAACGTGAAGCGGGCGCTCGGCGAGCAGCGCACAAACATGCAGGCCATCCGGTTGCCCCTGGACGTGCGCGTGTAGAAGACCTCGACGGCCTCCAGCTCCCGCTGCGAGTACTGCCACTCGGCGCGCTCGGTCAGGCTCAGCGTGTACTTGGTGCCGGTCTCGTCCGGAACCAACGAGTAGGTCGGTTCCGGCGGCAGGAAAGCGAGCTTGGCGGCGATGCGAGCGGGGAACGGCGGGCAGCAGAACAGGCAGCATAGTTCACTGAAAGACAGGCCGTTCATCTCTCTAGGCATCGGGCCAGTTGGGGCGGGCGAGGGGACGCGTCCGTGGGGGCTGCTCGCCAGGATCGGAGCGGGGAGACTAGGTCGCGTTTGCGGCTAGCATGGCACCAGCGAGCGCGGAGACTCCGACCCGACGGCTCTGTCCGACGGACGAAACGGGCGTCGGACGGAAGAAAACGAAACGGAAAGAAAACAATATCGAGAAGATGACAGTTCGACGTCCTCCCACCATTGAAGGGGTGACGTCATGCGCTGCAGGTCGGCAGCTAAATTCACTGCCGAAACGTTACTCGCGTAAACAAACAAAAAATGAGCGTAAACATTTCTCTCGCGCGGTTAACCTAAATAAAAATAAAAATAGTATCTTACCGCCTTGTTTATGCGAATTACCAGCTAGTTCGTCCTCAAGGCGAAACAGGCGAAATAGTACGTACGAAAGCCATAACGAAAACAACCCGAGCTGACGACGTGTGTCGACTTACCGCCCGAGCCTGAAAGCATCGGTGGTCTTCATGGGCTGTGTCGGCTGCATGATTTGCTTCGAGGGCAGCTGAAAATCCGGCCGTCATGGAACCCAGGCTGCGCAAACATCGAAAGACGATGAAATTCTCCTTACTGTCGGGTGAGTCGCGCGTGCGCGGGTGCAATGTGGCTCGAAGCGCGCCGTGTGCCAGAGCAGTGCACCGAGCTATGCGCGGAGACGCTACGACAACAACTTAAAACGTTGCTCCTTCTACCTGCGTTCATTACCGGAACTCCGGAAATTGACCGAGTCCCACTCCCGGGGTTAAAGAGTCCGACCTGTTTTCGCCTTCTCGTTCGCTCTTGTGTATCTGGGTCAGTGCTCGGCTCAGCTGATCCGCTGACGCTGCGCGAACAGTGCTCGTTTTGCATCCAAAGAACGTGTCTGCCAACATCGCAGCATTAGCTCGAATGTCTTCAGATATCTGAGGCGTCTGGTGCGCTGCCATTGATGGTCTGAAATTCGCCAAAAGTGGCCAGGGCACCTGTTGCAAAGTCTGCAGGGCACCTCCAGACCCTGAACGTCAGGAAAATCCTGGGAACCTCTGCGCATGTCCTGGCTTCGATATCAGTTAAAATCTCGACGAAAATAGGTTCTACCTTTCACAGAATAAACCTGCGATTGATTTTCCTGCTGTCAGGAGCATATCTCCTTGACTGTGAATCAGTATTATCATCAGATTATCACTTTAAAAAAAAAAAACAAGAATAAAAGAGGCAGTCAGTTGCTATACCCTGTTGCCGACTACGAAAAGCAGGACTTGCTCCTCTTGTAAAGCCCTCCACTCTTCCCCAACCAGGAGAGCAAATGCTCTAGAGGAGACGGGCATTCACTCTCCTAAACTGGGAAAAAGTGGAGGACTTTTCAAAAGAAGCTTGTCCAGCTATTCTAAAGCCGCAACATTGCACAAATGCAAGCGCACGAAAAGAAAGCAAAAGACGCCACAAGTCGGCATAATTTCACCGTAGTCCAATCAACTCGGTGCGAGCCATTTCTGATCCACTGCGTCCAGTTCCATTCCATCGTACTCCAGAGGCAGTATGTATAGCCGGGTGCGTGCTTGCACCTTGGAAACCTGGGAACACTAGTGTCAGAGAGCGGAATGCAGCGGAACAGGCGTCTCCCGCACCCACCACCACTGCTGTGGCACATCTAGGATCGTGGCAGGCAAGAGCATAACTCTTCTGTAATGTTGTCGGGTGGAAATTGAGGCTCCGGTTTAGGTGGGGGGGAGAGGGGGATAAGCACGCTATTTGGAGATGCGTTCAAGGTACCATGGTTGGGCCCAGGAGGGTCATGGGACAATACAAGTTGATGGCCTAGTTGACTAAACATCACATAAGAGTTAGCACCAAAAGGTTAAAGGACAAGTAGAAGACTGGACAGGACAAGTGCTACTTTCAATAGGCATTCTAACGAAAACACAGAGAAAGAAGAAAAGAAACGGGCAGTGAGATGATATGTGGATTTGTCCCTTTTTTTTAATTTATTATCAGTCGGGTTTTTTTTATTACGAAAAAACAATACATTTCCACATTTTTCCTTTCAAACTTTTTGTTGCTTTTTTTTAATCTTTAAATTCTTTTTCTTTATCTTTTTACTAAAATGTTTGTTGAACGTAGTGCATGTCCTGTCCTGGGGGGATCCTGAGTTCAACCCCCACCCCTGCCCATTTCAATCTGGATGAGCGTCGTACTGGTGTGCGGCCGTGTACCACTACTGCGTGATGCACAATAAAGTTCTACTGCTCATCTACAGCTGAGAGACAAGTCACCCGTTATGGCAGACTAACTTCAGACTGTGTAAACAGACACACACCTTTCTTATTTTTGTCGTGTGGGTATTGGTGGTCGATTGCATGGTGTTAAAGGGACACTGACAGGGTATTTATGCTCGCCGAGGTTTTAGTTGTACGTGACATATGAGAGCTCAACTACCCAGAACAAAATTTGCGGCTCGAAATTCGGTTTCTTTCCGCCCGAAAACCGCCGATCAAGAACTGGCCGGTTCGAGTCTCCCTCACTCTCTTTTCCGCGGTCACGGGCCGTTTTCTAAGGTATCGATGCGACCACCAAATTTAATCAAAGTCGTGGGTCACTGAAAACACACACTCAATATTAAAAATAGAAAAAATTATGAAACCCATTTTTTGTGGCTTCTAAAAAGCTGCAAATCATTGATTGAAAAAAAAGTTCCACAGACAACCGGAAGCATTCTGTGCGTTCGTCGTTTCGCGTATCGTGGGACTCGCGGGAACGGCGATGGCAGCGGACGACGGGCGTGGGACCTCTATTTCCGAACTGTCGTTCGCGGTACCGGCGAATTCTGTCTACTTTTAAAAGAGAAATTTAGGACTGATCAAAAGAATTGGTATTCATCCCGTACGACACGCCCGACCACCAAGCCGATTTGCACGAAGACATCGCCGAGACGTCGCCCGTGGCTGAAGACTTCGCTCGCGCAAACGTCAAGCACGACGTGTCTACTTCGAGTTGAATATGCACGCGTACGATTTCTTTACTAGGTGCGAATGTCGCCAATGCGTGGTGCTTCCTGACTTCGACCCGGGAGTGCTTTTGCTAGAGGAAAATCGGCAGCAAACTTTCCAACTTACAGTTTACCGGCTGAATTATTAGTCAGGAAAGAGATCCACTATTGAAGAAATGCTCCAGTAGCTCAGTGGGAACGACGTCCGCTTCGCACGCAGTAGGACCGGGTTCGATCCCCCGTGTAACCTATATTTTTTTTTTCAAACATTTTTTGATGTTTACATATTTTTTTTTTATTTTTTTTTAACAATTATCACTGAAGAAACAAACAAAAAAATAGCAAAAAAAATGTTGTGGACGACACTTCGCTGAATTAAATGGTATGGGATTTCCTTTTTGACACCTGCGAACTCAATGTAATCACTTTCCACAAAATGCAAGGAGCATATAAATCAGGTAGCGTCCGCTTTCCGAGGTGCCCGTATATGTTCTACATTAATTGCAGCCAGCCATTGGTCCCAATCCCGTTGATCTTTCGGAAACTCTGTCGCACAACGCCCTTTTTTTCCGGACGCAGGACATGTGAGCCAGCTCTTCACGCAACATCTTGGGTGTATTCTTTTCGGAGCCGATCATGGAAATTCACCACGGGCACTCACTACTCATCTCCAACTCCTCAATGTACAAAACAACTCATCTTGGAGTACAGAACAACGAGCGGAACAAACATAACTGCAAAAGAAGCGCACGCCACGGCGAACAGTTCCCGTACGCCGCACGTCATGTCGTCTGCTACGGAGAGGAGAAAAAAAAAACAAAAACGCACGTTCGGGTGTAGCCACGTGACTTCCGCCACTCACTCTCTTCTCTCCACTTCTCCGATCTCCGTCGGGTTTTGGTTTTGGTTTCGAGCAGTTGCGTCTTTTGGCTTTATTAAAAAATACGCTACTCTGTTGCAAAATATTAATTGGGTAGTCTTCCGGCACCATAATGAAGCCCCTGGCAAAAAATTAAAAAAAAACTTTGGGGGGTGTCAGTGTCCCTTTAACCCACCATGGCTTGAAGCACGTGGAGGGAAAACTAGCACTGCAGGACCCAGGCATCCTGCGTTCACGTTAAAGATCCCAGGCTAGCGGTTGTATTGCACTGGCTAAATCGCTCATCTATAGTGGGCAACAATGTGGCCATGTTCTGGCAGACTAAACTCCTGTTGTATAAACAACTAATGACTCTTTTTTTTTTTGTCCTTTCCTTTGTCTTTTGTGAGGGTGATGTGGATTGTGTTTCAGCGGGGCGCCTGGTGGGCCGTCGCTGGCAGGTGTCCAAGCAGCTTCTGGCCGCCTCCCAGTGCTGGAACCGCACTTTGCCGAGCCACGGCTGCGACGTGGTGCTCACGTTCCCACCCGGCACGCCGGCCTCCACCACGGACTGGTTCCATGACCGGATCCGCGACAGAGTGCCCCAGCTGGCCATCAACATCCGCCACCATGCACAGTCTGGCTCCGTGGGCTTCTACTTCACGGCTGACTATGACAGGCAAGTGTTTTGAGCTTTCGGGGGTGCGATTATGATGGAGCTGCCTTCTCCGATTCTGGTCTCTCCTATTCAGCTTTCTCAAGTTCAGCTTTCTTCGATTCTGCTTTGGAGCTAGCACCGAGCTTTAGACTTTGGCATCTGTGGCTATGCCGTGCTCACATATATTCTGCTAACGTCATGAAGAGAGACCTTCTCTGAAGGGACATTTTGCTGAGGCACTTTGCATCTTCACTAGTGATACCCGTAGCCGCTTGGTCACGTAGCACGAAAAATGGGCAGTTGTGCATTCGGGTTGTCTTGCACCAAAGTTCTAAACCATCCTGAGTATTTCTTTTTTTTTTCTTCGAAATTTTAGGTCATACAAAATTCTCTTAAATCTGAGGTGCTAGGGGCCTAGTCAGACAGAAACAAAGGTCGCTTGACTAGGCCCCTAACACCAATATCCATCTTCTTCTGTCTCCGCATATTGAAGAAAGACATTAAAGAAAAGCAGGAAAATTGATAAACAAAGTATGAGTTAATCTAAGTTATAACTCAAGAACGGCAGCCTACAAAAGTGAGTAAAAATCTCTGAGCCCATCGAGCCAGATTTCTCTCTGTGTCAGCTGCTACTCCTATCCCGTTAATGCAAAGCGCATGCCAAAAAAAAAAAAAAAAAAAAGACGCACGCTGTGCGAGATTATGAGTTGTGGATTCCACGTGCATCAAAACTGGGGGAGCTGAGCCACCAAGTACAGCAGAAGCACTTGCACATGCTGGAGAAAGGAACAGCAAGATGAATGAGCTGTTCTGAAAGTCCCAATCTCTTCCAAGCGTAGTTCAAGGTCGTGCCCACTCTGGAAGAAACTGCGGCACAGAGCATGCAGAGAGGCAGAGAGGAGAGGTGAAAAAGGAGGGAGCCGGAGCAAAATGGAGGTGGGCAACTGCCAATGGGCAACACAATGCGTTGCGCTGACCCCTAGTCGGAGGGCAGTTTTTGGATGCAACAGCCGTAGACAAGTGCAGCAAGCACCTAGTTCATACACATATTGCTATAGACCTTTTTCGTGTACTGTCGTCCCCAGCCACCTAATAGGTGTATCCGGTATGGGTGACGAAAAAAATAGTAAAACATTTCAACCGGTAAATAGTAAAAGAAGTAGAGGGGAGGCAAAACAAGAATGTACAACAGTTACGCTTATATCCTAAATGACTTCTATTGGCGTGGCGACGACAAAACAATGTTTCCGCCCATACTGGAAGTGACGACAATTCAAGATGGCGGCGCTTTTGTGAAAAGGATCTGTGGGCATCCGGTGGGACAGGCGTTCGTGGACATAACAGCCTGAGAAAAATGTTACCCGTGAATATGTCAGTGAGGTTCTATTGTAACTTTTATGGAGGCAAAGTAGTGATTGTAATTAAATTACATATTCTAAGTAATTTATCCGGGTAAGCCAACAAGGAAAGGCTTTGTCCCCCTTATGTGGCTTGATCAACGGAAGAGCGCCCTACGAAACGCTCCCTCGCCGTCCAGCCTGCTGAGGGGTGCGGAGGAGCTGAAGCTGCGCAAGCTGGTGAAGGAGGAGTTTGGGGGTGGCCACAAGGAGTTCCTGTACGAGGAGCAGGGCTGCTTTGAGGGGGTCCAGGACAGCGAGCATTTCCTGAGCAGCCAGGAGCGCCAGAGCATCGTCTTCTACTTCCTCAACAGCCTGCGGGCGCGGGAGGGGGACGTCCTCCAAGGAGTCTACTTCATGGAGGGACAGTCCATTGGTGAGGCCATGCTGCCTTGGTGCCGCTGCTCTCGGTTGCTTATCGAACGCGTCCTGCTGTGAAATGCCGAGCATGCACCTGTGTCGCAATAGGCACTCGCCATTGCTTGGATTTGGGCTAGTTGGTTTGACATTATGAGGTATACTGCACTGAGAAGTTACATTGAACACATAAATGCGTAAATTATGAGACGATATGGTAAACAGATAAGAACATGACATGTTCATGAAAGCGCATACTACGGTAACAACTGTTTATATTTTGTTTCTTCTTTTTCTTAAAAAGATCCCGCAGCACAACAGGGCAAACGTCAGCTGTAGGGTACCAACAGCATAAGCACTTACAGCATTTATACCAAATATCTACAAATGACAGAGAAGACATTAATCATCCCAATCCTTTCCACGATTTCTCAGGTACATATGCATCATCATCCAAAACGTTTTTTCCATTTCCTAAAACACCTGCATCCGCAACTGCCTGCGATGGCCTTAATTTTCACTCCGATAATTATCGGGCAATCTTCATCCTTCAAAACAAGGGCATAAAGGAGGAAGAATAAGGAACGAAAAATAAACAGTTGTTACTCCGCGCTTTCATAAATACGTTGTGTTCTTATCTGTCTACCATATTGTCTCGTAAAGCACTCACCTGCTGCTTTTGAAGCATTTGAAAAAAATAAGCGAAGGATATTACCTAGTTCACCGAGACGCCCCTCCGCGTCAGCCGCTTCTCCAAGCACGCCGGTGCGAAGCAGAGCAGCTTCAGCCGCGGACATGCCAGTGCGTAACAGTAAAACTTGACACTGGAGCATTCCTGGAACGCGATGAAGGTTGATGCGAGAGAGTGGGAAAATACTGAAAGCGTTAGGTGTTCATAATTTTCAAACAAACAACTACCGTAAAAAACTGCAGAATTGCCTACTTAGTTCAAACGCTCACTATTAACATTTCTCGAACTTGAGAATTCTTCAAATTATTTGTTAATCACCTGTATTTGACCAGACAAGCACCCATGTCTAGATTACAGTAACCCAGTTTTCAGTGAAAGTGGGGTGGGCGCGTCCTCGGTATTTTACGGTAACATCAAAACCTGAATACTTCGAACAGTAAAAATCTGTTGCGAATTGAGTCGAATAGCAATTGCCATTCGCGAAAGATTCTAGCTTTCGAATATTCGCTTGCGCCCGCAACGAGGGACTGAAACCCAGCGTCTTCAGTGCAGCGCTGCCTCTCGGAGAACCTGGTGAGCCAGGTGCTCCCCCTGCACCACACGGGGGACCTGAACCGGCTCAAGAGAGACTGGGTGCTTGCCTTCCTCAAATTGCAGCCCCTGGGTAAGGGTCGTACTCCCCTCCCTCTGCCGGCGTCCCAACCTCCGGGTCCTCTGCAGATGACATCTGCAGCTACTTCGGGGTGAAGATCGCCATCTACTTTGCCTGGCTGGGCCACTACACCTGGGCCCTGATTGTTCCAGCCGTGGCCGGCACCGCGCTCTTTCTCCTCTGCTACTGGAGCACCCAGGTAGGTTCCCCCCCTCGCCCTCCGTTGAAGCGGCTCAGAATCCTCTCGGAACCGTTTGCGATCGGTGCCGGGGCGGTCTTTTCGGTCGATGCATCTGGAAGACTAGCCTCGAAAAAAAAAAACGTCTGGCTTGGGCTTTTCGTCAAGTGCAATAAAGGCACTAATACGCGGTTCTTATTCTGCTAAGCAGTCTCTGTTTGTACGCAGAAGAGTGGGGTGCTATAGCCACCACTTACCTCCCTTTTCCCATCGAGCAATGGGTAAAAAAAAAAGAAGACAAAAAAAAAACTGGACAGGCGCTAGCACCTATCTTGTCGTCTTCTTGTCTTCTTTGTCCTTGTTTTGTTTATACTTACCTTTTAATTAGTACAAACCAACGTAGTCCAAACCCAAGTTTTTACAATCGATCTAAGAACGTTGAACAAAACCAAACATACGACATTGGATCATGAACGTGGTTTCGGTGGCCTCCGTTTGGCCTCGCACCCATGACGGCGACTTGCGGTCGTGCCCAGGCGACTGAGGACCTGTGCTTTGTGCTGTTCTCGCTGCTGAACATGCTGTGGGCCACCTTGTACCTGGAGTCTTGGAAGCGCTACTCGGCCGAGCTGGCTTACCACTGGGGCACCCTCGATTCCCAGAGCGAGCTACTCACGGAGCCGAGGCCGCAGTTCACCGTGAGTGCCGCACTCGTGCACTGCTCCCTCTCCGAAAGTACCGCCCACTTTGCCCGGACCGATTCCTGCTTTCTCTTGCCGAATGCTTTAAAGGGCTCACTGGCATTCTTCGGCACGAAACAAACGGTCGGCATGGTCCATTTTTAGACTGCCCGTTCGACCTGCAGGCCTGCCTTCCACCGACGTCGCAGCACCGATAAGCGCGGGTATATTTGAACGTTGGTTTCGGCATCTTTCTCGTTCGCTGATTTCGCAGTAACTATTCTGAACTTCTCATTACTGATGGGCATACCAGAAAGGGTGAAGGTTGGCGATTCAGAAAATATTAATGGGTGTATCTAGAAAAAATTGCTGGAGTGCCAATAGACCCCTTTCAAAAGTGAGCACCGTCTGCAGGCACTCGTGCCTAAATTAAATCACATAAATAAGCCAATAAATGCGGCACAATTAAATTTTACAGAAAGATCTCTTTATGTTGTGCATTTATTATATTTAGATTTTGTGAGTGTAGGTTTTTGAGAAAAAAAAATGTCAGGAAATCGAAAACGTGCTTTTTTCTGTGCGCGGGAGGAAGCAAGCCGTTTAATTCGCGCCGCTACTCGCATATTGTACTACGCACGCTCCGACCTGCTGGATCTGATTTGGTGTTCACCTCTAAGAAGCTTTCAAGCAATGTGTGAGTAGCAGCACCAACTCAACGGTTTGCTTCTGTTTTCTGCCCGCACATGGGAAAAAACAAGTTTTTCTTTTTTTTAATTGTTCTTCCCTTGAAACCCACACTCGCGAGATTTAAGCATGATCAATGCGCCACCTAAAGACACCTTAGTAAAACAGTTTGATTGCACTCGGTTTATTGGCTTATTTAAAGAAATTATTTTATGCCCAAACTGCGCCCGGAAACGCCTTGTAGTAGCGGCTGCGGCAACCATATGAGTCTGCCATTGTTTGAGCATATACTCGAACAGCTTATTGGACGCCAGGGCTGCGTCAACGTTTGGCGTGAACTTGGCTCGGCTTGGCCCGGCTCAACCTGTACCGTGTTCGGCAAGGACTTGAATCCAGTCACACACCTCGTGCCCCATAGGGATATGGATATGCTGCTAACCCCTTTGTATCAAGGGGATCCCAGCTGACTGGATCTAGCCAATTTATCTGTTATTTTCTTCTTTTTGTCCACTCCACCACTGGCATAGGTCACAGGCCCCTGCCCGCGGAGCTGTCGGCACCGTCGTTGCATCTATCGTTTCCCAGACATGGCGACCGCTATTGTTGCTCAATGGGGTTTCGAAAAGAGTTTATTTCACATAATTTAAGCCTCTTTAATTTGCAGTCTGGTGAGACTTAATGGCTCTTTCACACGGTAGCGTTTGACTACGCTTTGAGGCTTTACATCGAGCGACGACGACGAGTCATCGAGACATTTGTGCTATGTACGAAGCATTGCAACCAACTAGAGGAGTAGCTTTGCACGCAACATACAAAGCTCTGCTATCACAGTGACTCGCGGGCATACCATAAAGTAATGGAAAAACGCGAGCAAGCACTTCCGTTTGAATGGGCCCTAATGATGCCCAGTGTGGCGAAAGAAGCGCTTCAGGTCACTAGGGTGCAGACTCTGGGCTCAAAAAATTGTCGGTGCGATTCTCTGGGGTGCCCTCGGGTGTTCCACCACCATCCTCTGGAGCGTACGTGAATAAAGCATGTTTCAGGCATAGCTATTGAGTCTTGGATTGATGCGGCACCACTAACCTCGTTGACCGCGTGGGCTCGAAACTGTTGAAGCACCTTTTGGCTTCTGGACGTTCAGACTACGGTGGGAACTGCTTACAGGGTCCGCCGGGCAGGAGTCCCGTGACGGGGCGCCTGGAACCGATGTATCCGAGCTGGAAGCGGAACCTCTTCCGCTACCTGGTGTCAGTGCCCACGGTCACGCTCTGCCTGGTCGTCGTGGTCGCCTCCATGTTCCTCGTCTTCGAGTTTCAGGTGGGGCACGCTTTGCTCGCGGGGACGCGCGTCTTGAACTCTTTTAAAAGTGACGAATAGTGCGACGGGGTACGGCAGGCAAGTTCGTCGGCTCCATGCTCGGAGGATACGGCGATGTCACTGTGCCAAGCTCTGGTTGGAGGATGTAGGTGGTACTCAGATGCGTCGTCGTCTGCTAGCTGCCTTCTTGCCTTTTCTGTGGCTGTCAGCAATCTGCTGGTTCTTTAGGAACAAGGGCTCTGTCTTTGAGAAAGGGAAAAGGAAGTAGTTGGAAGGGTACATTGTTTTTCTTGACTATCTACAACGCGCAGCAATCAAGGAAGAACTTGCAGCTGAAATGTTGTTTGCTACCCGCCAAAAAGAATGGTGTGTGGGGGTGCGGAGCTTTGTCACACACATGATCGGTCTCTGTCACTCTTTTGCGCCTCTCGTCTTATGAGTGGAGAGACGTGTTTTTGTCGACTTGCTCACCGTATAGCTTGAATTGCTCATTTTCTCTATTCCAGCAAAACTTCATTGCAATCTTTGTTTTATATTTTGGCGCCTGTGCAGCATCTTTTTTTTTGGGGTGGGAGTTGTATATGTTAATCTTTGTTATATAGACAACATCTGTTCTCTGCATCATATTTCGGTATTTGTGCATCATTTTTGTTTGGTGGGTGTCACGCAAGCAGTCGGTTGAAAGCGTATGGTGACACGCGGTTCTCGTTTGTGCCGGGACCCAGCAGGCGTGGTGGGACGAGCGGACCCTGAAGCGGCACTGCCCGCTGGCGTCGAGCTTGTCGTTTGTGCCCAAGGTGCTGCTTGCCCTCATCATCAACGTCTTGGACACCGTGTACTACCGCATCGCGCTCTGGCTCAACGACAAAGGTACAACTGCCCCTCGTTCCAGAAACTCGCACCTCTCCGTGCAGTTCATAGCAACAGTGCGTGATCATGCCCATTTCATGTGGTGCGATTCTGTTTTCAATTTTCAGTGTCGTGTGGCAAAAAAAAAAAAAAAAAAAAAGACTGAAAACTTTTTGGTCAAGGTTCTGCCGGATTTTGACCGAAAAGGCACTAACGGCTATCGCTGTAAAACCGATGGACACGGTGCTCACTTCAACTGCCATCCACAAGCGTTTTTTTTTTCCTCACATGCCACGTTGCAGTTGGAAGTTAGAAGCAGAATTGCACCACGTGAAACGGTTAAGGATTCAGCCAAGCTGGTTCAATGTAGACATTTTATCGCTGGGGAGGAATAAAGGAACAGAAAACCGAAAACGCATATCTTGTGTCTAAATACACTCGAGGTCATTGCGATCTGACAGGAACAATTATGCCATTAAAGTTGAATGCGACGCTGTGAGAAAGGACCTTTATTATTCTCTTTCACTTTAATTGCCCAATTAGGGCAAAAATAAAGTCTCTGCAAAAAGGTTAGAATGGATGTGATTTTGAACTGTGGGAAAAACTGCCTCGAAGGGTGATCTTACGTAGTTCGTAAAACAGTAGCTCTAATTGCCTGGCTTGAGTCTCGCTAAAGTGATGCTGCTGTTGTACAAACGTGGCGAAACAGGTTATTTCTAGCAGCTTGCTGCGCTCGGTCATGTTTGTTTGCGCTGCCCCGTGTCATAGTGGTGCTAGAAATCGCTTTTATGTAAGCATGCGCAGTCTTGGGAAGACATGTCGACCCCGCAAAATGATCTACATTCATTACTTGTAAGTTGGCACAAGTGACGTGATCCTTTCACGGTGTAAAGCACAAGTTTTCTGGCTGTAATGTGTTGTAGAAATGTCCCAGACACTGCTTATCACGCCGTGATTTAAACCGGTACTTCCTTGCTCCACAAATTGATGAAACATTCGGTTTCTCCGGTGATGTCGCGCAAGGTGGCAGTGGGGACCATGCGCACATCGGGGTCTCTTGTCTCTCACGGTTGCTTGCGCCAAGTTCAAACGTTTTGTCTTTAATATTCTCAGCAAATGTATCTGTTGCCTGCACTAATTTGTAGGAAGCAATGTTTCTAAAAATATTTTCCCAAAAATTCTGAAAACGTTGGGCAGCTTATCAGGTTCCACGAGAAGTTAAATGGCAACTCCAGTCAATATATTCGAATTTGGGATTCTGACTGTTTTCAGCTCAGTCAGTGACCCCGAATTACAAGGCATAATTATTTTTTTTCTTGATATTGTGTGTAGTTTTATAAATATCACGGCTCAAAGTTTGGTTTCAGGTGAACACTGCAAAGCCGAAACTATCTGCTAGGGAAGGATGGCAACACTGATATCAGCTGTACGGCCGCAATGTGACGTCACGGTGGTGCTGTGGTACACGTCGCCCAGTGTTGCTCGACTAAAAGCTAACCTACTTGCCACCTGCTAAAGAGCAGCTGGTTGCATCTTTGGAATCGGTTTTAGTGCAGCACACGACTTCACTTTGACGTAAAATTTTGGCCGTGATCATATTCTGTGCCACTAAAACGATAACCGTCATTTATTTTTGTTTTGTTTTCGACCAAAGTTGACCTTTTAAAGAGATAATTATATAAAAAAGTTTTGGAATTTTCCCTTTAAGGTCAATGTCTAGGTCAATTTCCTTGAGCTCCCAACTTTCCCTGTCTTTCCCTGCCCTTAAGTGTTCTCCCAGCTCGAGCACCATTTCAGATGATCTGAGCCATACATTAGTGCATTGCAGCTTACAAAACATTCCCTGTCATCTGCATTATTCTTGACAAGGTCCGTAGGATTTTGCGCTGCTTTACCGGCGTCAGTGCTAAGACCAGAAGGGCTATCTCGGCTGCCATTGAAAGCATACCTCGATATCTAAGAGTTTGGGAACCCCTGGTCTGGCGGTAGCAACCGAGTCTAGTTGTAGCGACTGGCAGTTTGATTACGTAAATCGCCGAAAACGTTTTGCGCAATGGTGATGTGTGGTGTCCCATGTTCTCGTTTCCCCCAGAGAACTATAGGCTGGATGAGGACTACGAGAATCAGCTCATAATCAAAATAGCGGTGGTCAGTGATCTTACGCCCGTCTTTGCAAACTTGAGTCTGCCTGGTCTTGCTCCCCCCCACTCACTCCCCGACCCCGTTTGGTTTGCGGCGACAGCAGCGCTCTTTCATTCTGCGGGACGGTCTCGCAGCTGGCAAGCTTGCCCGTTTATTCACGTAGAGCAAAGAAATCGGTAGTAATGCGCAGAGATGTAGGGAAAAAGAGCCGTTAACTAAGCAAAAGCATTGCTTATTTTTTGTAGTGTCTTTTATGCAAATTCAGTTAATTGGAGACAATTTTAAACGCAATTGCGAAGGTTCATTCTCACAAAATAGTTTGGGGTGTCGTGTCCAGACCTGAAATCCTGGTTGGACATGGGACAAGCGTGCTAGCTGGAGAGTGCCTCCTTCAAAATGCAGTCTGAGTGGCTACCTACCTGCACTGCGAGAAGAGATGCACTGCTCAGAGGTCGTTCATACGCCTGATGCGTGCAACTGAAGTCGGCCCAAGCGGTTGCCATGCCAGAGGTGCTTGGATGGCCTCTCGGTCCCCACCATTGCATGGGGTGCACTGGCTCTCCCTTTAAGTTACGTTTGCAGATCTGTTTGCATCCCGTATGCAATTGGTTCCCAAGTTGCACTTGCACACTGACTTGAGTCTGAGCATTACCGGTTGCAGTTGCTCAAAATGCATGTTGTGTCATACTTGTAAGTGAGCAAGTTCTCGTGATTTTTTGGGGTAGAAAGTGTTACCTCTGTTTTGCTGTAGGAACTATATGGGGTGTTTTTTTTTAGCTGCACCAAATTTTTAAACAAAGGGGGAAAAGTTTATGAATGTGTTTTTTTTTTTCACTGCGTGTTTATATGGCTCAGTGGACATAAGAAGGGAATATATCCATTCTTATAATCAATCAAATTAACTAAAATTTGTTAATTAAGTTTTTAATTACTGTACTTAGTATATATGTTTATATTACAAACTTTGAGGCGGTCGTATGCCAAGACTGCCTCTTTCTTTGCAGAATTTGCGTAACCAGCCCGTGTTCCGACATGTCTGCCCCTGAATTTTCTACTTAATCTGACTTTTTATCGACTCAATTTGGCAAACCCGCGAAAGTGAGCGCCATAGCCGAACTTTGCTACGTTAACCGGATAAAAGTGCAAAGTTTGGGGACGAATATCAGGGAACACGGGCTGGCTACGTGAATTCTACAAAATGGAACAGTCTTGTCAAACGACCGCCTCAAAGTTTGTAATACAAACACATATACTAATTACAGTAATTAAAAAGTTAATTAACAAATTTTTGTTAATTAACTATAATAGTCTGATAATAGTGATGGTTATATTCCTTTCTAATGTCTGCCGATCCATATAAACACGCAGTGAAAACCACATTTATAAAAGTTTTCCACCGTTTATTTAAAAATTTGGTCAGCAAAAAAAAAAAAAAAAAAGCAAAGGAACGCCTTGTATATAATTTTTATTTTGCTTAAATATTTTCTGTGGGAATGGCCTGACTGTACGGGCCAGGGATGTTCTGGGCTGCTTTATTGGTCTTGGCAGATTTGGACGAGCCATTAATACTGGTCACAGGGGATAGATAGAGTTGACTGACTGCGATTAGACTAGCAGTTCAGAAAACTGAACTGCATCTAAGAAAGACGTTTTGCTGTCCAAAAATTTGGAAGTATAGAGTTCGTAATATTGATTTCCAGTTTTGCATTTGATCAGGGTACTGTAGCCAACTGGCACATCTTCCTCTTTCTACCAAGGTCAATATTTGTACTTAAACAAAAATTAAATGCTTCATAAGTAATGATGAGGTTTACAGTTTTTTTGTGGGTTATGTCTTGAAGACCAGCCGTAACGGTTGTTTTGTGCAAAGATGGCTGTCAGTCTCGTGGGTTGCTAACAGTAAACAACCCATTGAAACATAAATGCAACAAAGTGCTGCATTGCTGCACCGCAAACTAAATAGTATTTCTTTTACCAGCGTTCATAACCTTCTAACAACTTTTACCCCTCGCTATTGGATTTTTTTTTTCTCGTTGTTCGGGCATTTTTGGTGTCTTAACGTTAGCTCGCCGCATGCCGTAGTCACCCCTAGGAAGTAACGGCTTGGTGTGTGCAATTGGTGCCTGCCCACCTTGGGTGTTACGTGTCGCTTTGGCTGCTTGGCACGGCCCGTCGCGCGCTGCACAGCTGCTGCACAGCTGCTGCACCGCACCACCCACGGCACTACGACCCTCTGTTACCTTGTTTATTCCAGTTCCAGTTCATCAATTCTTTTCTGTCGCTCTTCTACATTGCCTTCTACCTGCAAGACATGGACAAGCTGCAGGAGGTGGGTGCTCTTTGTCCTCCTACTCTCTTTGCTGCATAAAGGGAAAGAAAGAGTCTGTAAATTTAAACGAAGACCTAGTCGTACCACAGTCTTCACTCGTGCGGTCTTGGCAAGTTTCTTGTAGCTTCCGCTGCTTCGAAGAACGCAATCCTTGAGATAGTAGCTGTCGGGTGAGCTTCCTTCCGGTGAGCTTTTGTCTGGGATTTTAAAAAAGAAATAGGGGCAGACAACGTCTCGAACTCAGCTAATGCATTCATTTAAGCTGACCATTTCCTTACGTGCTTCTGGGTGTGGGGTTGTTTCTCGGACGTCTTCCCTCTGACCTCTGCCGGGTGTTTTTGTTGCTCGCAGCAACTGGCAGCTCTGCTGATCACCCGTCAGGTGGTGGGCAACATCAAGGAGAGCGTGATCCCCTTCCTGACGGAGAGGATACACCTGGCATGCCTCGAGGTGAACGCCGCCACGCCCGAACACCGAGCCCACAGGTAGGGGCTGGGCGCACCGCCGTTGCTTTTCCCGGGGGGAGGGAGGGAGGGGGAGGGGGGGGGGGGCGGGGGCAGGGGCGGGGGTGGGAGCGGGGGCGGGGGGCGGGGGCGGGAGCGGGGGCGGGGCGGGGCAATTCTGAGCTTTTTCCGCAGAAAATGCCAAAGTTAAAAACCCCAACTATACTCGGCTTTACCTTTTTGTGCTGCGTTGTCAATACTAGCATAGCGTTTGCAGATACTGTCAAAGCTACTTGCAGGAGCATGCGCAAATGAGGCGCAAGACGAAGCCACGTGTTCGCGCAGCAGTGCGGAGCTGCGACACCGTGGAATGTAGGCTAGCCTCGACAACATAGCACAAAAAAGAGGGTTGATGCCGAGTATAAGTGTTGCACGGTGCTACCCTATTCAGAGGCTGTGCCCATTCATTTTTCTAGCACCAATAGCAAAGAAGATTTATAAAAAAATAACAAGACTGTACTCCAACAATGTTTTTGCTACAGTATCGGTACCACCTCGAGTGTTTGTACCAGTGTTAGACATTTTCCGCAGCTTTACTCCGAATTATAGTGACAAACTTTCCTCGCTTGTACAGGCATTTGAAATGCCAATGTAGTAAAAGGGAAAGCATTTCTTTTTAAATAGGTGCCTTTATCATTGTATATTTTTTGATACATAATGTGCCTTTTATGTGTGCTCCAAACGTCGTGACACCCCTCGCATTATACGATGCTCCCAGTCGGGTGTCGGGTGAGAGCTTGTCTCGACCGCCTCGTGCCCTTTTCAGGACTAGCCACGAGCCTGAGACCGAGGGCCCCAAGATGGCGTCGAAGGCACCGGAAGATGCCAACAATGGTGACGGCACACCCAGGCGCAAGCCCAGGCTGACGCAGGCGGAAGTGGAGTGTGCTATGTACAAGGTGGGTAGCGCGCAAAGGCTGCTTTCGCTCTACTGCACGCACAATCCCCTCAGAGCCACATCCTTCGAGCGGTGGTTTCTGCGGCAGCGACGACCATCGCGGTATTTCTGGCAGTTCGATTCTGCCGACGCACTTCTTTTGTTTGATCCCGGGATGTCGTAGCCATAGGAGTGATGTTCTCTGCGCGAACTAGAGATTGGCGGTTTTTCCCGTCTTTTTAGAATACAAAGACCGTCGTTAAAACTACCGTGGTGCTGGAAAGTGCTCGCTTTAGGCACTAATCTAAGCAATAAAATTTGGGGCCTCACAATATCCTTCCAAAGGAAAACTGTAAAAATCGCCGACGTTGTGTTTGCGCTCATAGTGTCGTGCAACAAACGTGAAAATAGTTATCTCGTTGGAAATTACGGCGCCGCTGCCTCATTTTAGCCTGAAAACAACGGACCCGTAATCACCGTCAAAGCGCAAGAAACTCGTGCAAAAACCGTGTTACGTCGCCGAGCGGCGTAACCCTAGCAACCGTTCTCGTTCGTTCTCTCGATGCCACCGACGTCAGTGCGTGCAACTTTCCGTGCCAAACTCCCGTCTTCGCTCGCCTTCCCCACCCAGTACGAGGGCACCTTCGAGGACTACCTGGAGATGTTCATCCAGTTCGGCTACGTGGTGCTCTTCTCGTCGGCCTTCCCCCTGGCCGCCCTCTGTGCCCTGCTCAACAACGTGGTGGAGGTGCGCAGCGACGCCTTCAAGCTCTGCATGATCTTCCAGCGGCCCTTTGGACAGAGCGCCGAGAACATCGGCACCTGGCAGGTGGGTGCAAACGCTGCGGCACCGGGAACGGGCTGGCCGGGTAGACCGGACGACGCCTTGGCCCTTTAAGCCTTTGACGGTTGTTTCTGCATGTGTACGGTAATGATTACACGTTAGAAAGTGCGCACCTAAATGCGAAACTTGTCACACCTCGGGAGGTGGTGCTATTTTTTATGTCTTCGGTAAACGTAAACATTATGTTCACATGGTGCTTAGCTTTGCTGGGCTATCTATGTTTTTCAAGTTAGACGCTCCGCGCGTGTGATGGTCACTTAGCATACTGGCCGCTCTAGCGGTAGTGCCATAGGAGCACTTGCTCTTCCGATTCAGACTTTTAGCGCTTTTAGGAATTGAATTCAGAGGATGAGAGCTTATCACTTTTTTTTGTTTACAGTAAAACCTCGTTATAACAAAGTTGAAGGAGCGGTCGTAATTATTTCGTTATAACCATTAGTTTGTTATAGCCAATGTCCATTTCTTCCCAATATTAGCAAGCAAGGGGTATTATGATTGCTTTGTTATAGCCATTAGTTTGTTATATCCCATTTTGTTATAACGAGGTTTTACTGTATTTATTCGATATGTACCCACAAACAGCATGATGCCTTCAGCGTGCTGCACAAAAGGAAACGAAGCAAAGAAAGTATGTGAAAATAAGTGAAAAAAAACTAAAAGGAAAATAAATAAATAAAAAAAAGACCAAATATTATACATGACTCTACAACACAAAGAAGTACACTCAGGCTTTGGACAAATTTTTCACAGCTCGAGCAAAAGTATAACAATCAAAGATGTTCAGACCAGGTGCCTCAAGTGAGTTGTATACAAGTTGTGCTCTCTGGACAGGGCTTTTGGGATTAACTGCAGGACAAAAAATAGTGGTGAGGAACGACATTGTGTGGGAGACATGAAAACTGATTGAATATAGTAAATCGGCACAGTTAACAACACCATGGACAACTTTGTGGAGAGAGCACAGATGGAGGAGTATCCTTCTGTCACTCAGTTTGTTTAACCCAATGTGGTAAAGTATTCTATAGTACAAGTAATATACTCTTCTGAAAAGGTAACCGTAGTAATAGATTCAAACAAATCTCATCTGTACTCGTTCCGAAGAAAGTGACAAGTAGTGAGGAACAGAGTTCCATACCACTGAACATTACTGTAGCCGAGAGCGCACAATAGCCCGGAAGAGTGACAAATAACAGCTAGGATTAGTGAACTCCGTCCGACGTGGAAGCTCTGTAAAGTATACCTCCGGTTGGAAATCTGGAGCCACTGGAACATCGCGGAAGCAGATGCAACAAAAAGTAATTGAATGGAAGAAAGGTGACAACTTCTCGCCTTTAATATTTTTATTTGATGCTTTGAAACCTAAACGGCGTGCAAGCACAGTATGTGATCCTGTTAAATAATTAAGGAGAGACCTGTACATTGACTTTATCTTTTTATTATTTCTTTGGAAACGAAACTCAACCACTGGAAAAACCCTTTTGGGAAAAAAACTGAGTTGTCAAAAAGTCGAGAAATTTTTTTATTCTTTATTAGTTACGATAATTGAATAAAATTTGCACAGTTTAGAGTACTTGATCTCTTTTTTATAAATATGGTGGTGGAACACTTTACTTAGGAGCTGGAAAGGTCAGGAAAATTTTGGAACTCAAGGTTCCTGGGAACTCAAGTTTCAAAACCGATGCCCTAGAGAAAGCCTAGGAAGAAATGCTGTTGCATAAGTTCCTAGCTTTGCCACCTGCTCGTCTCTTGTCGGCACGGCCGCCATTGTCGTTTCTTCTGTGGCCGTCCGACGAAGTCCTCCTCTCGGGCCGTGTTCCAAAATTGACTCAATCTTACTCCAGGGTAAGGGTTTTGTACCTTGGCGTTCCAAAACCTACCCGCGTCCAGTGCTTTTCAATCTATGTTGTCACGTGACACAACCCGCCGGAGTAACTTGGATCCATTTGGGTAAGATTTGGAACTCAGCCTCAGTGTCTTCTCCCCCTGGCAGGCCGCCATGGAGGTGATGGGCGTGCTGGCCGTGATGGTGAACTGCGCCCTCATCGGCATGTCCGGGCAGATCCACCGCCTATTCCCGTCTCTCACCACTACAGGCACCGTGCTGCTCATCGTCGGGCTCGAGGTACGTTTCGTCCCGGTCCCTGGTGTGGCTGTCTGGTCGACTTGGGTCACCGGGGGCTATGCACTTGCTGTATAGTCTGATGCAGGTTAAAAATAGCTGGGCAAGATTCCTCCACAGAGCTGTGGCATGGCACAAGCTGTGGCATTTTGATGCCCCATTAGCATATCAGTCTTTATGTGTCGCCTTTTACGTTGTATCTTTTCTCGCTTTCCTTCCACAATGAACATTCATTGTTCTACTGCTGCCCGCTTATGTGGTGGCAGCAGATCCAAGCCGAGATGTTGACGCTGAGAGCTTTGGGGGAGGGTCTTGTCCTACTTTTCTTTCCTGCAACAGACTGTAGAGTGCATCAGCTTAGTTGTCCTGTTCTGTCTGTTCATGAGTGAGGTTCATGAAAGGGTACTAAAATACGGTCTCAATCTCAAAATCTCAATTTGTGGAGGAGTGGAAAGGAAGGAAATTTATACAAGTATTTGTTTCACGGCATCCCCAGTCCCTTCTAGCTCAAACTCGTTCGTTATTGCACTGGTCACGTCACTGTTCAAAATTCCAGAATGATCGACCGCGTACCTTTTCGCCATAGCACTTGCACTATGCCTCTCACGTCATGCTTCACTGCTTTGCACCAGAGCACATGTGTAAAGCTTTACTGCATTGCACTGGTGCACTCGTGTCAAGCTTCAGTGCTATGCACCGGTTAGCTCAGTGAGCTTAAAACATTTGCTCACTATTATAGGTCAACTTCCTTTGCTTACCATTATGGGTTGACACTCAATTCAAGATAACTTTTAAAAAAAAATAAAGATTGTCAAGCTATATTCAAGTAATTATGGTAGGAAAAGTTTTGCAGTAATATTGGGGTATTAATTGGTCAGTAACCAAGAGATAATTTGTAGACGCGTGGAGAGAGGCTGTCTCGATCTTTCCCCGACTGAGCTGAGTGTGGACGGCACGTGTGTCTTCCTTTCCGGCAGCACGTGATGCTGTTCCTCAAGTTTGCCATTGCCCAGGCCATCCCAGACATCCCTCAGTGGGTGGCCACCGAGATGGCCAAAGTGGAGTACCACCGCAGGGAGGCAGCCAAGGTGGGCACACTACAACCACTGGCAGAAGTCATACAGGCTCGCACCAAAACTCAACAAACAAAATAGATGTTCACGTTTAGACGTGTGAATTCTACGCGGTAGACGAGAAATTTAGCCAGTGCAGTACGACTGCTAGCTGAGGGTCTTTAACATGGAATGTGGTTTCAACACATAAGAGAAACGAGAGGGACATGAAGAAAGATGACAAGAACCTCCTCGAGAGCAACTCCCTTGAACTCCCGGCTAACTGTGACAAATCGGTTTGCCCGTTTTTAGAATGGACTTGAAGCATCACCCTGCTGAAGGAAACCAATTCAGAGGGCTTTAGGTGCATCTTTTATTATGCGTGAGGTCTAGAACGACCTAGCAGTCCCGTACGAGTGGCCGTGCCCGAAGGCTGGCCCAGCACGCGGCGACAACAAATGACTGCCGGCGCTCGTTGGCCCAGTCCCTTACCAGCGTGCAACCGAAAAAGCATTCGTTCCTCATGTGATTAAAAATTAAAGCGGTGTTCATCGGCACCAAGGTACCGCTGACGCTACGACAGGGTTGACACAATACCAACCAAAAGACAACACCTATGCGTTGCATCAATGTTAGTGGATCTCCGATGCGCTTCAAGTGGCAGAGAAGCCGGAGCTTGACGACGGTATGCAGCAAAGCGGGAGACATGTGCTTCTTGGCATCGTTGCACACTAGCATTCTGCTAATTGTGAGATGCTGCAAGACACACTCGGCGAGGCGGTGTTGCATGGAACCACTCGTCTTGACATTAAAGGAGGAAAGACTAAGGCACCATCTCCTAGGTGGAATTGTCTTATAGGGGATTTGAGACCATGCCTGGAAACGGCTCATACCGAAAATAGTGCAAATTCGTGCATGGTGACCCGTCCATTGCAAGCACTAGAACTCTCCATTTTGTGCTTGGTGTGTTAGTAGTATGTTGTGATCCTGAAGCCGAATTAGTACCAGCTATGTGATTGTTAGGCAGGTAAACTGAACTACATTCGTGCCACGAGCATAATGAAGGTGCATGGTACAAGTCTTTGTCCCGCTCGTCCACGGCCTTCGGTGCTGTGGACGTTGGCAAGAGCCGTCTTCTCTGCTCGTCCTCCAACAGCTACAGAGCGCGACGCTGTGGAAGATGGACAAGCGTACGTCGACAGTAGGGCTCGGGGTCGAAGAGCAAGTGGCCGCCGCCTGCCAGACGTCGCCCACCATGTCGCAGATGGCGTCGCCCACCGTCGAGGAGACGGACAACGTGGAACTGCCCTCGCCAACTTTGAAAGACGGTCTTGGCCTGGTCCGGCAACCGAGCGACGCCGTCGAAGACGACGAGCAAGCACCATCGTCGTCTTCGGTAAGAAAGGCTCGGTCTTCGTCGCTCTCCGACTGGGCCAACCGTCTGCTCCGTCTGCGCGGTCGCTCGATGGAATCGGACGGTCTTCCCAGGCGCCGACGTCATGTGAGTGGATCCCCACAACCGCACTGAACGGAACGTCGGGCATCGGAATGTTTTTACCAATTTATGCAGCTATGCCGGCATCGTGTTGGGGCTGGGACATATGTCTCGGGTTAAAATTGGTGTTGTTTCGGCATCACATCGGCACCCTCCGGTGTAGTGCCTGGGTTAAGGTGTATGTGTGGGTCAAGACCAGCGTTGTGTCACCATCACATCCGCACCTGCCGATGTCGGGCCAGGGTTGTGTATATGTTTGGGTTTAAGACCAGAAATGTCGGCGTCACATTGGCACTTGCCGTAGTTGTGCTGAGGTTTGGGTGTATGTTTGGGTGCAAGACTGGCATTGTGTCAGTCTCACATTTGCACCCGCTGGGGCTGTGGTGCAAGAAGCGTTGCATCGGCCTCACATTGGCACACACCAGCATTGCGCTGGGTTTGGGGAGTATGGTTGGGGGTAAGACCGGCATTGTGTGAGCTTCACACTGGCAGCCGCCGGTGGTGGTAGCAATTGACTACACTGTCTGCCTTGTTGGTTTCACCTCATGTCAACTTGCAGTTTTTCTAGCTGCTGTTGTCCCTTTTGGAGAGTTTCCCACTGTGTGGTATCTACGAGGATGCACTCAACTTCGGGTTTCTTTTTGTTGGGTTTGAAAGACCTCTTCCAAACACGGTTGCCAGATTGAGTCAAGGATTCACGGTGGATTGCGGGTGAGTTACGGCTATCATCCAGCTCTTAGGTTCGTGAGCATGCACCATATCCCACCAAAATGAGAAAAGGGAGGTCATGTATACAGCTTTCCTGCACTTACCACACAAGTGAAATATGCTGAATCACTAGGCTGGACGCATATGCAATCACTGATGTTCTGCAGGAGAGAGCTACTATGCACAATCAAGTATAGAAGACCTTTTAAAAAATATATATATATAATTGGATACACGATTTACCTTACTGACTGGGGCCGAGGTCACTTTTAGCTGAAAGTAAGCCTAACTAGCCCTAAATATGCATGGTTTCAAGAAGTTGCACATGTTATAGAAGTTAGAAACGATCATGATATAAGCATCATTAATTAATGTAATGATGCTCTAAGCTGCACAAGATATTAAAACTAAAATAAGGGATTTTTTTTTTTTTTTTGGACAGGGTTTGGAAGAAGGGTCAGTGCAAAAGGCTAAAAAGTCTGATGTGGCACAGGTCCCTTGCTTGTTTTAGGGCTCGAGAGACAAGAACATGGTAATTAAAACTGGCATGAGAATCTGTAATGAGTGATTGTTGAGTATGAGGAGCTTATGGTACAAAAAGAGAATCAGTTCCAAAACACTCCAGTTAATGGTAAGGCTCACTCATTTGAGAAGGCACACAACCAAAGGGCACTTGGGAACAGCACGCATTGGCATCTAAGAAGTGAATAATGATGAATTTATGAGATGACTGGATCACTTTCTTCCAGTCATTACAACCTTTGTCACTATGCTCGTTTTCGACTCAAGAAACAGAGCAAAAAAAATGTTTGACTCCTTGCAGTGTGTATTTACTATGTTCCTACCGTATGTGGTAAATTAAGATATACTTGTCTTTGATGTTAACCAGTTCTTTGTTATTTTATCAACGTGTACATGCTTCAAATGCAAAGGTACTAGTCATTTTCTTCTCTGACAACATCATCTTCTAGGAACTACTCTGAGCACTCAGCAAAACTGACTTTCTTGCAAGCTGAAAGCTTGCAAGAAATCAAGCTGAAAAAGAATGTTGCGTCTTTGGGGAAAGCACGCAAAACATAGTCCTAGCAGAAACACTGCAAACAGCTGCCCAAGGATTGTATTTACTACTGAAGTTTATCACTGTTGTTGTTATTTAAACTGCCAATTCTAATGACCTCACGAAACAGGGCAAGTTGCACACCAACGAACAAAGGGAAAAGCACATTCCAGCGGCACATTGAAGCTTCCTTCACCATCACCCATGTTAGCAGGGTTCTGCACTCGCTTGTTCTTGCTCACCGATCAAGTCGATTGTGCCCGGAAAGTTCCTTCCAGCAGTCGCCTTGTCAAGAACTGTTCAGACTCGAAGCCCAAGTAACAAGGCAATTTAAATCGTCACGTCATCCCTCAATCCCTCCAAACATTTGTCTCATCGCAGCTTTCCATTTTCCTAGAAATGGTTGCAGAAAGCTGTTGAACAGACGTGCTCCTTTGTGCGTGACGAAAACTTTTCGAACGGTTTCTCATTGCTGGAAACGTCTCGGAGAAAAACTGCCGACGCCATGGAACCATATCGCAAAATGCAAAAAGTTTGGCCTTTGTACTGTTTCCAGCGAGTATACCACGCATGTAGGACCTGCGTGGCAATTGATTCTTCGATGTTAATGTTTACAATACTCGCTCGTGAACAGTGCGAAGGTTCCACTGTGTGCGTCTATTCTGAAAGCTTCCGGTGACTCAGTTTCCGAGGGCAAAGGTCTGGGCTTCTATAGTCATCGAGAGATTGAGAACGGCACGGCAGATTCTTCGATCGACCGGTCTCCAACATGCGCTCCATAATGCCTTCCGACGTGCCTTGGCTACGCGCACGAGCTCAAGGTGCTCGAAACACCGAAGCACTGTTGGGTGTAGGAAGCTCAGGTTGGAGGCGGGACACCCGAAGCACCTCCCTACCATTCTCATCTTGCCGGTGACCATACAGTGATGCAGGGTTAGAAACAGTCCTGTTACGCTCACATGTTTTCTGAGCCGGCGAGGAGCGTTCCCGATTTTCCTTGGCCAAAGCTTCGACGCGCCGGGGTGTCTGTACGGACTACCGCTTTCTCGATGCTTCGAAGCCACTCTTGTGCCACAACGCGAGAGGTGCCGCTTTCTTGCCACCTCTTCTTTTGACTCGCGGCTCCGTGCAATAAACTGGTGTCAAACGTTGCTCCCGGTGCCTGTTGCATCTGTTCCGTTTTTTTAACTTCCGTCGGTATTACTTTCACTTCTAGAATCTTGATAGATTGACGCTTATGGTAACGAGAGGGCATTTGAGAGATAGAAACAGTAGGTGGCTGGGGGAGTTGCAATGGTCTGTCTGGCGGGGAGCTGTTGCAATCCGCAAACTTTCTGCATAAACGGAAGCTCTTACATGAGCAAAAACCATTATGTAAGTGCTGAGTAGCAGCCCGCAAACCTCCTTATGCACAAATGGAAGCCCTGCTTTGTTTTGGAGACCCTCTTGCTAACCTTACATGAGCAAAAACCATTATGTAAGTGCCGAGTACCTGCTACACACATCATCAACAATCAACGCAAATTTGTGGTAAGAAATGACAATTTTTTCTTTATTGCATCCAAGGCAAAAAGTCGTCCGTAGATGAACACCGACAGATGCCTGTCGGAGTGCGAGTACAAATAAATTTTAATTGAACAAGGGCGTGCAGCAATTAAGGTGACTGGTTTACTTCGCACGGATATGCACACTTCTTTCGTGAAGAATGGCTGTGGGCGACTGATCAGTGCAACCAAAAGCCGTGTCTAACTGGACTATGGAGGCTTCTGCACATTGGTGCAGTGACTACTAGGTGCACCGGGGCAGTTGAGCTACAGATCTACCTAGAAGGACCTTGCACCCACCCTAGTGCTCTTTAGCTTGGCTGTGCATTTCAAGGAAGCTGATAGTATCTATTGGAGGAGGCGGTCCCTCTCAAGTTGGGGTGTCAGTCATTTGGATTAAACTACTCTAAAGCACCAGCTGGATGCACACTCGGAGCACCATCAGCCTTCTCTGCCTAGTCGACACTGCTGGGTAGCATGACTCTGCGAAATTTTAGAGTACAGTTTCTTGTCGATCTAGTTGTCTGCTCAACTACAGTGTTGCCTGTTGGGCAAGTGTTCGGGAGAGGGGGGCAGGGGGTGGGGAGGGGTGACGGGAAGGGGGATTTCCTTTTCCCTCCCTCAAATTGTTTACTTAAAATGTTTTAAATATCTGGAGGAGGAGGAGATGGGGAAAAGGGAGCGCGATTTCCCCCCCCACTTGCCACCCCTTATCCGATGCTACTGCTGTTGGGCTATGGGCTGCAAGACCCAGTTTTGATCGCTCAGGCTGCTATCTTACGTTGTGCTGAAGGGCAGTGATTTCCTCACAAAGAGCAATGGCATTGAAGGCAAGAGAATACCTCACTCCCCCCCCCTGCCCTGCCCCCCCCCCCCCCCCCATTTTGACACTATTGCTCCTGGGCTGCGAGACCCAGTTTTGATTGGCCTGGCTGCAATTTGCTGAGGAGGGGAAGTGATTGCACGGCGAAGTTTCCACGTCAGGGCGTCACCGACGGCAGTCAGCTGGTGCGTGGACTGTACAGGGTGTGCAGGACCTTGACGGCTTTCTCGAGGTCGGGTGGGACACTGGCATCGGGCTGGAACTCCCACCGATTGAAGAGCAGCAGCCGGAAGTTTGTCTCGGTGACTCCGAAGTCGGCAAGGTGGCTCAACACTCTGTCCGGTCGCAGCGGGAAGCGCAGTAGTGTCTCCTGGAGCCAGAGATGGACACCGCATCTCGAGTTAGGGAACCACGTGTAAGGGGCATGCATTGCTTCTGTCTCGAGGAGGCAGCAAAGTGAATGAGTCTAGGCGGAATTTAAAGGAAACTACTGAGCTCCCAAATGTAAATAGGACACATATGTCACCACATAATCCCCCCCCCCCCAATTCCTTTAAAAAAAAAAAAAAAAAAAATAATTGATGCAACATTTACGTTCTAAAATTGGTTTGTTTTGAAATAGAAGCACATTTCGGAATTGCTCCTATCTCAAAACGTGTCTCGCGACAAAAATATTGTGCTAAAAAAAGTTTTAGAAAGAAGTTTTTTCTGACATGTGTGTCTTTTCTTTTCTTTTTCTTTTCCAAAAAAAATTACAATTTTAAGGTAGTGTCCCTCTTAAGGGGGGACACTGGCTAGAGGTCGAACTTCTTAACTACTCAAGTGATTGGAATGAAATTTAGAGAGGAGATTTAACGTCAGATGTAGGTGTATTGTGCAAACTTTCAGCTCTCCAGGACAACTTTACATACCTGCATAAGAAGATGTGTCACTCTTTGTTAAGAAATCTATGATATGCAAATGAAGCTATTAAGCACCATTTTGACTGCTAGAATATAAGGTGAGGGATGTGGCACTTCGGGCTATCTAGGTTTTATAACTCAAATGTAAATATTTCAGGAAGAGTGATTACCTCAAAATATGAGATGCAAATCTGTCCTATGTCAATTTTTGAAAACGTAGCTTTTTATCACTGAGGACTTTAACTTAAAACAAAATAAAGTAGATAGCCCGATTCCCCAGTAAATTTCAGTTCAGAAACATCTTGATTGTGGTATTGGAACACTTTCACCTTCGAACAAAAGATTCCTTCGTATGAAATTTGCAGCAAAAAGTGGAACTGAGAAAAATGCATTCAAACATTGAACTCCTTTACTTTGTTACTGCCTCACAACGTGTTGAAAATATTTTATATCAACATAAATATTTGGCGTATGGTTATCAAATTTGGTGTAAGGGCGTATAATTAGTTTCTAAAACTGAAAACGTCAAAATTGACAAATGAACTTTTTCAAAAAAATAAAAAGTTTAAGCCCATGTCCCCCCTTAAAAAGAAACAATTTCGGTGGCAGTTCAGTGTTCCTCCTTGGTCACTGCACCACACAGCAAAGAAATCTCGTTTCTGCATGACTTTTCTTTTTCACCTCTACAGATTGTTTTGACTCTAGCGCTCTTATTGGCTAGAAAAAAAAAAAAAAAAAAAGATTTCTCATTTTTTGTTAGTTTTTTTTGGGAGAGATGTAATCGGGTGGCCACGCACGGCCAAATACTACGCTCACCGACAGCTTCAGAAACGTGGGGCTTGGCGAGTTCTCAGCATCTTGTTGCTCTGCAGCCCTTCCGATTGCAACATTGGCCAAAGAAAGCAACTAAGAGCGAATCGCAAAGCAAGAGGCGTAAACATGACAAGTTGTGTCCCACGTTTCTCATGCGGTCACTTACTATAGGTCACAATGGGGTGGACAATATCATATGTCTAAAAGGGGGGGAGGGAGGCAGCTGGCCTCTCATACACACGGTTCATACAGCCGACATTTAGAAGACTGGCTCCTTTCACTCGTTAGTCTCTTCGAGCACCAAGTTTCTGCGGAATGCCACGCTCGGAAACGGCACGTTGGTCAGCGACGCCCTGGACAGAGTTGCTTACATTTGTAAAACTCTCGCGGCCGATGGAGACGTACGCCTCCATGGGGTTGAACCTGCTCCCTCGCCTGCCGGACGCGTCTCGCCGAACGTCAAGGTTGAGCGTTTGGGTGCTCGACGCGCTGTTGTGTGAGGCTTGGCTCGGCTCGGCTGCGGCCCTGCGTCCGTCTGCCGGCCGCGCGTCGGCGGGGGGGCAGCCGGTTTGCGAGAGCAGCGGTGGGATGGCAAGGCTGTGGCGAATCCAGCCCTCGTTGCTGCAGAGCACCGCGTGAAGATGGTCAATCGCCTCTTGACCTGGGAGGGAAGGTAAGTGCATCCTTGGGTCTGGTCGCCCAATTTATTGGGGACTCTGGCGGATCTTTGCGGTACATTGAGCGCATCTTGAGCGGGTGTCTTTTCGGAATGTTTAGTCTGTGCACCGAATTTCTGCCCGGTGATGTCACGTTTGTGGATCGACTCGGATAATTGTAATACTGGTTGCTGCATGGTCCCGCTGATAGGCGAAAACGCTGGCAGCCAGGAGGCTGAGTCCCGTTACAGTAGCCGCCTGATTTATGGCCGGATAATAGTAAGTATATGCCCAGATGACGCTTTCAATTTTTAGTGAGAGACTTTCCTTCTGCAGCTGTTTGTCTACTTCAGACAAAGTAGAGCTTTAGAAGTTTAATGCAATGGTAGTTCGATTTAAGTAGGATTTTTTAAACTGTATACCGACTCGCTGATTCAGGCTATTACCTCCTGGGGTTTCCAAGATGCTTTCTGTCGTGAGGTGGATGTTGATGTCGTCTGCGGTTTCGGAACGTGGATGACCTTGGATGCCTTCCTCCAAAGGACTCCGATTGCTTGCATAAAAAAAAAAGTTTGAAAAGTGTTTTTAGGGTTTAGTGCAAAGTATAGGAATTGCGTTTTAATGTGCAAATTACGCACACCCTGTACTGAAATACAAACTTGATCGTCTTTGATATTGCGACAAGTCTAAGAAACGTAAAGCCTCGAAAACCAGAGTCTCGCCCTCCTTCACTGTTTGTAATATATTAAAACACAACTCAACAATCGCAATCTAAAAAAAAAATGTTTTGATTTAGCCATTTATTTGTACTTATGCAAGTTATTTATCCAAAAATGTGGTTAATACTGTGAACGAAATGGAGAATACCGAATGTGGGGATGCATAGTTTTACTATTATTCTCATACAGTCTTCAGAAGAAAGCATTCTATACTGGTACTCTGTGGTGATGAAGTGCCTGTCCAAAGCAGGGTAGCCTTACCCGTTGGCGGTGAAGAGCGCTCCGAGCGAACCCAGGCAGCTCAGTACGGCCTTTTGCAGCTTTCCCGTGGTACGGTTTCTGCCGCCGGCTGCTGTGTCGTCGCTACGGTGCAGTGCATTTGCGGCTAGTTGGTCCGCCAGCCTGGAACACCGAGCCGTGATCTTGGGCTCGACGTGCGTGCCAAACACCTTGCACAGGCGTGCCTCGCTCTTCAGAATGTCGTACAGCGTTGACAGGATCACCTGGGAGGTTCGGACGCATTGGAAAGGAAAAAAAAGACAGGCTCTCGGCGTTACGGTTGCTCTTAGACGCATGCAGAGAGGAGATTTGGTCTCAACGAGTTTATGCAGCACTCGGCCAAGCAGTACGATAGCCATTGATTGATGGCAAGCAGTGGGGTGGTCTTTCCGGTGCTTCATATAGGACGGAAGCATTCGGTGTCAAGTCCGTTCGGTCGTACATGAACCGGAGCTGTATGACGCTTATTTGCATGCGTCTACTGCATGGCCACCATTTTTTCAATTTCAATGGGAAAATGGCGGACGACAGAACTCTAAAATACATGGAGCCGAGTGATGCCAGTTACTGAAAGCGGAAGGAAACGGACCCCCTTTTCCCATTGAAATTGTCAGAAATCGCTCGTAACTTTTGAATCAGATGACGGTTAGTTTTGAAACTTTGGCATTTGGTTTGGACCACTTGGGCTACACTTCGGCAGAGAATGAGTGTTTGGCAATGCATAGTTTAATTTTGCAATTAAAAGAAAAAAAAAATGCTTTTAAGTTTTTTGGGGGACACGCTATACAGCTGAAGAAAGCCACCGAGCATTCTTCGTGGCACTGTGCCGCTGCTTCAGTCGGCCATAGGACCTGGGAGAGCGTACCTGAAGGCCGGCAGAGTTGTTGGTGGACCGCACCCCGGCCCGGTGTACGATGAGGTCGAGCAGCGTGAGGCAGGTCAGCAGGGGCGTGGGGAATGTGGGCACCACCGCCATCGCGCACGACAGCAGTTCGGTCAGGCACGCCGTGCCGGTCGCCCTGTCTGCAACTACGCGGTACACACAGTCGATGGAACCGGTTGGAACCGGTCGGATCCTCCAGTCAATACGACTGCAGCGCCGCCGCGTACATCCGGGATCTTTTTACGCTCGCCGCTCGTTGGCGCCTGGTCTTACTACACCTTTCTAGTATGCGCCGCCTTTTCCACCGCTTGGTGGCAGGTATGTGGACGGGTCATTTCTTGTTTTCGTACTTTCTAAACTGTATTTGTCTCTTTTCTGATCTAAAATAGTGAACAAAAACTACTTTTATAAATAATTGAAATGGTTTGCACCACTTATTTTTTGTATTTCGACTAAAAAAAAGCTTTTAGCGGCTCTGACGAGTAGTAAGCCCAGGACCAAACACGTCACATATCGCGCGCTTTCGGCACTGCGGGTCGCCCCCGTAATGTGGGGGAGGTTTGTACAACGTTTGCTTAAAATATGATGCATTGATATTTAGTTACTCTCTCCGCGCCCACTGACTTGGCCGAACCCTGAGGAACGTGGAAACCGCAAAAAAGGTAGATGCTTAAATATGATTGCAGGGCCCCTTTAAGTTTCTCAGAACACACTTCTCGTAGCTTTTTTAAAGACCCGAAAAAAAGAATCTCGAAAATTCTCGTCAGTGAGGATTTACCGGCAACGTTTTCCGAGGTCACAGGGGAGCCCTGGAGGATTTCGTTTTCTGCCTGCCGCACCCACTGCTGCTCATCCTCGCAGCACAGCTTGAGGATAGTCGATGCCGAACTTGCCACGACACTGGGCGACAACCAAAGGTATCTCGGTGACTGTTAGTTTGCAGAAACGGCCCACTTTAGGTACAACAATCCACTCTAAGCTTTTACTGTTCAAACCCAACATGCTTGAATTAAGTGAACTTACACTGGAGTTATGTGAACCACCAAGCACAGCGATTTGATGCTACAACAGTTGCGAGGCTGTTTTAATTGCAGTGTGGAATGTTGAAGTGGTGCTGTTTTCTAATGTGTGCTCTTGAATGTAGGCGGGCAATGTAGAAGTTTCAAAATGAGAGGCATACTAGTTGATTTTTAATGAGCGTAGACGATGAGACACACACATACCTTTCAAGGTACTCTCCCAGCAGTCCTTGAAGTGAAAGATACCACCAGGGCCTCTAGAATGGGGTGCACGGCATTTAGAATGCACAAGTTTGGGAGGCTGGTATGTGCCCCAAGTTAACTGCAGACTCGTACTACTTACATCTGAGCTTTCCTTGGCCAGTGAGGAACTGTCGAAGTGCCGCCAGCCATCCACTCTGCAAGCACAGATCAAGGTGGAGATGCACGATTGTTCATTTGTCTCCCTTGTCTTTTTTTCCTTCATATAATTGCGTTGTCTGTTAATACAATGGGAAGTTAGTGAGCCCCAGTAATCATCTGGTGTCTCTGAGGTAGATGAGAAATTTAGCCAGTACAGTACGACTACTACTCTGGGGTCTGTAACATGCGTAGCGTCAAGCAGTAGCGGTCACACAAACACACACTGGTACGACGCTCGTCCAGACTGAATTGGGCAGGGATAGGGATTGAGGCCAGGATCCCTGGGCTCTGCAGTGCAAGCTTTCGATTCACGTGCATCGAACTGCAGCGCGATTAACACTGACGGCCTTTGTAAGCAAAGACCAAAGTTTATGAATTACGAAACCCTAGGGAAAGCGGCACAGATGAGCCACGAGCACGAGGCTTTTGAGCATTTGTCAAAGAAGCTCTAAGCCTGTGCACATTTGATAGCCCACTAAAGCAACCCGACTACTGAAGTGAAGAAACAAACGTCACTTGCTTTTTGACGATGGTGAGCAAGACATCGCCGACGGAATGTTCAAGGTGGTCGGAGTGAACGAGGACAATGAGGGCAGCATCTACGAAACGTCGAAAACAGTCCAAGTTCTCCCCGTCTGCCGACAAAGAAAGTGTCGCCGCTTCTGCCGTCAGCATCGTGGACAGGGTGCAGTTCTCTGCAGTGAAGGACTGGAAAAGCCGCAGGAAGGAGAGCAAGCCGGGTAAGTATTTGGACAATATCGCAAAATATGTCTTGTTGCTCTCACTTCAGATGTGGTGCATCAATGTCACAAGATGGGGAAGCACCACCCCTTCTACGAAACGCTTCTACGAAGTGTTTCGTTAATCATTTTTGAGCTACGCTGTCGAGGACAGATCTAAGACTGCGCCTGGATCCCAATCCCATCGTGTGACTTTTGTTTAAGCAGGACGACTGAGGATTAGAGAGAAAGGAAGCCAGATATCTCGCCTTAAATTTATACGGGTGTCAGCCTTCAACCTTGATGCCTCAAACATTCTAGCTCTCGTTACAAGTTGCAGCCTCCCAGTTGGAAGTGCATTAACTAACTGGTTCCAGTTGGGTGCAGCCGAAAATTAGGCTTAATCCAACTGGATCCAACTGGATTAAAGGGGTTAGGACGCACCAAGAATAAAATATGAGATAAGCACACTGCTAGGACCCATTGTATGTTCCTATAATCCTGCTAAATGCGTTTTAAAAAAGGTGCAATAGTTCGGCGTATAGATAGATTTATATGCGATACCCTTGGATACAACCCATTCGAAAATGCTGCCGTGTTAGTGGGGTCGTTGATGTCACCCACCCAAAGCACAGTGTCCCCTTGCACGCGCTCGCAGACTTGGCTGTCTCGGCGTCTCATGCTTCAGCTTCCACGTTTACCTTCCACGCTTCGAGCATGCGGTTTCCAGACGGTTACTTCTACGGCATGACTTGCTTCATCAGAGTCTTTGACACCGATCGCAGCAGCGATGAGAGTGATGCTATCAAAGGATGTTAGGAGCTGGTAAATGTAATTAGCCGTTAGTCGTTCATACAGCGGGAGGTTAGTCTGCCAGAAACATGGCGGCATTGTTACCCTCTGTGGATGAGAAATCTAGCCAGTGCAGCAAGACCGCTAGCCCGGGATCTTTAACGGGCGTCGTGCGGTAGTGATACACGACTGCACGCCAGTACGACGAGGTAGGGGTGTGAGTTGAACCCAGGATCCCTTTGAAAGCTGGTCTTTTTGACTTCGACTGGCTTGCAACCAGTTCCAGCGACAACGACGAGATCGTAAGGAATGATCGCGCTTGTGCATGCAGGGTGGAAGATCAAAGGGCAAGGTAACGAGGCCATGGTGCTGGTTATGTTGTCAGGAATAAAAATGGGAGATGGATGGGAAACTGAAAATAATAATTTAATGATGCAAACTAAAGGTACTAGCGTGTTGGATTAGCCGAGTGGTGTGAGAGTGTGGAATTGTACTGTGGCGAGGTGAGCTGGCCCAGCATGGGGGCATCTAGAATGAGAGAATGTTCAACTAAATATGATGATTGCGTGGTTTATGGGCACCATGGTGTGACTAACTTGAGCAGCGTTGCCTGGTCGCCAGACGAAAATTATCAACATTCGTAAATTGATCATCGCAATTACTAGAGCTCTAAAAATTGTGAAACTTGGTGTATATACTTAGTAACCTATGAGCATTCCATTTCAAGAATAATTTATCTGTTTAATTTTCAAGTCCTAACCCCTTTAAGTCTCGCTTCCAGCTGGGACCAGTTCCATAATCCAGCTCTCCAGCTGAAGTGATTTTCGCCAAGAGTCCTATGGATGTTTGCAGGACATACCGTAAAATGCCGCAGAAGCGCCCACTTCGTTCAAGCGCCTACTATTAACATTCTGCAAACTTGGGGATTCTGCAAGTTATATGTTAAGCGCCTGATTTGGCCAGACAAGCGCCTATGTCTAGATTAACCGAGTTTTCAGTGAAAGAGGGGTGGGCGATTCCCCGAGATTTTACAGTATATATCCGTTAGGACATCCAGAGGTTGTTCACAGAACTGTGTGTCATGCCAGGGTCCTAACTGCCAGATGGATAGTAGTGCCTGCACTCTTCAAATTGGGTTTGTGCCATTTAGCCTAGAAACTTTTCTGCCCCTCCCTTTAAGGCGGAAAAATGACCGCAGCAGCGTTGGCCACTCCCGTAAGAGGCGCCGCAACCTGACGGAGGCTGATTGCGGAAGGGGCGCCGTGCAACCAAGATTCTGGTTTCACGACAAAGGATATCCCCAGGCACTCAAAATTATTCCTCAGTCCTTTGCAAAAGTCTGCCGGATGCCATTTGTTGTGTAGCACGTAAAACCCCCAAACTCGATTTTTCTTTAGTGTGCCCACAGAGCGAGCTCTAATCACCCGGACGACAAGTTGGGGGTCCGGCCTGGGCGATGCCAGGCACATGGCAACCGGCACCCAGACGGCAACGCTGGGCAGCGGCCTGGCCCAGGGGGGCCACTGGAAGAGCCCCGGACGTGCCCACGCCAGCCACGGGGAGAAGGCCACCAGGTCCGCATTGGGGGAGGGCTCGGGGTAGCCGCACTTGAAGTCCCGGTACACGGCCTCCAGTGGGGCTGTGGCCACGCACAGTGTCGCCAGCAGCACTGTGCAGTGGCTGTGGATGGCCTCGACGTAGAATGCCTGCACATGACAGAGAGAGCTCTTTGCTGGAGACTGACACGGAGGAGGAAGCGGCCCATCCTCCTTCCTTTGTTCTCGTTCCTTTGTTCATCCCTTTGTTCTCGTTCCTAGAGCCCTTAGATGACAGGGCCATAGTGCTGAATAATATTGTCACGAATAAAAATGGGAGATGATTGTGAAACTGAAAATAATTATTTAACGAGGCAAACTAAAGGTCCTAGCACGTTATATTGGAGCATACGTGTTACCGCTGCTCTTATACCCTCGGTACATCCGGGAATCTTCTGGCGGCAATATCCAGAAGGTGTCGAATTTCCCCCGGTTTCCTCCTTTCCCCTTGTCCTCATTTCTTGCCTGCCCGGTGTCCGTTGTTCGGGTCACGCGTTGACAGGACTGACATAAATTGTGGGGGGTGATATCTACTTGGGCAAAGATTCCTTAAAGGAGCTGTGCAACGATTTTAACGTTGAAAGAATTGGCATTTTCTGGTTTTGATATTGTTCACTGTGTCACAAATGGCAGAAAACACACCTCCTTTCATCGAAATGTTGCGATTCCGCCGTGTAATAGCGAGGCAAAACTTGGAATATTTCCCGACCTGCAGCCACGAGCGGCGGCCATGATAAACAAGCGGCGTGACTTCACTTGGGTAGTTGTAAGAAAGATAGCAAGTTTATTTTTTTATTTTATTTAGACATACTGCAGGCCTTGAACAGGCCCCTGCAGGTGTGGGGTACATACAAACAACAAAACTATACATATGAGAAACAAGAAACACATGGCAACCTTATCTATTACTTATACAACGACATAAATACTTATGAACGCCATCAGCATAATAAACATTCCATAATCAATGCCTAATATACAATAAAAAAATTAAAAATAAATGCACGTACAAACAGAAGGAAAGGAGAACAATCAAAAGTTGTGACTCTCAAGAGCAACATTGAAGTCGGGGGCAAAAAAGATGTCACGAGACGGGGCGTTCCAATCCGTAATAGTGCGTGGAAAAAAGGAATACTTAAAAATGTTAGTTCGAGCGAATATTGCTACCAGGGAATACTGATGATGGTGCCTAGTTTCCCTAGATAATGATGGAGATAAATATAGACTTGATTCAATGCGGAGTCTGTTATTATAAAGCAAATACAAAAATTTTAGTCGCACAATTTTTCGACGATGCTGGAGTGATGATATATTGTTTGCTATCATCAATGAAGATGGGGAATCTAGCCGATTATACTTTCCATAGATGAAGCGAATAGCTCTCCTCTGAACCATCTCAAGCTGTGACGCATCCTTTTTGGTATTCGGGTCCCATACTATGCCAGCATATTCTAACTTCGGTCGGACCAAGGAGTTATATGCTTGTAATTTAACGGAAGGGGCAGCGCTTCTAAGTTTTCGACGTAACAAGCCCAATTTTCGAGAAGCGGAGGAACAGATATTTTTAATATGTTGAGACCAACGGAGATCGTGGGATATGGTTACGCCGAGATATTTGTATTCAGTCACATCAGATATTACATCATTGTTTAATTGATAAGAGAACTTTAGTGGCTTTACTTTTCTTGTTATACGTAAATGAACTGTTTTCGTAAAATTTAGCTGCATTTGCCATGTGCGGCACCAATTGCAGATAGAGGCAAGGGAAGAATTCAGTGCGAATACCTGCTCGATAAAAGGTAACTTTTTTTTATAAATCTTGTCGTTCCAACATATATATAAATGCGTCGAAACCCTGGTATCATCGACAAAGCTTTTATTATACGGAGTTTTAGTGGCGCCATCTATCCTAGGTTCACTAAACCGCGAACAGCCACCAGAAGCCGGAGGGGGAGGGGGACAGCGCCGGACGGGCAAGGACGGGTGGTCACGCGGTTGCGAGCGGATGAGTTCTCGCTGCTCGCTGATGGCTCTAAAGAGAGAACTTTTCCGGAACTCCGCGCCTACTCAAGTGACGTCACTGTGCACGTGACCCTAAAGATGATGCACGAGTTGAGAGGCGGCAAAAACCTGGATCTTTTTCATTTTTTAAAATAAAAACTAGGGTATCCCGGCAAAATCTGTTTTCTGTAGTTCACTGCAGAAGTGTCAGGCATCAACTTCCACAATTATTTAAGCAAAGCCCTGAAATTGTTGGACAGCTCCTTTAAAGGAGCTGTGCAACAATTTCAGAGCTTTGCTTAAATAATTTGGGAGTTGGTGTCTCGACCTTTCTGAAGTAAAGAACAAAAAAACGCTTTTGCCTGCATGTCATAGTTTTTATTTTAAAAAATTAACAAGATTGAAGTTTTCGGCACCTCCCAACTCCTTTAGCATCTTCCGAGTCACGTGCGCTGTGATGCGAAAGGGGAACGTGCGGGGTTCCGGTGAAGCTCTCTCTCTAGAGCCATCAGTGAACAGAGAGAACTCGCCCGCTTGCGACCACGTGTCTATGTGCTTGCGCAGCGCGATCAACATGGGGAAAGGAGGAAAGTGCCAACGTGCTTGTCTGGGTCCAGCCATCCCCGTCCGGCTCTGACCCCGTCCCCCTCCAGCTTCTGGCAGATGTTCGCAGTAGCAGACAGAGCTGACGGTTTTGTTGACCTCAGGTAGATGGTACCGCTAAAACTCTGTATAATAAAAGTTTTGTCGATGATATCCGGTTTTGGCACATTTATATTTATGTCGGAACAACAGTATTTACAGAAAGATTACCTTTTATCGAGCAGGTATTTGCACAACTTGCTATCTTTTCACAAATTCCTCATTGACATCACGCTGCGTGGTTCTCATGGCCGCCGCTCGCGGCTGCAGGTCGGGAACTATTCTAATTTTTGCCTCACAATTACGCAGCGGAATTGCAACATTTTGAAGGAAGGAGATGTGTTTTCTGTCCTTTGTGACAAGATAAACAATGTCAAAAGTAGAAGAGGCAAATTCTTTCAACGTTAAAATCGTTGCACAGCTCCTTTAATTGTGCTGGGACCGCACCATATTTGAGACGGCGCCATGCACCGGTGGCCCAGTGCCACTCGTGAAGGCAAAAAAAAAAGACGCACCTCGTCGGCCCGATCTTGGAAGTCGACAGAATGGTGGCGGCGGTGTCCGAGCACTTCTCCCGGCGTGGTGCTGACTGCAAAGAGGGCGTCATAGGCACACAAGAGCAGGGTTCCAATGTCCGCCACCAGCTGGGGCAGCCGCTGCTCAGAGGGCCTGATCCCGGCGTAGCGGAAGCTCTCCTGCTGCAGGGTCTTTGCCAGGACTTCGGCCAGAAGTGACCTCGCCTTGTCCCAGGGCACGTCCCTGCACAGGTCGCTCCTGAGGCCTTGCAGGTACATGTTCCAGGCTTGCACCGTGAATGAGGGACGGCTGCCCTGCTTCGCGGAGGGACGGTGAATGTCTCGTGTATCGTCCGCTTAACATTTTTAGCGCTTGCATTTTACTCAAAGTATAGTCCAGGAGCATGTATTTATTTGTACTCCAAGTATGTATTAAAGTGTGAAATTATTTTAGCAAAACCCTTCCCCTCCCCAATCCCATAATGTTGTCCATCCGTTCGTCTGTCTGCGCATTCCCTCGCGTGACCCAAGGTCACATGACCTATATACTCATTTAGTCTCCACGCTAAGCTTGGCGGAAAACCTTACGTCACGTGATCCAGAAGCCAAATCCTAAACCAAATCAGGAAAAATTTGTCGCGTATGTCAAGAGATCTATACACCAATCCAGTTGCCCCGCTAAATTTAGCGGGAAAAATGGCATCGCGTGACCTTACGTCATGGGACACATGCACCAATTCAGTTTCCCTGCTAGATTTGGCAGAGAATTGATGTCATCATGACCTACGCATCAAATCAGTTTCCCCTCTGAATTTAGCGGGAAACTCGACGTCTCGTGACCTATACACCGATTCAAATAACCATTTAACAACAAAGGGCACCTGTATGCAGAGGGGAAAAATGCGGAGGGGAAATTGATGTAACTTGATTTCTAAAAGAACCATTCACTCTTTAAATCCTGCTTTTCATCCATCATGGGACTTGGGAGATAAAGGCCGCGGCCAATTTTTTCTGTTGCTTTCGAGTGGTAGACTTGGAAGCACAGGGTGTGGCAATATGAGCCGGCTTAGCTGGCTTAGCGGCGTTCAGGCCGGGGCAGCACGAAAGCCCTGTGGGGAGCCCCTAGTATGTCGAGCCGTTAGAAGAAAGGTTGGAATGGACTGCCCCCGTGTCCTGTTGTTGCAATCTGGCAGTTAGTTTCATAGCTTTGTATGTTGGGGGACATCCCATGTGGCATTTTACCCCTTTCATCTTGGAACTGTTCACAAGAGCGGAAAGGCCAAGCTTTGGGAAGTGGCCGCTCATGAAAGGGAGCTAGAGTTTTTCTGATGGTGTCTGGTAAACCTTGAAGGTCTATTGCAGAGGTGGCCAGGCTGACCCGGCCTAAGAGCCGCAAACAAAATCACGAAACTTCCAAGAGCCGCTTGACCGGGGAAGGGACAAACTTTTGTTTAGAGCAATGAACGAAATTCGAACTACTTTCAATCAATCCGAATCAAAAGCAGTCCAACTGTACGTAAAGTAGCAGGAGCATAAGACTACCAAATTGAAAACGCGTTCCATTTATCATTTTGGGGAAGTGCTCGTGTGACCGGGAGGGAGGTGGGGGGGATAGGGGAGGGAGCCGTGAGCCGCACTTCGACACGCGAAGAGCCACATGCGGCTCGCAAGCTGCAGCTTGGCCACCCCTGGTCTATTGCAAAAATATAGGTTGCCACTTTGGACAGTGTTCAGTGGAGTAGCCAGGAATATCTTCTTGGGGGAGGGGGGATCCTGCAAATGTACTGACCGACACACAGTTCACATGCGAGTCAGTGCTTGCCCACACCTGGTTTCGGCACTGCCTGTGCACAGAAACCAGCTTCGTGTAAAGTGAAGCATCTGCATCTGCACCGTGCCAACGGTGCCACCGCAGTGACGTTGGGGTCGGTGTACAGGGGTGGGCGATCCAAGTGATCACCCAGGGTGCCATCAAAAGGAGAGCACCACCACTCCCCCCCCCCCCCCCTTTTTTGAATTTTTTTTCTTTTATTTATTTGAACACGGCGCCCGACACGGCGCTATATGCTCGATCGCCGTTAGTTTTTAAAATGCGGTTCTCATCTTATAAAACGCTTGTGTTGGGCCGTACTTGTGTGTTTGCTAAAGGGGTGTCCAAGCAGGATACTTCAGAACGTGTGAAGCAACACTTCTCCGCCGCATGCATTTAAAGTTGAATTCCGGCAGTCAGTCTTCCGTTTGGTCATGCACCAAGCAAACATGGTGGCTTTCCTCCTTGCCTCCTTTGCTTTTTTGTGATGTTGGTGCTCGTCAGACTTGACGTCGCATGCCACCTGCCAATGGTGTGCCCGTTGCCTGTCCATCTGTTCTGTCACGCCCTCGTATCCTTCCCTTTCTTATTTTCCGGATTTGAACAGTAGCAGAGGCCTTGAGCAATTGGTTGATAGCCGACAGAGCGTGGAAGTAGCTGTCCGGACCCACGTGATGAACATGCGCTAGGCCTCTGTGAAAGCCACAAGCGGACGTGGCGGAGTGAAGCATTCCCCTATGCAAAACAAAGACGGATGGAAGCAGAGCGCCGCACTTCATATGACAGAGAAGTGTCGCTTCATGCGTGCTTGAAGTGTCCTGTTTGGACAGCCCTTAACAATATGATGTCGTACCTAGTAGATAGGGGCATATAAAAAGGGGGGACGGGGTGTGCCAAGGCCGGAGTTTGCAAAATAGTTTGTTAGCCTAGTAGGTTAAACATTGTGTCAATAAAAAGCACAAAAGACAAAGACAAGAGGAAGATTACAGCATGTAACTCCCCAAGCCATCAACGGAATCTTGGGAAGCGCTTGTCTTACGTATGTAGTCTTCTTCTTGTTCTTGTCTTTCGCGCTATTTATTTACGCCGGAGTTTGCCCAGGGCACTTGATGGTGTAGGGCCGGCCTTGTCGGTGCATATTTTAGGGTTGGCTGCATTTCAGGGAAGGGGCTGCACCTCCATAAGCTCCTCCCACTGGCTATGCCACTGCATGTTTTTGGTCAAGTGGTACAGTGACCCCAAAGATGTGTTTTCAATGGCATAGCCAGGAATAAGCGGCACTTGCCTCGTGAAAGACGCCCCGGCCAGCCCAGTCGTGGCTGCCGGCATCTTGGGCGACGCAGCCAGAGAGCCACTTGAGGTGGTGCAGAGAGATCTGCATTTCCGCCGAAGAGGCCGCTTTGTTTGCCCTCTGCTGGACGCCATGGAGCTCACCGCTTGTTCTGAATCAGCATGGAATGTGTTGCATTTTAGGAACTCGAGACCTTACCAACCTGCAATGTTGAGTCGTGCGTTGAGGCCCGTTCATTCACTCGTGTTTGACTAGGACCGGCTGAGGAACGACCGGATTTTAAGCCTCTTGCGACGGCTTATGGCCTGCTGCATTGCTGAGCAGCTGGTGTAAGCTGTCGCACGAAGCCTAAATACCTGTCGTGTCTCAGTCGGTCCTAGTCAAACGCGAGTGTGTGAACGGGTTTTTACTCTTAAAATGCTTTCTTGGTTTCCGAGCACTTGTCTTTGTGAACTGAAACATACACAGAACGAGATAGGTAATGGAGCCAATACTACTAATACAATTTGTAAACTGCATATTTCTAATATATGCTTGCTCGATTTGGATATTAACGGCAAAAGTGAAATGAATTGTTCGTTTTAGATTCGTTGAAATCTGGTATACGTACCGTAAAATACCAAGCATCCACCCATTCCACAATAACTGCCCACCCCTCAATTTTGTGACATTCGGAAGATACATAAAGGACATTTATTTACGTATTGTTGACCTAAGGAGCGCCCATCCCCCAGTTTTACACGATTATCCCAAAATATTGAGTCGGCGCTTGCTCGGGATTTTACAGTACTAGGTATATGCATATGGTATACGCATAGTGTGTAATTTAGAAAAGACAAGGAACAGATAGCGATGTATCGTGGCACCTTCTTTAGGGATTCTCGAATTTATTTAGTACATACTCATGACCATTCGCAACTTTCACGACCTATAGGGGGCTTTCTGGTGCCTATCAAAATAGCTGTCATCTGGATAATTGTCGTAGAACAGCAGTACGAGGCTGGGCCTGCGACGTGAGAGTAATTCCAGTTTTACTATATATGAGCTGTATTAGAGCCTTAGTTTATTTTTTCACGTCAGGAAGATGTTTGCAAGCACGTTTGTTGTGAAGCCAACCATCCAGGAGCTAGGGAGCGCGATTCTCACGCCGCGGTACCACCACTGCTGAAAGTTGCGAATTCAAAATTCAAGCTGGTGCAGAGACTGTGAACAATAAATAATTGCAAGAAGAGAAAGTATGTAGGCAAGCTGGTTAAAAACATAATCTAAACCATGAGACAAGGTGGAATAAAAAAACAAACATAAACTGCTAAAATTAAATTTTCAGCTCTGTTTCGAGGCAATGTCGCACCTCTTCTTTCTTTACACGTTTCTGGGTTTTCTCAGAACTCGAAAACCAACTCACCAGCTCGTCTTTGCGATATTACTCAATTATTTTCCGAATTAGTATTGAAAAAATGTAATTTTCTCCTATGCAGGGACTAGCACTCTTCTCACAGTTGTCTCAGCTCTAGCTGCTCATGTCATACACTCGTGTTCCAGTGGTGTGACTGGTGTAACCAGGAAATTTTTTATTTTATTTTTTTCGGTGTTAAGGGGAAGGTTTGAGATGGCTGTGATGTCGATGGCTTGGGGTGCCGAGGGCTTCAGCCTTATATAAGTAGGCCATAAAATTAGCCCCTTGCCTACTAATAACGAGTGTCACTCGTGCCGCCATTTACGGACCATAAAACCCTACCACGAGTGTGACTCGTGTTTCGGTTTCAGAGCTTGTTTTGTGAGCTCTGCGGCAGATGGCAGCACTACCCCTGTTGCTCCTGTTTACCTTGGGTTCTTTTCTTGTTTGCTTTGCCTTTTGACAGAGAGAGGGCGCTCCATTGACAAAAAATAAGCGCACTATTGTAAGCAAGCGCGCCAAAAACATGTCTTCGGCGCGGTCTGCTTTGGCGGACGAAGATATACAAAGACTTCTTTTTGAAAGTGATGAATGCGCCCGTATTTCTGACGACGAATCCTGCTGCCTTTCCGATTACTCGGAATCCGATGAGAGTTCAACGGACAGTGAGAAAAGTGTTGAAAACGATGCGAATCCTGGAAGCATTTCATAGACTTCGGCGTCTGCACGTCAGTGGAACTGGGAGCAGAGGGACAACCAGCCTGCTCAGTTCACCTTTGTAGAAACCCCAGGTGTGTCAGCCAGGGTTCAACGCAGTCTTGGTGAGAAGACAAGCGCCTTGTCGACCTTTTCCGTGTTTGCAAGTCATGATTTTTGGGCGTCTGTCTCTGCTGAGACAAATCGCTACGCCGAACAAGAGATGAGCGACGAGGATCGTCCCAAGAAATGCTATGAGGAGCAATGGTTTGACACCACTCCGGATGAGATAAAGGCATACTTTGCCTTGTGCATCATTATGACGCAAGTGAAAAAACGCACAGTCAAAATGAACTGGTCCAAGAAGTCCATAGTGGAGACCCCAATTTTCGGCAAAACGATGTCCTATGTGAGGTTTTTGCTAATCTCTCGATTTCTATCATACTGTGAAGAACTACTGAAGAAGAGGAGACGACCAGAAGTCCTGGTATAGAGCACGAGACTACGCCTAGAAGCCAAGGAAACGTTTTTCTTTATTTTGACGCAAATTGCTTTATTTAAATAAAGCTTTCTGTACGATCTTTAAAGAAAAAAAATGAGTAGGCAAGGGGTTAACAGTGTTTATTTATAAAAAAAAAAAAAAAAAAGTCAGATGTTTTTTGGTGTTTATCTATTTTTGATCTATATGTGTTTTGCGGTGATAACTGTTTAGGACGGACACTAAAAACTGGCGACTATCAGTAAAAATATTTCATAAGAAATTAAGATTTCAAGTTTAAGAGGGGAGAGTTTTTCCAAAAACAGTCCTAGCTGGAACTTTGCGGGGCAGTCAGTATCGTTAAAAAAAAAGAGTTTAGTGGTCAGCTTGACTGATGGTCGAAGGCTTTAGGGTCTTCAGGAACCCCAAAAGGTCTGCAGATCCCCGTTTGAGAACCACTGGTCTACAGCCTACCCATGAGTCAAGTGCCCCCTCTCCCCCCCCTGTGAAAATTAGTACATCTGCAGCTGGATTATAGAACTGGTCCCAGCCGGATCCGCCTGGATCCGGCTGAGACAAGTTCTATAATCCAGCTTCAATTGGATCGACCTTTATCCGGTAAAGCAGTCGCAACTACTCCACTGTCGGGTTCCTGTAAGGAGCCAAGCCAACGTACCCCTCTTTGTCCGCCTCCTTCGACTTGCCACCACCTGCGAGGGCAGTTGAGAACCTGCCCACTGCCTCGGCCAAGTAGAGGGCGGTGTTGAGCGCAACCGCAAGCGCGTCGGGCACGTTGTGCTTTTCTGCAATGACGGCTTCGACGTCGGCCAAGGCTTCGTCGATGCGCACGTGTACGGCATGACTGAAGGATGCCCGGAACGGAGACAGGCCCGCCCGGGATGCAGACGCCACCCTCGAGTACCTGTCGAGGTGCGCCACAGCCTGGGACGCTGCGGTTCAGAAACAATGAATCACCGGTCAACCTATTTCCGTGCTCCAATCAAACCACTATTGGAAAAAACGTGTTGAATTCAAAGTAGAGTCGCCGACGGAAACGGCAGGGCCTGTCTATCAAACACCTGGCATCCCTGCACGTGCTCGTTGTCTTTTGTAGTGCATTGGCTGTGCGTGGACGTTTGAAACTCGCGAGACGCCGAAGTGTTGTCAACTTGCACTGGAGGTGGGACGACGGACAGACCTCTCTGTCGTTTTCGTTCTGTCGGGGACTGTAGTAGCTGGACATCTAAATCTCGGAAAACTTTGACAAAATCTGGTTAACAGATGTTGACTTTAAGTGACTTCTTTGAGGCAACGTACCATTGGCGAACTTTCGATGTGCCGTAGGGATTTTAAAAATATTTCAATATTGATGAGACCTGCATGAAGTTAGAGATACTCCGACTGCTCTTAAATCTAAGTTTTGCAATGTATTTTTTGCGGCAACGTACCCCACGGGGTACCATTGTATCGTGTTGTAGTGCTGCATATCTGTGTGTGCTGTGTCTCAATACGTCGAGACTCGATCATCTCGTCGAGTCGCAACATCCTAGCTGCATCTTACGAGGAACACTGTGATCAATTTTAAGTTTGGGTAAAACACCGAGTACTATGCCTCTGTGTCGCAACAAGTGTCCTCCTGCTATTTTCGAAATGTCCGAAAAATAAGGAAACAACGTACTGAGCACCCGCCCCAGACTTCTGAACCAACCTATATAAATAAGATCAAAATGAGATTCTCCATGTCGGCCACTACTCCAAGGGCACTGGTGCAAAGCGGTGAAGCTCGAAGCTAGTGCGCCGGTGCAAAGTAGCAAAGCCCACCCTACTATGTGCCCACTTCAGCACTTTTGCTCTCGAATCTAACAAGCCCAATCTTTTTCCAGATTTTTTCCTAGTTTTGGATCGGGGCTTGCTAGGTATTTTACGGTAGGGCGAGATTGTTTATTTAGACCGTCCCATTGCGCGAGACAGGCACAGCACATTGCTTTTGGTGCACTTTGTACTGGAGTAATCCTTGCAGTGTGTTGCGAAAAAAATAGGCACTGGCCGTCTGCTCACCCGAGGCAGTCACCTTGACGCAGCTTCCGCAGACGTCTGCCAGCTCGGTGCTTTCCCATCCACTCATGGGCAGCGCTTTTCGTTCTAGCAGTATGTCGTCCTGAATGCTACGTTGCAGCAACGTCAGTAGTCCATTGGAAGCCAGTAGACCCCTGTTGGTGTGGGAAAAGACGTTTGTAAAAAGCCAGAAACCCTTTCTGAAACACGTCTGCAGGTGGGATTTGCCCATGCTGCACCACATAGGCTTCATCATTTTTCAAACTAGAAAAAGGTGAGCATGCAATCACCACGTAAAGACGGACGCTGAATATAAATATAGCTGAGCTAACCGTCTGCCTATTATTTTCAACTCGTCAACTTTATGAAAGAAAATCTGACTTAGAGAAGGGAAAGACAAATCATGTGGGTCTGTATGTTCTGTATCTTTTCGTGCTATGCAATTCTCTTAGTCTGGCCTGTCACCATGGTTAACATTCTGGATGATCGGTGATTATGCTCATGCGGAAAATGCAGCGAACCTCCAGTCCCAGAAGCAAGCGTTGGTTTCGTCGTCGTCATTGTCCGAGTCATGAACTGGAGACTCTTCCGGGCTGTTTGACGCCATTGCAAAAGGGTACCCTGCATGTAGGAGCGACAGAATGAGACTTCCACAAACACCCCTGCGAGTTTGTAAAATAGGTATTTCTGACATACCGCACGGGGCATCTCCACCTCCCATGCACGAATCAAAGTTGTATACGCAGTTCAGCTGCCGCTCAAACCAGTGGAGCTCTTCAACGAGCCCAATCGTCACCACACTCGGCCAGTCGCCTGTGTCATCTGCATCTTCGACGCCGTTAGATCCGGAAAGCTGCTTGACCAATGTTGGCAAGGATCCGTGCTTCCTGCTCTCTTGCCGCCTTGTAGCAATCTTCGCTTTTGGGGATGCGTTTTCGAAGGTGGCCGGCCTCCCCTCCGCTGGCTTTGCATGTTTTTCCATGTCCTCGTTGTTGCTCGAGCAGATGTTCGGATTGGCGAGGCAGCGGAGCAACTTGGGTACATTGCCGAGGTCTTGAGTCAGTGCCTTATTGGAGGCTTGAGACAAACCTCCAGAAGCTGCGCCGCTCTTCGAAACCTGGCGGGACGAACTCGCAAGCTCTCGCAGGAGCAGGGTGACATGATCGCGTATCCGGGTGACGTAAGGCCCTTGCAGCTCTCGCCACGTGATGACCACGGGGCAGAACTCTCCGACACAGAGGAACGAGACGTCTTCGACGAGTCCGCGAATGCAGAAGTTGCTCAGGCAACCGAGACACGCGACGTCGTCGCAGGCGCATTCGAAACGTCTCAGCTGTTCGGTTCGAACCGACTGGTGGATCCGACGGATCTGCGTGGGAGTGAAGGCTACTCTCAGGACCTCGAAGTAGCCTTCCCATTTCGACTTCTTGATAAGGCTGTTGGTCAGCGAGAGGAACAAGCTGGAGGTAGTCAGCGTCTGGACGACATATTCGGCAACATGGTAGCAGACGCAGCGCCACAGGACCTTGACATCTTCTATGGGCTCCGTCTCCAAGTTCAATCCCGAGGCATGCGTCACATTTGTGGCATTCTCGCGCGAGTGTGCGCTCCTTACTTCGTTGTCGGGCTCGAGACTGTAGTGCGTGCTTCGAGAAATGCCCGTGGCTGTCGTCGTCGTGTCGCGAGTCTTCGTGTGGTCGCTCGCTTGGGGATTGGATGCCCTACGAGACACGTTCCTGTCACGCTCCTTGAGTCGGCGGATACAGAGGGCACAGTCGACTGGCGCTTGGAACGGGACGAGGGATGCAGATGCCGCCAGGGATCGGAGGAGCTGGAAGACGGCCTCGATGGAGTCTGGCTCGTCATGGCAGAACTGGAGCTGCGAGGGAATATCATTATTTACGACCGTCGGGGAGTCTTCAAAGCATTCTTGGGGCTGTGCATTTTCCTAAATGGGACCCCCTTCTGTGCCCGCGTCACATAGGTGCCAAGCTGCACCCCCCTCCCCCACAGACAGTAAGAGCTGCAACCCTGACCCACTTTGGCCTTTTTCTGCATCTGCAATTCCCACGACTTCCCATCATCTCCCAATATATGTTGTAGCATTCTAATTGAATGGAACCTAAATGAGATTCACATTCGGTCAAACTGTTTGAACTGAAGCTTTTTTAGAAACCAGCAGATACGTCAAAAAAGGATGAAGGACTTGCAGCTCATTGTCCACAACAGAACATTTGTACCACTAGTACTGGCCGATATGACTGCATATGTCAATAAATTTGTGGCCAGGTTCAAACCAGTATTCTTTTTTTTCTTTATAAAGTACCAGATGTAAGCAAAACTTCTTGCAGCTGCATCCTGAGCAAATAGAATATTAATGAATTACTAGAATTGTCGAAAAGGACAAGGTTATTTTGGTCCTCATCTGATGTTGTAGGAGCATTTGGAGTGGAGCTTGCATAAGACTTACTATTTTCTGGAGAGACACCCTGACGATGCGGGTGTGGTCACGACGGATTTGAGTTTCCGAGTCTGAAGAGACGGCGCGATGCTTGGGCAAGGTCTCTTGTGAGCCGTTTTTGAGGAAGGTGTCAATTTCCTGCAGGGTTTCTTCGATTCTGTAAGGTACGTGATTTATCATTGCTGGGTTTGCACCGCAAGTCGTACTTAGGTGTTCCCTAATTGTAAATATTTTCTAGTAATAAGTAGTATAAATTCAACGTTGCAATTAGTAGAAAAACAAAACAAAAAAACCTGCAATATTTAATTTGTCTTAAAGCCTGCTTCTCCACTACGCGTGCTTGCATTGTGGAAAAGCCAACACAACGACATGATCCTGTCGTGCGCTGCGCAAACGCGGTTTAGAGAAATTCATATATTCTATCACCTAGCATGTTCGATAACGGATTAAAAGATGTCTCTTACCTTTTGTCGATTGCTCGAATTTCATCGGAGTATGCTTTGTCCAAAGCAGAAAGGGCCATTTGGAGCTGTTGCTTTCGGGTGTCCAGCAGCAACTAATCAAATGTTGCACTCATGTTTTTTTTTTAAAGACATACATCTGTGCAAAACGAAACCCCATGACAAAAGAGCGAGAAGCGCTGTTCGCTACGCGCGCACCGCGTAGGACAGGAACGGAGAGCAGTTTTGGCAATTAGTGGCAGTCTTCCCAGGCGACGGAGCCAGTTTTGAAGTATTATTATTTTTTTTTAATTTTGCTGTTTTTAAATTAAATTTGCACGACTATTAGCAGACGTTTTCCTCCAGGCTTTTTGAGCCACAGCAGAGATTATTTGTTTATTTGTTTTTCCTCCTGGCTCAGGCTCTCGCCCGCGGGCATAGAGATCATATACTAACCCGCGGGTCACTTTTCCACAGCACAATTCGAGATTAACAATCAACACTGACTAGGTGGCGCGAGTAGCCGCCCGATTCTAGAATTTAGCCGTGTTTATTAGTATATTCATACATCGTGCATGCGGGGTTATTCATATTTCTATTCATTCATATACCGATCCAAATATCACGCTGCGACGCTGCGTGCACGCTGCTTCGGACGTTCCATCAAAAGCAGTGAAACCACATGTTACGACGCCGTGTCAGGCTGTGCTGTCATGCTATCCCGTAGTTTTAGAGGATAGCTTTCTGGCGACCGGTGGGGGTAAAGATATCTCCAAACGATGGAGAAACTGGAAATAAACAACGAGGTAGGTCGAGTTTCGTCGTATATTACGGTGCCACGATCATCGGGCTACGGAACAGTTTGCACGATATCCTTACTGTTCGCGCTCTTTTGCGCAGATTTTGACGCTGAAGCGGGAGATGAAAATTGGCAGGGTCCATCTACTCCGACGACTGATCGCGCAGGTCAAGAAGCTGGAGAATGCCAAGTAGGCTGGCCGCCTCTGGCGTATTTGCAGCGTCCTAATCACTTTGCACTTCCGCAGGGGAACAGACGAACAGCGCACTAAAAAGAAGCAGAAGGCCGAGCGCTGGATGCAGCAAGTCAAGGTCCTCCAGGTGCGCGGATCGCTCACAGCCAGCGCTTACTTGAATTCCAAAGGGCTAGTGTAGAGAGCCCAGGTTTGGGAGAGGGAGTAACCCAAATCGTGGATAATGCTTGCCAATGGTGAGCACTTCGTGCGCAGATTGGTTGCGCATGCGTGTGTTGTCGTTTGGAGACGCTCGACGATTTCACCACCTCCATGCACCTTGCATTGCAAACAGCCCGCGAACCGCATCACCCTGATCGAGCAGTTGGAACCACTCTCAAATCTAGGCACTTTACGGTCACGTAAAGGATGAGAACGGCGATTATTTATTTCGGTTTCCCGGCCCTTAGCATGCACTCGTTGCCTAGCTTCGTGCTTTGGCTGCGCGTGCATGCTTGTTGCTCACGAGACATGGAATAGTTAGTTACCGAAGGTAGAAAGGTCGCACTGGAGGCAGGACAACCGAAGGGCCCGCCTGCCGTTCTAATTTGCCCGGGCCTGTCGGGACTGTTCTCGTTGCAGAAAGCAAACCTGGACTCACTGGCAAGGAAGGCGATGGTGAGCGAGGAGTGCTGGCTGAAGGTGATCAGTGAGGTAACGAGAGATTGTGCATCGGGTACCTGCCTGTTGTCAGAGGCGGGCCTTCTACACCATGCTGAAAACATCTTTCTCTCGCTACAGCCAAAGTCGACTCTGGAAGAGCGGGCCCTGGCCCGTCTGCTCAACCTGAAGAAAGTGCAGGACTTTGTGACGAGCTTCCGCAAGGAACACCCGGAGTGGAAGTCCTGGGTGCCTCAGCTCGTCGAGATGTGGGACGAGAAGAAGGCGCGGCGGCTCAGCTACAAGGCCAAGGGGGCCGGGCCCACCGGTAGGGCTGGCCTAGAGGCACAAAATAAGCTATGCCTAGACTGTCAGCCACTCCATTCTACTAGTTCCTTCTGGATGCTGCCATCTTTGTGCCTAGTGCTGGGCGGGCACAATTTGCAAGTGTTACAGTTAGAAAATGCGGCCTCATCAGCTTTAGCCACAGTATCGTTTTACTCTGTCACTGACTGTTAGGCATTTCTTAAGGATAGGAAAGCCTTTCCTAAAATTTTAGGTAATGCTTCATATAGGGCTCCTCAGCTGCCGGAAGGGGCTCAGAAAGCCCGTTTAGAGAAACAGTCTCGGTCATTTTTTTAGACTTTGTCTTTTCGCACGACGGATAGGGGTGTACTTTTTCCAAAGGGTGATTTTTACCGGTTTTGAAAACAAAGTTATATCTTTTTTTACTAACCAGTATGTGAATAGCCGTTTTTTTCTATGACTTTGCAACCATATTATTTCAGGTGCGAATGCCACGGAGATTGGAGATCCGGGGATGCAGAAGAAACCAGTCAAGAGGAAGAGACAGGAGACGGTGAAGAAACCAAGAAGTCCCGTTGATGAAGGCGCTTGTGACACGGACATTTCCGAGGGGGAGGAGGAGGAGAAAGAGGAGGAGGAGGAGGAGAAGGATGACGACGACAAATCCGACGACTCCGACGACATTGGTGAAGTTGCAAATGACACAATCTGTTCCGAGGATGACAGTGGTGAAACCGAGAGGAAAAAAGTGAGAGTGGCCGACCCAAAACCAAAACGACCCGTGGCGGTTAAGCAAAAAAGGTGGGCAACTTGGTACTCCTATAATTTCACTAAAACACTCTTTGTCGTGGAATTCCACGTCAAGGTGCGATCCGCCAGTTCATTGATTGCTCTCGATTCACATGCAGGCCACCGGAAAAGATGGTGCGGAAACAGCGGAGCAATGTGAAGGAAACGGTTTTGCCGCGTCGGTGGATGGCCACGTCGGGGGCCACAAAGGAGGCGCCACAAATGTCGACCAAGGTGAAAGGGAGCGTTTTAGTGGCAGCAGTGGACATGACCCAGCTGCAAGGGAAGCAGGACGACGGTCAGCTTCGCTTTGCGCCAGCGGACGAAGAGCCTTGCAGGTTTGTGGACATCTTGGAAGTGGCTGTGCCAGCCTGTCTCCCTTGCTCACTATTTTGCGAGTGATGTGCTGTCCATAAAGGACACTACCAAGATACAAGGTTTTCAGTTGGCGATGGTCTGTTCGGTTTGTGCATCAACAGTGAGCTCGATTGGTTTGCCTACACTACTTGCACCGAGTGCACTCTGCCGTGTTCGATTTATGGGTGCCTTTTAGATTTACACTGGAATTACACTACCCTGCACTGGTGCAGGCTGGTGCGGGTAAAATCGAACGAGCCAAGTGTAAAGGAGACTATGCCCGTACCTGCTTGCATTTGGTTCCTTATCCTGCACTGTTTAGCGAAACGGTGCGGAGCTGCGAACATTGGGCCATAAAAACTGCAGACTCGCCAATCTGTTAAAAAGAAAATAATATCCTATATTTGTCCGACGTGACCAAAGAAAAGCTCGCTCGCTTTGCCCGTCTTCTTTCCAAGGCGGACCTTTGTGCGTTGGGCAGCTGTGCACAGACACAAAACATAAAAGTAGTATTTTTCGGTCAGAATGTGCGAAGAAACGAAAACGATAGCTGTGGCATGGTCACGCAATGCGGGTGGGATGATGCCGTCGTGTACCTGAGGGTGGAGGTGCGACATGGTTAATTCTCGGCTGTCGTGGATGGCGTCGTGGATGCCGCTGACGACTGCGACCAATGATAAGCGCAGTGGAAGTTTCTAAAACCATCGAACATTACGCGTAGCAACTGGAGACTGCCTAAGTGGTATTTCACATGATGTGAAGGATGTTTGAAAACAAGTGTTCGAAGCAGATGACACGGAAGACTTGTTTTGTTGCGTCATTACCGGTGGGGTGCCAAGGCTCCCCTCTCTACTATCTCCGCGCTGCGCGGCTGACGGGAAAACCCGAATTCCCTGGCCTCTTGCCAAGAGCAGGAAGAAGGGTTTTTCCGTAGTGGCGACGACACCTCACGAGGTCGAAATCTCCGAAAAGTGTCGGCCGTAAAACTATCACTTTAAAATGGAACAGTGTTTTTGCCGTTTTGTTCTTCGTTCTCCAGTCCAACACTGTCCGATATCTTTCCCCGACAGCGACGACGATGGCACTACGGGTGCCGCAAAGGAGTCCGTGAAAAAACGAGACCCGTTTTTCTGCAAAGAGGGTGATGATGACGACGACGACGACATGGAAGACGATGAAGAAGAGGGTGGTTTGCATGGACGACCGTCTGCGAGGGAACGCTTCCAACGAGACGACGACGATGACGACGAGGGTGGTAGTGTGCGGAAATCGGGCCGAGGGTTTCACAGGGATGGCGGTGACCGCTTCTCAAGGTTGCCACGAGGTGGACGCCTCTTTCGGGGAAGGGGAGGCGGATTTGGCAGGGGAGACGGTTTTAGGGGGAGGGACGGCTTCAGAGGAAACACTAGGGGACGCGGTAGGGGTGCAGGGAGAGGGTTTGACCGTGATGGGGGCGGTGGCAGGGGAAGGTTTGAACGTGACAGGGGTGGGGGGAGAGGAGGGTTTGAACGTGGAAGAGGAAGAGATGATGCCGGTCGTGGCGGTAGGTCGCTGAAGAGGAGCCACGACGCGCAAAGGTATGTGCCACGCTTGGAGACTAGCTTCAAGCTTTGTCATGCGTGTCATTCCAGTTTTTTTCACATAATGGGAAAGAGTTGGATGTACAGCTTTGCAACTTTTTAAGAACATCGCAGGAGCAGCTGGTGAGCCAATTGGCATCAGATTAGGTAGTGCTGCGGGATATCAACGAACAGGTGCGCTTTGTGCATACTGGGCAGCCTGCTAATCGATGCTCTCATAATATTATTAAAAGGTTCCAAAGCTGTATTGCTGTTGGTAACATGGGTCGGAACACCGCATTAGTCGCTAGGAACTGCTAGCTGTTCGGTCCGATGAAAGGTGAAGATAACTCAAAAAGTCCGTGGTGTGTGCGCACAGCACACTCTTGGCAACACTTCAATTTGTTTGGAGCTGGTTTGTTTTTGGGGTCCGGGTTCTGCGAGTTTATGACCAAAGGGTTAGTATTTCCCAGTGGCTGCTACGGTGTTCCACTTCTGTTTATGACATGGTATGGTTGACACTAATGAGAGATTTCCCCATTAGCCTGCTTTCCTCCTGGAACTGAAAAGTTTCAAAGTACAAGTATGGTGGGAACTGCTCATCTTGGGCATCAATTTAATTGGTCACAAATTTGGCACTTAGTATCAGCTCTGCCCAAGCAAAATGCACAATAAGTGCTAATGTTGCATTTGTGCTATGTGGCACAGTGTGCACCCGCACAGGTAGCTCTACTTCCAAAAGTGACTTGATCTCCCTTCTGGAGCTGTAGCTAAATTCAGCAAAGTAGTAGAGCTTGGATAGTTTTTCTGCAAGAGGGTAGCAAATGAAATATCAAATGGGCCTAATGCCTACTATCCCGCCGAAGGCCCAACTGTGACGAAAAGACTACAGTCCGTTGCAACTCAAGAAGGTAGGGGGTGGGGAAGGAAGGCCGGGGAGGAGGAAGCAGACGAAACGTCGAAGAGAGGAGGAGGTTTCCTTCTCTCCAGCAGTCCGTCTGCTTCCTTCTCTCCCGCCTTCCTTTCTCTAGCTCTACCTTCTTGAGTTGCAGCGGGCTATAGCAATGGGACAAAACAGATTGTAACTGCTGCTGTTCATCATGTGCATGACTGCACGTGTATTACAGGCGATTGTTTGCTGAAAATCGCTAGACACGTGCATAACTGCATGTGTCTAGGATTGTTTGCTGGGTATTAAGGGGATGTCTCTAAGCCAACTAAAGTTTCCCTCGTTTTCAGAGGAAGCGCCGATGGCGGTAAGGAGCAAACAGGTGAGTGACCAACAAATTTGTTGGCAAGAAGAACTGGTTACAACTGCGACCCACATCGTGCAACCGTCTCGTTTGCAGATGGACCAGTGCACCCTTCATGGGCTGCAAAGCAGCAGCAAAAGGTGAAGCTGGCCAATCTGTCTGCATTCCAAGGGAAGAAGATCACCTTCGACTGAACGCCACGTTCGGAAAGCAAAAGAGCGGAGCAATTCCCCGATTCGGACATCCATCGTTTTATTTCATTTCTTTCACTCTTTGGAAAAAGCAAACTGGCATCATCACCTCAATATTTCTCTACATTGGAAACCATAGAAATATTTACTACACATTTCATGGAAATAAATAAGTTGCTCCGTTACTTTAAGGTGAAATTGCTGTGCAAGCTCCGAGTTGCTACGAAGCGGCTAGTAAGAACGGTCTCATTCTTGGCACGAGTGGAAACGATTTTCGCATATCAAATAGAAAAACAAACAGGATTTTGACACAGACCACAGACCTACATGCTCTGATCAGACTATAATCACTGGCTGTATTGTCGCAGGTTTTGCAGATGTAGTGCTCTTACGGAGCCTAACATTTCTTAGTATTTGTGGTGAAAGCGCTTGGTTCAAGAGGGTGCACTCAAAAATCTGCAATGTCTGTAAACTGAATTCGTCGCAGTGTGTTTCTTTTTGCTGCTTTTTGCTTAACAGGCACACAAGAATGCTTTCAAAACTGCTTGCTGCCCTGCTCGCTCGGCTGAAATACTTCCTGTTCTACACTGTACCCGTCCACAAAACGAGGCGTAATAGTAAAAGTGCTTTAGAAATACTAGTAATAGTCCAACGAAATTTCTCGTCATTGCGATGCAGTTCAAACAGAAATGACACTTGAGACGCAGCATCTCGCCCGGGCGGACGTCTTGCTTCACTCCCCATCGAGGCTGCCATCGCTGAACGTGAAACCCGGCACGATTGCACCACGTGTTTTAAAGCAATATTCCTTCGCAAATTACGCCGGCGACATCCGCAGGTCGGCCAACAGAGATCAAGTTGTTGTACTGTAACTTTTTGGACAAATGTTCCTCAATTAGAAAGCTTGAAATGAAAAACAGATTTTTCTCTCCAAGAAAAGTTGCCCCTACACGAACAGCTTTGTAAATAAAGCTGGCCGCGGGTTAGCGTTGAAAATCCGTCTGCTTTTTGCGGTTCCTCAGTCTTGTGCTTTCGCTTTGTTGCAAGTTCTTCCGCTCGCTTGCACACCCAGCTTGAGGAAATGAGCACTCCCAAGCTAGTTGCAATTGGCTTGAGGCTGGCGCTTGTCCCTACTAATCACGGTTAGGTGCCCCAGGTCGATCACGATTAGCTCGCACAAGCTGATTGTGATTAGTTCATATCGAGCTACCTAATTACGATTAACTTGCGCCGAGCTAATCATGATTAGTGTAAATTTACGGTATGCTGTCTACCAAGGCATACTGCTCGGAATCACGTGGTGCGCGGAGACACAAGAGCACTTCTTCGAGACCTTCGGGCTCGCACGCGACCGGCGTTCACACCTGCCGCGGCCGGACTTGGCGGCCTGAAAAGAGTTCCTGGAACAACGCCCTGGTGACCTTGAGCAGCGCGCAGTGCAGGGCGTACTGGAGCACGAGGGCTCCAAAGCCCTTGTACAGCCCCGCTGCTCCTTCTTCTGCCACGATGGACTGGAAGCAGTCCACCGGACCCCGGTATTGGGAGATGACCGCGGTCACCGAGGAGCCTGTGTCCAAGTTGTCCACAATGGTCCTCGTTCCCTGCAGGTACAGCCTGCATGCGCGGGAACGGACGCTGGAGTCCCCCATCGAGACCGTAGTGCAGGAAGACTGCCGAATACCCGCAACGGAAAATAATGTGCCAGAGGTGGCGGCGAGTCACTTAAACATGACACAATTTGATGCCAGCTGTTATGCGCCGATCTCGGCCTAATCTACTGGCGGGCTGAATGCTTTCAACGCCCCCATTACCACGCGGCAATGGCAGATATTTAAGGGATTCGCAGCCCATCTCCGCTGTTGGTGCGTTCGTCCGCCGCAGGCAATTTATCAAAAGATTAACAATGGCTTACAAACAAAACAAAAAAATTCTCAAATGAGGCAAATTTTTACACCAGCTGTCACCTGCTGATATTAGTCTAATCTGCTGCTCGGGCTGAATCCTTTTAAGACTCGTATTAGTACATGGCTACAATATTTCGATAGCGAATCATTAAGTGGAGTCCAACCAATCTGAATTGTTTACCCTCTGGAGTCAATTTAGCAGAGTTGCCCCCTCGGTATGCCACACTCGCACAACCGCAGAGTTTGTCCTCTGTGCCGCGGAGGTGGCAGAAAAGGCGTTCGGCCGAGAGTCGCGGTTGGGATGTTTGAGCAAGGACCCTGCAGGTATGCGTGATCTGGGGTGCTGCCTCACCTGTGTACCACAGTCTCCAGGGGAAAGAGGACGACGTCTGCAACCAGGTTCCCGGCGAATGCAGCCAGCAAGTCGTGGAAGTAGTTCTCCGACAGCTCCACCGTCCTCGGAATCGCCCCCATCTGCAACGGCACAGAGAGGGGCTCGCCATAGATGCACACTTCTTACGTGAAGCTTAAGCATAACCGAAGCCTCTTGCAGTGAGATCAGTAAAAAACAAAAATAATTGCTATATCGGTATATCCAGCTTTTGCTCTATGTGACTACAAGTATTGCAACACTGTTCCACAAACAAAATGTCATCATTAGATATTGAATAAGGTGCCAATGACGAAGATGGATATTGGTAAAGGTGCAGTGGTAAAGATAAATATTAGCTCAGGAGCAACTGGATATTGGCAAAAGGGGCCACTGGATATGGCAAAGGTGTCATTAGAAAAGATTAGATATTGAATAAGGTTCTAGAAACAAATGGTCGTCAAAGTTCAGATAGGGTGCCAGAGACAAAGGTCATTGTGTAAGGTGCCAATGACACATATATTGGCAAAGGTGCTGCTAAGGTGCCAATAAACGTTGCCAAAGCTCCCAATGACAAAGATCGCCAGAGAGTTCCCAAAGTCCGTCGAAGGAAGACCGAATAAATTGTGGGTGCTCACTCGGTCTCCAATGTGGCGCCTCTGCTGCCGGGAGCGCAACTCCAGCAGCCAGGTGGCCACCGAGCGGACGAGAGAGGAGAGCAGGTGGTGAAGCACCCCGTGAGCCACGGTGGGGCCCACCAGCTTCCAGAAGGGCAGCATGCGGCCCCTGCTGGGGGCCCCCCAGCGGCACAGCCGACCCAGGCCCTCCCGCAGGCAGTCCAGCACTCCGGGCTTCTCGCTGGCCACATCGCACTGCGAGGGGGCGTGTTCACTCCTCTGGGCTAGGTAGCGTAAGTTACCATCCGATAGAAAGGGTGTAGCCACTACCATCCATTCGAAGCTTTGGAAAGTGCCAGGGTGGTCTTATGGGCTCGTGCAACAACTGCTGTTGGATTTGTAACTCTGTGCAGGACCACCTGAACACAATGTCGGCGCTTTGTTGCAATTAGCTGAGGCTGGTTTGTGTCGATCACTGTACTGCGCCATTTAGTAGACCTTTCCGGAAAATCCCTCGATCACAATCCCACATTCCACCGTGCTTCGTGAGGAATTGCAGAGTCGTTCTGACATACGCTTGTATGCGGTGGCTCAATTCCTTCTCTCTTACCACTCTGAGTTCAGAACGCAAAGGAAACGGAGTGCGAACATTCCCAAGCCAATATGTACCGTTTTCTTATCGTCCTGCTTTCTTTGCGTACTGAAATCGCAAAATGCTACTCAAACATCAACAGCTCCTCCTATTTATGGGTACTCCGCACGCTGTGCATTGGACGGCCGTAGTGCACCTTGAAGACGATGGCAGGCGGCGCATATTTCCAGAATGGTCTATTGGGTGTTGTATGCAAGAAAGCCACAGCACACCAGTTGTTTCGGTGGCAGCCTTTTATTCGGGCAGGATGGACCAGTGATCCAGCGCTGGGGCTAACTGTGTCACACTGTTGCACCTCACTAGAGCTCAATTCCCGACTAAATCTACGGCAAACTAAATGAGATTTTATGAACAAAGTGAAGTTGGAAGTTCCTCTCGAAATGGCCTTACCTGGACAACCTCAACTAGGCTGGCGCAGCAGAAAGGTGTCACAACCGCAAATGTGAGGCTGAAACAAGGGGCACCCATGACACACTGTTTGAGCACAACCAGTTTGCAGCTCACCTCTTCAGGGCCAGATGTTGTGCAATCTGCTGTAGCGAGCTGCGCGACGTCACTTCCCTGGAAAAAAACGGTAGCCGTTGTTAGAGTGTCCGTCGTACTTCGCTCATCTGCAGGGAAGCTGGCGAGGCACTCTTGGGAGCTACGTCCACATGTGAACAACTGGTGGAACTGAGCAAAACTGGCCACGCGGAGGCTCTGGAGCAGTACAATAGGGATACTCTAACCACTTGACAAGTCTAACATGCACTGTTTACGAGTATCGCCCTGGAGTCTACCTTCCCGGTGAGCTTACAGCTAGTCGGTTTTCGCAAGTGAATCATAAGGTCCGGATATTTTTTCCTAAGCTGGAGTCGAAACCAGAAAACTAAGAAGTCGGTGAAAAAAAAGCGAAAAAGAAAGCTGTTAGAGTGCAGTTAGCAGTTCTGTATGGAATCATTATAGCTCGCCCTTTATTCTTTAATCATTGTCTTCATGCGTGTCTGTTTAGGAAAGCAGAAGCCTTAGGGGTCTAAACCATCTGCTTTCCTGCGTGTCCTGCAGGAAAGCAGATGTGTGGGTCTCTTTTATAAATCGCAGCAGTCGGAACTGAGTGAATATGATTCTTTTAGCCGCAGATCAATCGCAGCATTGGAAATACGACCTTGATGCTGACGATCTCGGGGTAGCATCGCCATTTCGTTTTTCCTGTAACTCCGCTTTCTCGTTTACGGGAAACTAAACTAACCCAAGAGAAAAGAGGGCATTATTTGCTTTTTAAGTATCACTTTGCCAGTGTGTGCACCTGCTTTGCTAGCGAAATGCCAGAAAAAGGGAGCCCTCACCGAGGCAGGGGGGTGCACTCTGACAACACGGTCTCCGTCGCCATCGCAAGGCCTCGAACCACAAACATGCTTGGCGCTCCCTTCCACAGCGTTATGAGGCCCTGGCACCAGAAGGGAAAGAAGCAGTCAAAGAACGACATTGACCGACGAGCGTCATTCGTAGGCGTTGCACCCCAGCGAATCAAACTCTATCCACTTCGGTGTCCGTTCTGCCGCTGTCCCAGTCTGGGAAACACCGATGCGGCGTTTTCAGACGGCCACATTTCTTAATTATTGTGTCGTAAATCACTTTCTACCAAGAAAATAAGAATCCCTGGCACGTAAAAACTGCCTTCTTCCATCGGCCCCTTCTGGCTTCTTTTTTCCAATCGTGTGCGGTGGTGCAACGAATGCCTGATTGTTCTACATTTATGTATTCCTGCTGAAACGAGCGATTTGCAAAAGCCCACCTGTCTTTGCTGAAGCTTTACGATGACGGGAAACAACGTGAACGGTGTCAGGTGGTACTTCTGCGCGGTCCGGTGTACCTGTAACGGAGCCGGAAACAGTGCCACTTTCCTTATAGTTTCTAGGCTAGGTGGCGCAATGCAAGCCAAAGGCGTATATTGGGAAGGTGTGGCCAGTGGGTGCAGCGACGAAGGCACTGGAGAGGAGAAAAGTGAAGGAAAGGGAGGACAGCACCAAAGGAGAGAGAAAGGAAGAAGGGAGCAAAGAGGAGACGATTGCCATTTTGATGCAACACGCTGTCCGCGCAGAGCACTATTGAGGCTATGCGTCGTCTGCTAAGTGCTTATTTCTTTTTCACCTGAATAAAAGTTTACATTCAAACGTGGAGAAACTTTATTCGTTAGCTTTTTAAGCCACCGAGGAATAATGTTATATCATTTTCTTGCCAGAGCCTGCCAAATAAAGGGAAAGAACCGAAATTTGGATGTCAATTCCTTGCATTCCACCGGGCGAACGAATGAAAATGGCGACCCTCCCCGCTCAGCTGGAAGCAGCCAGGGGTTCAAGCACATGCGCTCACACGTTGCACTCTGCACCGCGGGCTGATTGGCTCACTGGGGAGGGGGGAGTTACGGCAGCGAGATCATAGACTGATTAAATTCTCCCAATATACGGTTCTGGTGCAAACTACTGCCCAATACAGAGGGTACACCCACTACCATCCATCCACCTAGCCCCATATCCGGAGCCGGAACCGGCAGCCTCAAACAGTAAAATGGAACACATCACCTGCAGATGGAGACAGACGTTGAAGCACAGACTATTGGAGTTAGAAGGCTTGAGTATAGGTCACATAAAACCAAGAACAGATTGTCCGTGCTGCTTGGTACCACTGTTGTGCCACCGACTTCATCACATTCTTGCATGCTTTTGTATAGTTTTTGACGGTTTCAGCAGCAGAATGCAAAACACAGGCCTTACCTGACACTGTCTTCGTAAGACGATGCAAGGATGAGCAACCAGATTCTCGATCAGGATACTGGAAACAATAAGATTGAGCCCTATTGTACTTCATTTGTGTGATTCTTGGATGATGGTCCTGTCATGGTGCTATGCTGTACCGTACCTGGCCAGTCTAAATCCAACATCCGAGTACTGTTGCATTGGCTCTGGAAAGAAACACGGCCACATATTAGATTGAATTGCCATTACCTTGTCTTTGTGGTTGTATACTGCCATGAAAGTAATAGCAGACGATTGGTCACGCACTGCAGTAGTATTTTTGGCTGGAAAATGCATGGCTGGCAATTCTGAGTGCCTGTGGGAATAGCTGAGCATTTATGTTCATCTCCGATACAAGGGTACATGGAGAGTAGAAGCAGTGCAGACCTTTTTTGTTGCACCACGTGCCATTGGTCCATCTCCAGCATTGGTGGGCCGATCACCGACCAATGACAAGTTCACTTATGTGACCATGCCCCGAAGCATATCATCTTCCCAGTTTCGCTGGATGTTACAGGGCATGTCACTTTCAACTGTGTGCCCCCCCCCCAACCATGGCACTGACAAGGTGTTTGTGATGTTGAGCCATATTGGTTGGCTGCTTTGCAACTTTAGCCCAAGCATGCCAACCAGATAGCACAGTGGAAATGTACTCCAACTGTGACTTTAACGGTTAGTCCTTCGATGATATCTAAACGTCTAGAGAGCTATGAGAGTAGCTCTACTAGACTTATCCTGTAGGTATCTCAAAATCCCCATCACTTCACGGTACGGGGTGTTGCCTTTCCGCGGTGCCGTCTCTCTCCCGAGTCAATAAAGATAGCGGACAGCAAGTCGTCTGCTTCTTTTGCAAGGGCTGCGGTAGAGTCACTAAATAAAGCTACGCGTAGCTTATTTAGTGACTCTAGGCTGCGGGGATGTCAGAACGATGCCGAGTTTTGATTGGCTGTGATTGAAGGATAGTGGGTAGAGCTCAAAGCAAGCTGCCTTGAGCTCTATTCACTATCTCTCCATCACAGCCAATCAGAACTCGGTGTCGTTCTGACGTCACCGTAACCCCTACAAAAGAAGCAGACGAACTTGCGCTCCGCATTACTATGGTCTATTGCAGGACAAACGCCTCCCACAAAGCTCTCTGCTCGCATGATTAGTGGCTTTCGCTCTGCTGAAGTGGAAAGAGCAGGCTTTGCGGGAGAAGTTTGTCCTGCATTCTTAACTTGCCACCGACTATGCGTTTCTATTACTCTGTCGCGTTACTGATCACCGTCATTGGGATCGCTCTGGGGACACCGCTGACCTATGTCCGGTTCCTTGAGGTTTGGCCGGTCCCCGTCTCCCTGGGCGAGCATCGTGGGTGGCAGCTGGGAGAAGTCGTAGTGCTGGTTCCGAGCGGCACGGATGTTCGGGCCCACGGTCAACTCGGGGATGCGCTGCAAGTGGTCCGACTCGCGGACGTACTCGCCCGAAGGCACACCGGCCATGCTGCTCGGGATTTGCACCTCGGACTTTGAGAGGCCGCCCAAACGCTTCACTGAGCCGCTAACTCTTCGCGGGGAGGCATCTGCAAATTTTGGGAATGTTATGAGGTGTCGTAGGACGACCAGCGGGGAACTAGCCCGTGCAGATGAACGTGAACGGGCAAACCACTATCTGTGGGGCGACCGAAGGAAAACATTCAATCCGTCGATAGATGGATGAATGGATGCTGTACAGAGCCGCAGAGCCGTATATGTAGAGAGTTTGGTCAATAGGAGGCGCGGGCAGAGCCAGGGCGTGCGGCAGACTCGGAAAGAGGGCTTGGCATGCTCTCTTGACCACTTGACCAACCAGAGGCCGAAAAGAATCCCCTAGCGGTGGTAGCGAGAAACAGTTCTGAGCCGATCGATCATCGAAGGTCTATGTTCGTATATGGTTTTAATAAGTGCGTAAGAGTAAAGAGTAGTAACTCTTTTTGGTTGAAAATAGTGTGCACGTGTTGTTTCATCATGATCATGCAGAAAGATGTAAGAAACGAATGCGCCGCTCAACTCTGTTTTGCGCGGACAGAGTGTGACCGCTCTGACGGCAGATTCCCGGCGCTCGGCGTTTGGCGTAAGGATTATGTCGATCTTTCCGCTAGTCGCACTCTTCCACCATCATTTTAGATGAGTGTGATTGAAACATCACGTGTACCATATTTTCAGCCATCAAGAGTTACTCCAATGCAGTTATCAGGTTTGTTTCTCGCGACCACCGCCAGGGTATTATTTCCGGCTTCTGGTTGGTCACATTCGAATTTCTGAAGACGCCCTGGAACACGCCCAGCCCGCTTTCGGCCAATGGCGCCGCTTCATTTGTCTCCTATACTTCCCAACGAATGGCCAAACTCTCTACATATACGGCTCTGCATGGTCAATGGGAGGCGCGGGCAGAGCTAGAGCACTATATAGCTCCTTCGGAGCAGAGTAGCGCAATCTAGAACGCCGCCTCTCGGCGACTAGCGGCGAACGCCCGGAGGTTCCAATTGCGGTCAGAAATGCATGGAGAACGTGAGAAAATCGTTGTTTCTTCAGTAATGTGGGAATGTACGGAATGGCAATCGTTTTTGACATAATAATGGAACATTTTAGAATAATTTGCGCTAAGTTTTATGCCCCGAAAGGACCTGACTTTTTTTAAAAAATTGCTTGAGCGGCATCATGCAGCAGACGACACGGCGACGTCACACCATTCACGTGACCCGCTCTGGCCAACCCGAAAAGCCCATCTCCGCTGCGAGCAAAAATCGTCTGCTTCAAACGCCATTGCCTTGGAAATTGCCTTCTCAAAATTTGCACACGCATCCGATATTATTAAAACTTTGATAAAGTGTTTAGTGCTTTACTAACTTCACGACAGGCTAGTTTTGAAAAGTGTGAACTCGCCGTTCATTTTTTAATCAGCCGTGTTGTATCGATCTCCATGTATTCTCCCATAGGGCGGGCCGCCTCCTGGAACCCCGAGTACCACGTGACTCGCGCCGAGCCGCTCTGTCCGCCATGTTGTCGGCAAAACACGGAGTTCAAAGGATTGCGCTACTCTGCTCCGTAGGAGCTATATAGTGCTCTAGGCAGAGCCAGGGCGTGCGGCAGACTCGGAAAGAGGGATTGGCATGCTCTCTTGACCAACCAGAAGCCGAAAAGAATCCCCTAGCGGTGGTAGCGAGAAACAATTCTGAGCCGATCGATCATCGAAGGACTATGTTCGTATATGGTTTTAATAAGTGCGTAAGAGTGAAGTGTAGTAACTCTTTGTGGTTAAAAATAGGGTGCATGTGTTGTTTCATCATGATCATGCAGAATGATGTAAGAAACGAATGCGCCGCTCAACTCTGTTTTGCGCGGACAGAGTGTGACCGCTCGGACGGCAGATTCCCGGCGCTCGGCGTTTGGCGTAAGGATTATGTCGATCTTTCCGCTAGTCGCACTCTTCCACCATCATTTCGGATGAGCGTAATTAAAACATCACGTGTACCATATTTTCAGCCATCGAGAGTTACTCCAATGCAGTTATCAGGTTTGTTTCTTGCGACCACCGCCAGGGTATTATTTCCGGCTTCTGGTTGGTCACATTCGAATTTCTGAAGACGCCCTGGAACACGCCCAGCCCGCTTTCGGCCAATGGCGCCGCTTCATTTGTCTCCTATACTTCCCAACGAATGGCCAAACTCTCTACATATACGGCTCTGATGCTGTAAGGTAACCGAGGTAACCCTAGAGTAACCCGAGGTAACCTAGAGGAATGGGTAGATATTTAGTTTCATAGTTTAGTTCTGAATTGGAGAGTTGCTTGCGCCTACTGTCGCAAAAATTTGGCAGATAAAAAAAAAAAAACTTTTGCCAATATTTGTGTTTAAATTTTATGCGGTTATCCTTAAAAAAAAGTGAATTAAAATAACACAAAATAACCACTGCTGGGAAAGTAAAATATGAAGTAGATACATTTATTTTTAGTAGGGTGTAGAACCATGGCCGCTGTCACTTTTTGGTACTTGCATGATAGAAGCCACATTGGAGCACCCACATGTAACGTAGTTCCAGTACGATCCACTGTGGTACGCGGAAACCGCGAGCGCCGTTCACACTCTTGTGAACGGCGCGCATACAGGCCCGCTCAAAGGAGTTATTGAACAGCTTGAGTATTTTAAGTGAACCCAGAGTTTGGCTGGAGCGCCAGAACAAACATAAAGTAATGCGTTTTGTTTCTGTCTCCCTTTTTGACTTGCACGAGTTTGTGCTCATCATTTTATCAGTGATTGGTGTTTTCGGTACTGTACTTTTTATTATCTCGCTCTTTGTCCAAAATAACCCGGCAATCCCCCTCCCCAGAATAACTCTATCGGAAATTCGCAACACCCCTCTAAATTTAATATAATCAATTTAGTGGAAGTCCGCAGGGTGCCCCAGGCTGTCCAATGGGAAGTCCCTCCAGATTGGACACCCTCGAAATTATCAGAAGCAGCTCTTGATTACCCGGCTATTTTTCCGACATTGACGATAAAAAGTATTCTCGGGGAACAATGCAATCGGGGCTTTGGAAAGGAATATTCCTGGGCCACGATGTTCCCAGAAGATTCGTGGATAATGCGTAACGCCGACCGATCGTGAAGCTTGTCCAGCCGCAAAGCCAAACGTACAGTGCGACGAGCTGCAAAAAAGTTTAACAGCTGTATAATAACAATTTTCCTGCGCTTTCGTCAAGTGGCTGGGGTTGCAGCAGTTGCACACCACAGGGCTTGATCCGCAGCTGCTACGGCGGCCCGAAACCACCTAAACTGTCCGAACTATTCTTCCCCCCCTCCGTTTTACCAGAAGACGCACCGCAGCGGAAGTTACAAACTATCCCAGCCAATCAAGCGCTACGAGTTTGTCACGTGACTCCGCTCTTCTTACGCATCCACCACTCACCGAATTGCACGTGATCCTTATGTGGAAGCTGATTGGCCTCAGTAGCTAGTAGGGTTCTCCGCGGTCCATCACAAGGAGAAAACGTCTTGGCTGTTTCCTCCTCCTTCTTTTACAACCCTCCTCCTATCCGTGCGTGCGTGCGTGCGTTCGGTGTGTCCGTGTAGCGTCGTGCGTGTTCTGTATGCGTACGGGCTGCGCGCAGCAGCTTTATCAGCGGTCGCTTGGGGGTACGGAGAGAATCGCCGGACAAATCTTTCCTGCGCCATTTTGGGGGACATCCGCACAGACGGAAGCGCACGCCGACAAGTGACGGCACTTGGGAACGGTGATCCAGCAAACTCTGAACTTCGGATCGCTCTGCCCGAGGAAGGAACCCCCATCCAACAAAGCCATGGTGAACACAAAGGACATCGCCGACAGAGTGGAAAAGGCCATCGCCGGCCTGCCGGAGAGGTTGCAAATGGTTTTCAACCTCGCCGAACAGAAGACCGGGGTTCGACGGTCCTACATCGGTTTGGGTGGGTTTGCTTTGTCTCTTCGTGCACGCTTCCCCTTTTTTTCTTTTTTTTTAATGCAGGTGGGTGGGCCGGACTGATGATGCGCTTGTGCACTGATTTTGCGGTTGGGTTCTCATGCGACTCTGCTCTGCTGCTCGCTTCATCTTCAGACACAACAAAGCGGTTCTGTGTATGGGGCGTAAATGTGCGTCTTACGAGGTGTGTCGGTCCTTTTTGAGCACACCGTGCAAATTGTAGCGCCTTTTTATTCTTTCTATATTTCGTTATCTTCGTTCGCACCTGACTTTGCTGGCATGGCGCATCGAGATGGGAGGATATGAAGCGAGTACAGCCAGTACAGCTGGTACAGCCGTGCAGCTTCGCATGGCGTCACTGCAACCGATAAGGGGGAGTTTTTTTTTTATGTGTAATTTTTACGTCGCTGTGCTGAACAATGAAACGTGTTCGTGCATTTCTCAAGAAGCCCCCGAACGACGAGGAAAAATGCGTCGCGACGTTTGCGTGCGGCCGGCGGCCTGACCTTGCCGAGCCTCCAGACGATTTTCTTTCAACCGGTTCGCCGCGGGCTTCCTCAACGTGCGCATTTGCGCCGGAGGCGTGTTGCGAGGAACTCCGGCTCACTGACGGGATGGATGTCCGGCTATCCAGCACGCGCTCTCCGCCTTCCGCCGTGCACCTGCTGCTCGTGCACGCTCGTAGCTCACGAAACGCCGACGCGTTATCAAAGATGGGACAAAAGACCTCCCTGCCGTGTTCGCGCTCTGTCTGTGACACGAAAGAAATCGGTCCATGGCTCCAGGATCGCTCTGTTGCGGCGAGCATTTGACGGGGGCACCGCTTTGCTAGTGTGGCCTCGGCAGTTCCTGGGCTCGGGGACTAAACCTGCCTTTGTACGCGGTACGAGCTAAATATTTCCCAGGGAGGGTCGGACGGCTATTTCGGAAGGAGTGGCCTTCGTGGGCCGCACTACCTGTGCGCCTCGTTCGGCTCGCGAACTACCTGCGAGCACGCACCGCGCAGCCAATGTCTGGGTGCTTTCTTGTTTAGCATTAGCGGTTTTCCTAGTTCCAAATGACTTCCGAGTGTCAAAGCCAGCTTCCGCATTTGTGGGTGATAATCGTTAGCGAGTGCGGTTTCGAAGTTTCTTTAAATGACTCAGGTGCCTCGACGACCGTTTCGTGGAGAGGATGTCGTTTGTGTTGCATCGAATACTGGCAGCGCGTGGCGAAGCAAGCAAATTAGGTTTGGGCAGTAGGTGGCGTCGGCGCTGCAAAATGGGTTAATCCAGAGCTGCATATAGAGTTTGGCCATACACTGGGAAGTATAGGAGGCAAATGAGGAGTTGCTATTGGTCGAGAGCGAGCTGGGCGTGTTCACAAATTCTAACGTGGTCAGCCAAAAGCCGCGAATAATACCTTGGTTGGTGGTCGCTAATAGCAAAATTGATAGGTGCGTCGGAGTAACTCTCGGTGGTTGAAAATATGGATCATGTGATTTTTCGATCAAGGGCATGCAGAATAAAAATATAGCAGAATGATCCACGCAATCCGGGGGTCTGCCGTCTGAGTGGTCAGACTCCGTTTGAGCGGTACATTCGATTCTTGCATCTTTATGCATGATCATAATCGAAACATCAGGTGCACTATATTTTCAACTATGAAGAATTACTGCATTTAACTCGTACGCACTTGTTAAAACTGTTTCTCGCTACCACCGCTACGAGATTCTTTTTCGGCTTCTGGTTGGCCATGAGAGCATGTCAGGCCCTCTTTCTGTGTCTGGTGCACGTCCTGGCTCTGCCCGCTCATTCCATTGACCACACTCTCTATATATGGCTCTGGGTTAATCTGGGCATGGGCACTTGTTTGGTCAAATCAGGTGCTAATCGCAGGATTTCCAGAATTCCCAAGTTTGGAAAATGTTAATAGTGGGCTCTTCTGCGGTATTTGACGGTATGTTATCACTGACAGGATGAGATATCAACCCCCCAATGAAGAGGTTCTCGTCTTGGGCAGGTCTATATCACATGAGCAAATGACGTTTGAGCGAACAGCGGTCATTTGAGCGAATAGACATTTCAGCGAATGAGTGGGGCCTGTGTTAAGCCGCCGACCCCTGCATTCACGCTGCTTCGCGGTGGCAGTCTCCGGTGGCTTGTTACAAAAATGCTAACCCACCTGGCCCACCCGTAAACGCCGCTTTGCGTCGGCTGACCATTCGCTATAGTGTCTTTCAATGAAAAGTCGGTGTTCGCTAAAACATTGTTCGACCAGCTGAGGCCACCTTAGGCCAGTCTGTATGGATATGGCCCCTTGAATGACCGGTTAGTCTTCCGTCCACTGCCGCCATCGGCGACTGCTGGGGAATGAACGCGCGTGGCTGTGCTGCAAGCAATCGGTGTGCCAAAATTTGATAGTTACCAAGCTACAAAAAAAATCTGGACAAAATACGACAATCACAAGCAAATGAGCACTTTGCAGATGAATTATTTACACCTCCTGGGCCGGTTTTCTTGAAGCGATGGTAAACCCATTTTGGTAAACCACGGTGCCTAGGAAGGGAAAAGTACCTAGGTAGTGTAATAAACAGCTGGATATAGAACAGCAATAATTATTTTTGATTGGGCAATAAGATGCGCCATCTATCGGTGAAACAAGCCAGTCATTTTGTTTATCCTCTTTTTCCGCTGGTTGTCATCGATCTAGTATGGTATTTTAAGTCAAAATATAGTAATGTTGTACTTGAAGACCAATTTATTTGCTTCCGATGGTACGAAGAAATTTTAGCTACTATGCTAGAGTTTTTCGACGAATATTCGAAAATGTAAGAAACATTTCCTTCAATATGTTTCGCCATAAACAACGCCTAACTTTCCCGTGTTTCTTCCAGTCTGGCAACGCCGGTGCTGTAGTCTCGTTTCGTTCCTTGCGACGCACGTTTCTGCGATTCCTGCTGATCTCAACTGTTTGCCCAACCGATTCACTGGTGACGAGAAGCTAAGCTTCTCGTCACCGTTGAATTGCTGGCCATCGAAGATATGCAGAAACCTCGATGCTGTCGGCATACTGTCGGTGCACTGTGAACAAAAAACAGTACAATGTCTCAGCTGTTCACCCGGAACAAAGACTTTATTGAGGATAACCCCCTTTCTCCTCAAAGTAATCGCTGCTCACGAGTTGGCGTGAATAGTGTAACAAATTAAACGTCTTAGTATAAATATGTACAGAGCGCGACACTGTTACCGCGAACGAGCGATCGCCGGTTTTTCCAGTTTTTCTCTTTGAAACCAAGGGATGTCATCCAGGCGATTTTTGCTACGGAAAGAGCTGATTGGAGTTCTATAATGTTAGCGAAAAATTTTGTGCTCGCTAATACTGTTTAGAAGTAAAATGCGAAAATGCGCCGATGTCGTGTTCGCGCTAACAGTGTCGCGATGTGTACCAACACTCGTTCGCAAAACATTTTTTTTACTCACCATAAAAACACTTGCAAGGCTTATGTACCGCCATATGTCTTGGATCCCGGACTGCTGAAGAGTGATGCGTTCGCGGAATGCTGCCGTCGGTTAGTTTAGTAGTCCCTCTGAACTATCGCTTTGCTTGACGTGCTAATAGGTTGATGGTGCGTCATTAATATAACAGCCGGATCGAAATGAATGCTCAGCAGAACCATGCAGAACTATTAGCCCTCATTAAGCGACGCCGCGGCCATTTTGCTTCTAGGTACTGCTCCTCCCTCGGCGCCCCTGCTCTCCCAGTCACGTGGTCTGGAATTCCCCCTTCTAGGGACAATAGTTAACTTTAAACCACGGTTCGCCTTCGAGAAAACGGGCCCTGGTGTTCAGAAGCTTTAGCCGTTCTCGCCTTGCTGCCCTCTCGTTATTCATTGCTTTTTGTGTAAAGGCAGAATAGGAGGATGAAGAACTTGAGTATGCTTGTTGTTATCGCCACTGCATGCACGTCACAGCCTAGCAAAGGTAAACCTGTCCTTGCTAAGAAGGCAGAGAAGTCCACAATGCTTTTCTCATTAAGCTTGTTGATACTGAGGAAGGTAGCAGCTATAACAGCACGCTGATTGTGCACAGCGCCCTCTGCAGTTTCATCCACAGCGCTGCCATCTCGCTGCGTGTAGAGCCACTAAATGAGTAACTTATTAGTCGCACTAGCCCCTCGATGCGTTTGCATTTGTCTTGCAAGTAGTGTCAAACGCGCCTGTGCACAAGGCCCATGTCTCGAGCGGCCTTTGGAAGCGAATGGGGGCGGAGCACCCGCTCATGGCACGTGTCTTGCACGTTTCCATAACAATGGTTTGCGGTACTTGTAAAAAAAAAAAAGCCTTTATCAAGGGGCTTTAGCTGCGTGGAGAGAAGCGTTCAAATGGGGGACTAGCCAGTTTTTCTAGGGACCCTAGTATGGGGGGGGGGGGGGGAGGCCCCTGTACCACTAAGTCTGGATATATAAAAGTGTTATGAGTAATAATTTTCTTATTTTTCTTCAGCATTAATGAACTCCTAGAAGCTTGTTTTCTGGTTGTCTAGTGAAATCCCAGACATCTGCTTTTTAAACATAGTGCAGTATTTCTTTGAGATGTAAGCGCACTAAAGAAAGAAAAGGAAGAAGCACAGAGATTTCGGTTACGGCTGAGATAACTGCTCTAGGACAGGTGAAGTTCCCTTGCGGCGACTATGTCAGACAGTCCTTGGCGTCGGGTCAGTGAGTCGGCTAAAAGAGACGGGATGTTGCCGGTGGATGACAACGCGCAGCAGAACAACCAGACGCAACCGGACAAGAGAGGTGCTCCAAGAGTGGAAGAGTCGATCGCTTCGCAGCAGGCGGCAATGGTGGGCTCTGCAGCAGCGGATGCCTTCTTGGCACAACTGAGTTCCCAAATGAATCCTGCATACCAGGTCGATCCCGGAAGCAGTAGATCGGGGCTGCAGTCTCCGCCTGATTTCGTTGCGGTGCAGAGAGGGTTGGTGCAAAATACTGGGTTGCCTCCGACAGACGCAGCAGCGGACGGAATGGCTTCTCGGATAACGGCCATTGCATTTCTGACGCAGCACCAGATTGACACCTCTCCGCCAATGGTGCGGTTGGTGTTCCACAGCATCGAGCAACACCTGGGCATCCACAGGCTGTATACGACGATGGGTGTGGCTCGGTTTGGCTTTGATACCTCCAAATGTGTAATTTGATGGCAGACGTGAGCTCGATTTCCGCGAGAGGTGTGCATTGTGAGCCCCTAAGGAGAGTTCTCAAACTTCCTGGTCTCGAGGGACGCTTGTCTGCCTTGAAACGACACGCTTGGCCGCTTCAGCATTGTTACATTTAAGCGGTACAGAGGCCTACAGGCTGTTGTAACAATAACACTTTTGTATTAAGCTGTGTTTGGCTCGTAGCTGTGCGTCGGTGTATAGCACAGATATGCTAAGTTAATAATTAAACTGGGAAAACGCTTTATTTTTGGGTAAGGATGATGGAGGCAATTCTGCTTGGGGAACCTAAGGTAGTACGCTCAAGAACCCCTGGATTCCCATTTGGGAAACCCATATCCTAAAGTATTGTTCACTAGTGTCTATTGGGTTAGGTGAACCTGTCTTGGTTTACTGTGTAAGCCATTGATTCAGAGTCACTTGGCGTAAAAACAAAACAAAACCAAGTCGTGCAGCATCTTGGCTCAAGCTGGAGATCACCTATACCCGGTTTCACCTCAAGAAAAAGGAAGTTTTGCACTTTTTTCATGCACAACATGAAGTAGTTCTTACAAGATATGGTTGTCCGAGGGAGAAAGATGCTTTTGGCGTGTGGAACATGTACGCCTTGATAAGATAACATATATCTAATCTTAAATTTACCTCTATATCTTAATTCTCCAAATAAAGGGGGATATTAGTAATGTTCTGCAAGAAGCCGGACTCTTTTTACTACGGTTCTTGAGGTGGAAACTGGTATAGACGTGATGCCCTCGTGTATGTTGTCTTCACCCCCGGTGACCAGAATACACGGAGGCTTGCTCAGAACATCAACAAGTGGTGAAGACGAACAGGGATATGCTTGCTACAGAAAAAAGTCGTTCCTCGGGGTAGGCTAAAATAAATGAAGTGTTGCACAAAAGAGGTATCGCATAAGTCTGCTCTGGGCACTGGTTGGCCCAATGGGTAACACCATTGGGAAGCAGAATACCCCTTGAATGTCTCGTTTTTCTTTTCAAGCTTTTGCACTGCAATCTTCATTATGGAGGGTGTCCCCCAATAAAATTTACAGGGTTTTCCCCATCGCGAAAATCACCGATTACTTATTCTTTGCCCAAAGGTAACGCTGGAGTTCCGAACCAGATGATAAAGCTTCGGCATGAACCATTATCTTTTTAGTGATTTTCTGAAAATTTCATTGGGAGAATGACTGTCGACGGAGTTCTGGAATGGGGCTTTATGGTGCCAGAAACCGAAAACAGGTGAAAATGGGCCCCATTTTCTCATTGAAATTCTCTGAAAATCGCAACTTTTGAATAAGATATAGGTTCGTGCTGAAACTTTGGCATCTGGTTGTGACCTCTATTGCTATCTTTTGTGAGAGAGGAGCGTTTGGCAACGCATAGTGTATTTCTGCGGCGAAAAAAAAACGCCTAAATATTTTGGGGGGACACCCTGCAGATGCAGGGATGGTATGCTGTAGTCTTAGTGAGACACCTCGTGCAGACAAGAACTGTTCTGAAGATTGCTGGATGAATAAACCATCAGGCAGTGCTCAAATGCTACTTTTCTCGACGATTGATTGCACATTTTGTGCTGCTTTTGTGCCTCTGGCAGACTAGGAACTGTGGCAGATATTGTCATTCCAGATGCTGGAAGCCCTTCTCATTAGACATTCACACTTTGCCGGGATTTTTACCAATACCTTTTGCCAGGCAGTGTTTCCGCAAAAGGATCAGGCTAGAACAAAGCTTCCCTCTAGCCCTCGTCCTCGCTCATTTTCTGCTTGCCTTGCTCTGCACTCTGCAGGTCTGGGAGGCTTCTTTGCCTTGTACATGATCTTCGGCTACTTTGCCCAGCTGCTGTGCAACCTGGTCGGATTCGCCGTTCCCGCTTATGCCTCGTAAGTCCCTCGTTGACCAACTTGTTTAGCTAGCGGTCATAGAAATTGCCCAATTTGTGTACTCCAGCGATTTCTTGAGCTACCCATTTACTAACTTCAATTTCTGAACACTTGGCTTCCACTCTTCACAGCATGCTGGTATTTAGTATATCTGAATTTAGAATATGTATTGAGAAAACGGCTTTTCAGTGATGATGAAAAACAGTGTGAAAAACACAAGGACACAGAGGGTAGAATTACACACAGGACAAGGCAGTGGCTATCAACTTTCTTATTTTGAAAAACAAGCGGGCATAGGGTCTTCTTTTTCTTTCACTGTGGGGTGGCTTCTTTTTCTTTTACTCTGGGGTCGCTTCTTGTTTCTCCAAAGAAGTTGTCCAAGGTTTGACATGGTGGGTGCAACAGCTTAAAAAAACGAGGACGAAGAAAGGAACGGACACGACAGGATAACTGCTGTTGTCCTGTCCTTTCTTCGTCCTCGTTTTACAGCTGTTGTCCTGTCGTGTCTGTTCCTTTCTTCGTCCTCGTTTTTGGAAGCTGTTACACCCACCATGTCAAACTTTTACCAACTCGCCCAGTTCAACACCTTGTTATCCAAGGTTCAAAAAGCCATCTCACTGTCCCCGAGGTTCACAGATGGTTGGCTCACACCCGTTGTTTTCTTTTTTGCTATATGGTTGGCCTCAATTATACCCCTACAAGAACTGACCTTGGTGTTCGTACAATATATTTGTGCCTCTGAATCGTGGTTCACAGCCGCAGTCATGGCAGTGCATTGCAAAATGGAAGTGTGCTCCACCTTTTAATGAACTGTGATGTTTGCAAAGTCTGATGTTTAAGCGTCTCCCCGTTTGTCCGATGTATGAGTGTCCGCAGGAAGGAGCCAACCATCTGTGAACCTCAGACAGTGAGAGGACTTTTTTGGACCTTGGATAACTTCTCCTTCTAAGAAACGAGAAAGAAGCGACCCCACAGTGAAAGAAAAAGAAGACCCTATGCCCGCATGTTTTTCAAAATAAGATGTTTGATAGTCAGCGCCTTGTCCTGTAATTCTCTCCTCTGTGTCCTTGTGTTTTTTGCGCAGCAGTCCAACTGTCCATTCTAGTAAAGCTTTCCAGTGGTGCGACTTCACTGGCAGGCACGAGAAGGCGATGTAGAAAACTGCCTCACACATACTTCGGCTGAAGTGAGCTTCCTCAGCATTAATTTCTCATTATTAAACTTTTTGTAATCACTTGGTGGGAAGTTCTGCTGCATTCTTAGAGCGCTCTGTCGACATGAGGTAGTGAATGTGTGGGAAATAGTTTCAGAGGAGTTATCCCATGCCTATGCTATTTGTACAAAAACAATATGGTTCACGGACAGATTGCATCGTGTCAGTTGAGAGTTTGAAAGTATAGAAAGAAATGAGCACAAGTAATTGACGGGCTGAGCAACAAAATCAATACGCAGGGTGCTGCGATCTCTCGGACTGTGGACAACACTGGTAAGGCAGTTCCCATCATCTTGGGTAGGGTGCTTCAGAAGACCGCTCGCTGTGCGCAATGACGAGCGACTTGCCTCTTAGTACAGTAGAGAATACAAAACTGAAAAGAAGAGATGTCTTGTCAACCAGCTTGCGAAATAAGGACCCGTGTATCTGGGGCTGAAGTCACATGTGGGCCCAGCCTACCCCGAACTTCCTGAAGGCGAACCCTGTAGATGTCCTTGATGGGACTTCTTCTGGCGGGACACTTGGTTCTGCTGACGTTTTATTGATGTTCCGAACGTTTTACGGATGTCCTGTGGACATTCATAAGAGATCTGAGACACCTAGTCTGACTTCGGCATTGACGGACGTCTTGTTGCAGCATGCATGCCATCGAGTCGACCAGCAAGTCTGACGACACCAAGTGGCTGACGTACTGGGTGGTGTTTGCCTGCTTCTCCTGCGTGGACTTCTTTGCCGACTCCATTCTTTGCTATTTTCCCTTCTACTGGCTGGCCAAGGTGAGGGCTTGTTCTCTTGCAGTTGCTGGCTGCTCGACCTTCGGTGTCTTGCTGCATGGACTCATGATTGCTAACTGTGTAGCATGCAAGAACTGTGGGAATATTAGCCGATGCACGACAGAAGATTGTCACGAGTCCATGTCTCGTGACAGTCTGTGAGCTGCATTCAACAATTGTCATCGAGCACCTATACCATGAAGCTTTTTTTGCAAATGAGATCCCGGAAGAAATGGTTAATTTTTACCCTCAAAATCGCACTGCAACGAAGAAGCTCTTGGCGCAGGGTCATTTCATGCAAGTGTACTTGGGTGTCTGCGTAGTATGTTTGTGTAAAGTGAGAAACATTTAAACCCAGTATTGTTGCACGGCTCGTTTCAATGAAGATCCAACTTCCTGCAGTTGCTTGATGCTGCCAGCATCGATTCCAATTGACGCGTCAATTGGAACGAGGCTGGAAAAGGCTGAATGTCAAACTCTGACACGGGCTTTTATGCCCTGCTCAATAACTCGATTTTTTGGTTTCAGTTAAGTATTTCTGGCAAGTGAAGCGAGCATCCGCACGAATCTCGCATCCCTGTCGATTGCGTTCCTAATAAACTTCTGGCCGATTTTCGGACGGGAGTTTTGGGCTGTTACATTTGATGCAGCTTGTGCCATTGAGTTATCACTACGCCATTATTCCGTTAGAAAGGCTTCCCTCACCGCCGTGTGAAACTTGTGACGGCACGCCCATGTGGTCGGATGTTGCGTGCAGATCATCTTCCTGGTGTACTGCTTCTTCCCCTCGGAGCGCAACGGCTCGGTGGTGCTGTACTCCCGGCTGATCCGGCCCTACTTCCTCCAGAGCCAAGGGAAAGTAGATGCTGCCGTCAAGAACCTTGCGTCCTCGGCAACCGCGGGCTTCGAGAGTGCCCTCCGTAAGTGACCCAGCTGCACGCGTTAGTGTGCGATGCTGGCACATTTCGTTGGGCACGTTGAAGGCTGGTTGATGCACATGCGTTTGATTGTGAGGTATGCACATCTTTGTGCTCCCCTTTGATAGCTTGCGATCAGAAAATACATACCTGTGAAGCCGTCCTGGAACGCTTGTAATTTGCGTGTATTTTCTAATTGTTTGTGCATCATGCTCTTACCATGGGTTTCAAAAGGTTTTGAAAATGCTATCAATGACCATTTCTCATGGGTAGTATGTAAATTTGATCCTGCAAAATCTTCTCTAGTTAAAGGGGTCATGAAACTATTTTTCAACTTTTGCCTTTTTAGCTTTCCTCAACTCACAAATCGCACGTTGTACCAAACAGTTCAAGAAGACTGAAAGGAGGGACTCCCCTCTTGCTCGGACCTTTGTTTGTGTACCCATTCTCCTCCTAGAAGCTAGAAGATTAGCCCGTCACTCAAAACTAGGGCAAAAGCACTTTCCCCACCCCGTTCACCCCTAAGCTGACAGTGCTGTGGAAGCTACGTGCTCGTTGGGCAAGCCATACTTTTGCCACGTGATCACGCTCCCTTGCGCAAACCCACGCGCAGAGAATGAGGTGAAGTGGTGAGAGGGAGGCGGCTGATTGGTCCGGCAAGCACATAACTTCCTCCGCACTGTCAGCTTAGGGGTGAAGGAATTAAGTGAGGTCCAATGTCGTGTGACGTGCTGGGTGACGCGCTTTGGGCACTGCGGCTGTATCCCAGTGGTGACGCGCTTTGGGTACTGCAGCCGTATCCCAGTGAAAAGGCAGAGAGCTTTCAAAGGGAAGCAGGTACGAAATAGTCCGTTGTGTTTTCAAATTTTCGTACCGAAAATCAGGCTTTTGACTTTCTACCTTCTTTCTTTTGGCCCACTAAACGATATGCTATTTGTGAAATACCAATCTAAATTCATTAATGCCAGCCCAAAATTCGTTTCATGGGCCCTTTATATTCAATTCCAGGGCAAGTTGCTGCTACTTCATACCCTCGAGGGCAGTAACTAAATGAAGAATAGCGCGCGGGATTATGATGCACCCGAACCTGCAAGTCGCATCGCAGGGCCGCTTGTGGCCGTGCGATTGTATTAGGGTTATGATTCATGTGGAGAATATCAGGGATGTGATTGGCTGAATCTGAAATTCTGAAAATAAATTAAGAATGCCCACGCATGTGTGCAATGGCAAAGTGTAAAGTAAATAAATTCAGTGAATCCATATGATGTCTTAGAGTGTTTTAATGCTCCTGAAGGGTCGCTTCGAGTTGAGGCAGAAAGTTGCCACGGCGTCTATTTATTGCCAGCCCTGCCTAGATTAAAATATGAAACGTCCTTGGACTGGCTCGTGAACTCTGAAAATTGTCAAACTTGTCGGGGATGTTCTGTTGTTCTGTCTCGCAGCGTGACCTAAGCCTGTTGATGTGCAATTGTCAGAACGACGATGTGCCATTGAACGTTGTGCCATTGTCACACCAACGTTTAATAGAGGGCACATTAATTCATTTTCAGGCAGGATACACGGACAAGCTTTTTTTTTTTTTAGTGCCATTTGATATTTCATTTCTTGAATTGAATTGTCATTACTTGCCGGGCTAGGCATTTTTCGCCTGAAATAGGCCAGCTGCCAGACTGTCCGCTTATCTTGGCAACTTCTTTGTCCGCTCAGCCATCATGCTTGGGGAAATGACATCATGGAGCACGAAGAAGCAACTCGTGCTTCAAGAAACTGTGGGTGCATGACAAACGTGCTTGAGTGCCAGTCTCTGTTGGCACTTCTTTCCGTTTAGTCAAAGGAGTGCCAAACTCTCGCTCTCCGGAGCACAAATCTAGTGTGCCCAATGAAGACGGGAGTCCAATCCTGGCCGATATGCCATGTGACGGAGGCTTATAGCGGAAAAGATGCCATGTAACCTAGCTTTCGGTTGCACGTCAAAAGATCTCCAGGTGGTCGAAATTATTCCCCAGTCCTCCGTGGGGGCGTGCCAGATGCCCGTCGTTGGTTTGGCACATAAAACCCCCAAATTTGATTTGAAGACGGCCGTCCGTTTGCGGCGCTGTGACGGTGTGTTTAATCTGACCTTTGGGTTCCCAGGTGCGGCTGCCTCTGCCAAATCGGAGTGAGGACCAGCCTTGCCTTGTGCCAGAGCGAGCACCACGGTTGTGACCCAGAGGTGTGCTCGCCGTGCGAAGCACCGGGTTTTCGTCGCACCTGCAAAGGAGCCGGCTGCGTGGGACATCCCATGAAGCCGGCAGTCTGGTGGCAAGCGGGCCTTTTGTAGCGGGGGGAGGGGGGGGGGGGGTTCCTTTTTGCTTCCTTGCGAAACTAATAAAGATGTACCGTTTTAGCATAGCGCGTGCGCTACCTTTTTTAGTTTGCTTGTTGTTCAGACCCTTCACTGTTTACTGATGCACTGTGGAATGTCCACTAGTGATGCAAAACTATCGTTGAATCGGCTATTGATACTATTGATATTTCCAAAACTATCAATAGTGTCGCAGAACTGTCGATAGTTTACAGTCGATAGTACTATCGATAGTTTTTCAATAGTCGACTATCAATAGTACTATCGATAGTTCTATAGTCGACTATAGATAGTTTTGCGACATTATCGATAGTTTTATTACTATCGGTAGTCAGATTTTTGGCGAGTATCGATACTATCGATAGTACTATCGATAGTTTTGCACTACTAGAGCGAACACAGTTGCCGCACCGCCGCTTGCCTCCCTTTCTCCTCTCTTCGCCCAAACTCCCGTCTGCGTCATCACTGAAATCTGAACCAAAGTTGGGATGGTAAGTGCTCGGGCTAGTTGGGTATCCCATCTGAAAAAATAAAACGAGAAACAGAGAAGAGGTAGCGACGCAAACTACTAGTGTTGCAAAACTACCAATAGTAAACCGTCGACAGTACTGTTGATAGGTTTACGATAGTTTTTCGATAGTCTACTATCGATAGTTTTATGATAGTCTACTATCGATATTACTATCAATAGTTTTTCGATAGTCGACTATCGATAGTTTTTTTTACTATCAATAGTTTTTTTTACTATCGATAGTCAGATTTCTGGCGACTATCGATAGTTCTGCACCACTAATGTCCACTCGAGGGGAGAATAAATAAAATGGTGCAAAAGGGACACAAGTACAAGTGGAAGACACACACAAACAGCACAGTGTTTGCAACTCTTTGTACCTCTCCAGAGCCCTTCTAAGCCAAGCCCGAGTCGCCGTCGACAACTCTAGGCAATCTCTAGCTAGCCTGCTTCTGCTGTGTGTGTTTTCCCACTTGTCTTCGGGCCCTCTTTGTGCGGTGTTATTTCTTACCATGACGCCATTTAACATTTGTACCATGTTTCTTTTTAGATTCTTACTTTTGTGTTCAGACAAGTGTCTTTTCACTTACCCTCCCTTGTGTAATACCCGGACACTGGTCCTCAAGGTAAATAAATAAATGAAATGAAATGACTCTCCCAACTACACAGCTCGCCACTGTATGGATGTGGCTGAACACACGATGGGCATTTAGTGTTGCCGAATACTGCACTGTGGCTGAAGAACGGGATGCCATACTATTTGTATGTTTTTGGAGCTCTAGTTTTAAACGGCTTGAAGTCTGGGGACTGGCACGTCGGTGGTTTCTGCTGTTTCCGGGGCGTCTCCTGTCATGGTACATGTTGTCTTTAAGGTGATCCGTACAAAACCGTCTCATTGTATTTTGTGTAGTCTTGTGCGAATAGTGGATTTTGCACCCGAAGCGAATTCAAAGCGAATAGTGGTTTTGGCCGAATATTTTCGATTCGAATATCGAATAGTTTTTCCACGCCTTTCACTACCATTGCATAATGCTTAGACGAAAACCCAGCTAAACCTGTAAAGGTCATTCCACTTTTTCATTCATAAGCTAAGCATTATCTAAATTTATGAACTGTGATCTCGGAAGGCCTGGTGTCTTGGGATGGCAAGTAAACGACGCTTTTGACATAAAATGAATCTTATACAGATGGCCAACTATACCAATTGAGTGAATTTACAAATCTTGATATATCAAATATTTCTTTAAACTCAAGTTAAAAAAGAATGAGTCGCGCATGATGAACACAGGTTGTAAAAGCATCTCTGCCTAACATAGTATACTCTTCCATAAAAGTTTAATTTTGAAACTTACTACATTGTAGATATACGCATTCACAAAGTTTCCATTTATTTTCAAATACAGTCGGCACGGGTGCACCATCCCGCTTTGAATGTATGCTTTTTTGAGTACGATATTGTTTATCGCGGCGGGTTACCCCGTTAAGCGCGCTTCTTAGCGAGCACCAATGTAATGCGGAGAAGCAACACCCGCGGAGCTCACTTCCGCAGGGTTTGCTTCTCCGCTGCGCACCGGTGCTTGGAAAGAAGCGCACTCAACGGGGCTAACCCGCCGCAATTAACACTTCGAAAAACGCGAATAGTGCAGTTCTTTTCGAAGCGAATATCGAATAGTGTATTATTCGGAACTACTGTTCGAATATTCGCACAGCCCTAATTTTGTGGCATTGTTTGCTTGCTCTTTGTGGGCTACTTGGTTGCTTGTACCTGATCTAAGTTGAATGTATGAAAAAGAAAACTGTTGGCTGTTTCGGTACATGTCTACGGCTATCAGGTGGACGGTGTTGCCAGGTATCGACTGCCAAAAAGCCACAGAGCTGCCCGAGAATTTACTGGACTTGTCGGTAGGAGGGCTCTGCAGTACTAGGTTTTGGTTTCTAAGAGTATTTTATGCAATTCTTCAATACACTGAATTGAATATTGAACATGTTAGAAGTTGTAGAGACGTCAAAAGTGCGTCTAAAGCGTTGAAAAATTTGTTCCGGACTATATCCTAGGGTTACGTCTTCTTATACGAGGGGTGATCAAAAAGTTCCGGGTCTGATTTTGTAGCATAGATAGTGAGGGCAGTACAGTGATGCGCGCGCAGAAGTCAAAGTAAAGAACCTTCGTGTCTCGTTATACCAAAGGGCGTCTCTCTGTGAACATTTGGAGCTGCGCTACACTAGTTTGTTAATACTGCAGATTGGGCGAGTTGGTAAGGCATCATTACGAACCAGCGCACAAGTAGACAGTTATTCAAAATCCAAACACACAGAAAAATACTCTCGCACAGCGCTGAACTATCAACCTGATTTGTATTTCAAACTTCCTCTTCTTCGACCCCAAGGAATAGGTTGCCAAGAAAGAAAAGGGGAAAGACTAGGGTGCCTCAACGTTCTTCTGTTAAGGGTGATGCCACCCTTTGTAGTACCCGATGCCGACAGCACGCGCTCACGGCTAAAATACAAAGAAATTGACGAAAACAAAATGTCGCCATAGCACAGTCAGCGCCACAAGCGCGTGCAGGGACACGCTCTTTCGCGCGCTTCTGAACAAAAAAGAAAAATAAATGTGTGGGACAAAATGGCGAGATGTCTCCACCCTAAGCAAAGCGCACATGAAGGCACCCTAGGAAAGACAAGGCAAAGGGAGGAAGGCGAAATAAAAAAAAAAAAAAAAAACATGAATAGAAAAGGAAAAATAGAAGACAAAAAAAAAAGGAAAGTAATACTAATACAACAGAGCCCAAGAGTTACAATAATTACAAAAATAATTACTAAATTAATCACGAACAGGTATAAACCAGGTGATATGCTGTCATACTTTCGACTACACTCTCGGCGTCCTCGGCGTAAATAGTTTGAGTGATGCAAAAAGTCCAAGAGTTACAAAAATTAGTTGTTAAATAATATCCGATGTAAACAAAAACCAGTGGTTATACTGGCTCACTGTCTTAAACACCTTCTGTCTAAATAGTGCAGCGTGAGGGCGGAGACCAAAGCTTTTGTCAACTCTGAAGCACGCGCGGTTTCAAAGTTCCGGCAAAGTGGGTTCTGTCAAAATTGTTGACCCGCAGCTCATGGCGCCTTACTTATTACGTTCAGCATCAAACACAATTTTCCATTCTTACGTCGTTCTAAAAATATTTGTATACAATCAGCATCAAACACAAATTTCCATTCTTACGTCGTTCTAAAATATTTTTCTCCATTTATGTAGGTAAAATCTATAATGTTTTGTGCGTCGCTGGTTATGCAAATTTATGCAATTGCACCTTTTGTACCTACATCAATAGAAGTCTTTCTGTGGTTCAAGCTAACCTTATTTTGTTGTTTCTTTTACTCAAAATAGCCTTCGCAGAACCTCAATGGTTTAGGTTAAGACATAGAACAATGCTGGTTGAAGCACGAAGAGGGTAGGGCGGGGGCAGTGAGGACGGGGCTTTGGGCACGGGGGAAATACAGGACGGGACAATGGACCTTTTCCAAATACCGACGGCACCAGGCGGTGGCTGCACGAACCAAAAATCAAGGAAGTGACCTACCTGCGCTACCATCGATAATGGGAGCTACGTTACCAGTTGCTTCGCTCTCTGAGCAGCGTCGCGTGCGCCCAACGCAACGAGGTAGGCCTAGGGCGACTTTAAAGAGGGAAATCCGTAGCGTCCACCCAAACGTCGTGTTTTTCTTTCCGTCCACTTTCTTTTTTTGTGTAACACAATTATATATATGCTGCAATTACGTGTTCTACTCGTCGATTTACAGCCTCATTCCGAATTTCCTCGATTTTTTCGTGCCGACTTCCACCGCTTGGCATCGGGCGCTCGCGCGTGCGCAGAACGCTTCTCGGAAAAGGTCCATTGAACGAGGGGTTTTCGAAACGTGGGGCTAATGACGCGGGTCTTCTGATACCATCTTCGATCAACTCGCACCGGAATCGCCCTGAAACCAGCACAGTGCACAGCGCTCCTCGGTCGTGCAGCGCAATGTCGGTGCAACATCGAGGACAAACTGCGCCGCGCCGGTGCACCGCGGCGAGCTCCACCTTGCGTCACTTCGCGTTTTGTTCGTTTTTTCTTGCGTAGGTCAGCGCACGGTGCCCGTCTGCTGTCAATTTCTTCTATTTTTTACTCGCGGATTTGACGGTCCCACAGAAATAAACATCGTGGACCTGATTGTCGATGGGGTCACGAAGCGGATGACAATTCCACATGTATATGTTGGCCATCATTATTGGTTCAAGAAAACGAAACGCCAGATAATAGCCGTACCTCGCTGTCATCGAAACGCCTCGCGCCGCTTTCCACGAAGTTCGTGCTTTTCGGGCGCTCCTTGCCACTGCAGCAATCGCCAGTAATCGCGGCGATGGTGAGAAGCTCGTCGTCTCGCCGTCAGAAGACCCGAGGAAATCATCTAGCGCAGCTGCGAGGCGTGCTCGTTTTTGCAAGATCGCCATCTCGATAGTCTGCGCGTCTGCTACTCCCGCCATCTTCTCGATTCCCGCTCCTGGCCGCAAT